ATCTATCTCCCCCTTAGCCTCATCCAACCCGTCATCGCTCCAGATATCAACCTCATCTTCATCACCAGCCGCTATTTCCGTGCATTTCGGAGGCACAACCTCCCTCTTAGGCCCAGACCGTATCATACGCCCAACAAAGCGTAAATCCGGATCCACGAACCCTTTCCGTATGAGCAGAGACCGTATATCTGCTGCAAGGAGATCACCATTTGCAACCTCATGATCGATCAGAACGTTACCATCGTCAAGCTCTCGTATGCATGAAGTGCTGATACACGCTGGAAGCGTGCTACCTTCTGTGACGCGGCCCAGCCAATTGTGACGCTTCCTTAGGACGTCTGCTATCAGAGGGTTGGATGTGGTGAAGACGACTGTCCGACGGGGTGGGTGGATCAGGTATTGTATTCTGTGTGAATGGCGGTTATTCATGTTGATTGGATGTATGAGGTTGCCGAAGAGTGTGACTTGTGCAAGTGGGTGGGGGAATGCGAGTACGTGTTAGAGATCCCATGCAGTCTCTGTGCGTTCACGTTCGGGGTTGGTGACTTCATCGCACAGTGTACTTTCACTCGTATAGTTGATCTGTGCCCGCTGTTATTGGAAAGACGCAAAAGGTCACAAATATGTGCGTGAATGCTCCGGATGCGTAACGAGAGAGAGCTCTCACGATCTGGGCATTCAATCGGTGAAGGGTAACATTTCCCTCTACCTCTCGTTGTCCACCGCAGCACTCTAAACCTCAATCCCTATCTAACTCCCCTCTATCCATACTCCGCTACCAAAGCAAAACCCCAAGAAAAATAGCAACCATGGTCCTCATCCTCAAAATCCCACCCTACTACCGCTCCACCTCCTACGTCCTCCACTACAACCGCCACCCCACCACAACAGCCCAGTACATCCTCCTCACCCCCGCCTCCACAGAAACACTCACAACGCGCAACGCCGCCATCGCAAAAGACTGTGCGGCATGGGGCTGGCGCCTCTACAACACCGACCGCTCGCTCCCCAAGATGGAGAAGTGGTTTGCCAAATATGAAAAGCTTGCTAGGAAGAACACCTGGGATGACGATATCTGGGTCATTTGGCAGAGGGAACATGGGCTGAGGATTAACGGGGAGGACGAGAAGAAGAAGGCTGAGGCGGAGGCGGCTAACGGGAAGAGTAGGCTGGGGAGTGTGGTAAGGGGGGTGAAGAAGGCACATTGGCAGGTTTGGGGGAAGGATGGGTGGGTTGGGAGTGATGAGCAGAGGCTGAGGATTGATCACGGTCCTAGAGAGGAGAAGAGGATGAGGAAGTGGGCTGAAGAGCAGATGAGGGAGATGTCGGGGCTGCTTGATCCTTTCTCGGATGTCCATGAGGTTATAGGAGAAGATGATGATGACGAGGACGAGGAGCGTCCGGAGGGAGAGATAAGAGGCGGTGGTGCTGACGGTGCTGATTTGAAAGCGACTCCGGGTGGAGAGACTGAGGCGTTGACTGCGGTGGTGCTTCCGAGGCATGCTTGGTTATCTCGAGGCTGAAGTTTGCCCAATAACGCTGGACGATAGGCAACGCCGTAATAATGTTATATTACAATACTCCTTACATCCATCCCGGTCTAAACACCTCACTCCCCAGCTTTCTCACCATCCACCCTCCTATCTCTCTCCTCCTTCCCGCTCTCTTCCCCCCTCACCCTCTTCATCTCCTCCACTCCCTTCGTCAAATCCCTATGCACAACTCTAACCTCCCAACTATCATCCTCGCTCCACTTCACCTTCCCCAATTGCTCCGCAAAAGCCACGCTTCTGTGATGTCCACTCCCACACAGACACCCCACTCGTACTATCGCCACTTCCTCTTCTCTGCTAGCTCTTACATCCTTGATTTCCATGAGCCGTTTTATATCGTCTTCAGCGCGGGCCACTGTATCGCTGAAAGACTCGCGCTGCATCAGCTCGTCTTGCAGCGTTGAGTCGAGCCCTGTGCATGTCTTTCGTGTTTGGCGGGATGGGTTTTCTGTCACGCGGCAGTCGTATTCTAAGTCTGGTTTTGGGGATGGTGGTGTGAAGCGGTCGTAGGATGTTATCTCGAGGATTGGTCGTTGTGTTTTTTGGGTTTGAGAGGGAACTACATCTTGATTGGTTTCTTTGGATGCCGATAGTTCGTCTTCGGTGGGTGGAACGAGTCGTGTGTTTTTGACTTTTGAGGCGATGTCTGATAGTATGGCCATGTTGGCGATGATGGGCTGACTGGAGATGAGAGCGACACCGGAATTGCGGTGGATATTGTTGTTGGTGGGATATGTGTAGACAAGACGGTTCTTCTATGGACGATTGCGTATATGGATATAACGGAAAAGATTGTAGAGTACAAGGCTTCGCGTCCTGTTTTGGTGACGCTCGTTTAGGTAAGAGGTCGCGTGCTCGCTGCGGACAGGGCTCAGGGTCTTCTGAAAACTCCTGCTCCATTGGCGCATGCATATGACGTTGAGCGCTGTGGATCCACGGGCAGACCCGCGAGTGCCGTGCAAGGTGCGTCATCGCTAGACACAGTTGCATCAGATATTGCAATGATTCGCTAATACTTATACAGACCTTTTTTGTCTGTTGGTCTGATTGCAGCCACGCCAAGTGATTGCTTTTCTATCTAGCTGAGCGTCTGTCTGAGATACGAATTGGACGCTTCACGCGCATAGTGAACAATCGCCGCATCGATTGCATAAATATTCTACATTAAAAAGGGCTGAGTAACCATCAGAAATGAAACTGCAGTGTTTAGACGTTTGAATTCATGTGTGCAAGACATGCCCAAGTGCTGATCACAACACACTCCGTGGACATCTTGCTGGCCCAGCTTCATCTCCTATGCAACCTCTTTCTTTCAATGAACTCACACTCCCAAGATCATTTATATCCAACGCACGTTGCTTCGTGGGCCGGTCATTCGCGAGATCCTTCACCGACTGCACTCCTGCCACGTCGTAAACCGGGTGGTGTAGTCGTTGATCCATGCGCGCGCCTGTTTCCTGGCCCGGGCTTAACCCAGTTGTGTCCAATAACTTCCTCGTCGAGAGAGTTTCCTGCCGACTGCGGCGCATATCTTGAGAGACCTTTTTCGGCGGCTTTGTAGCCTTCTTCCTTGCCCGAAGGAGTCGGGTGGAGCTGCTCGTCGGACAAGGGACCTTCCGCAGTGCGTTGGACATGGTTCGCTACGAAGCCGGGGGCGGACTGAGTTTCGTCATGAGACATCGGTGGATGCTGTACGGCAGTGGAAAAATGTAACTTTAGTCGTCGAGCACATGACTCGAACGTTGGCTTGTCGGCGGACTGAACTTCGTCATGAGCCATCGGTGGATTCCGTACGGGAGTTAGAGCATGTGAGTTTATTCTTCGAACAAATGACACGAACGTTGGCTTGCCGTCGGGTGGCGTTTGGCCTTGCGGTTGAACGACCTCGTCTTGATAGTACAGACCATCTGTTGTGTTGAAGAGAGCACCTGGGGGTGCCAGTTCGGGAATGTCCGCCCGCCAATTTATGATAGTAGAAAGCGAAACGACTGTTATTTTGCATGCCACGGCGGAGGGCGTAGTTGCATAGCGATACTTCACTATCCTTCCCGGTGAATCTACCCGGTGCTCGCGGTAGAAGGCCTCCATAGGTATCTCAATGGAAACGGGGTCGTAGGGGATGAAGTTGATAGACGGTCTTGGTGGGATCTGCTGACTGGGCAGATACTCCGATGGGTCGCAAAGTGAGGGCATTTTCGGATTGGCCCAACAGTACGCTATTGTGTTTTGTGATAAGAAGGGAACTGCGAATAGATACCGCCTCCGTTGAGACTAAAGAATGTAAAAGCAGTATGATGTAGTCGTCAAGCGTGTTGGGTTACAAGCGAAAAAGGCTTGATGTTTATTATTTACTACTCAATTTAGCAGGGCCCAAAAACGAGAAGGTGAGATCGTACCATAGATGACGTTTGGTGATGAAGGCTGTGACTACCATGAGAATCCACCAGCTATCAGAGTGCACCTTCCTCCCGGTCGTTGATCTTGGACAACACACTCTTATCGATGTCATGCTCCGCCAAATGCTCGACGGCGGCTTCAGTTGACAGTCGTTTGCCCTTCTTCAGCGAGTCAAGTGCTCCCTTCGGCTTGGTCCGCCGCTCGAGCTCCTCGATCCAGTAGGCTTCAAGTTGGCCGCGACGCCTGTCGGAGAGGAACTGCTCATCCTCGTCTTGCCGGAACGCCTTGCAGAATGCATCGCAGAAGGGTCGTGATTCGCACACCCACTCGAAGATCTTGAAACAGTCCATGTAGATCCTCGGATCGTTGGTGATGTAGGGTTGCAGGACTCCGGGCACATAGATGATGTACGGCATCGTAACTGTCATAGGAGCAGTATTGGTTGTTGTGGTTAGTAGGTGTAGCTTTGCCAGTGAGATACCTTGCGGCCTTTTGATTGCTAAAAGGCAACCGTAGACGAATGTAATTGATTGTTTGCTAGAGTGAGAGTACTATCAGTGAGAACACCGAAGATTGGAAACTACGTGTTGGCGTGGAGTGAGTCTGGCTCTTCAGGTAATGTACAGTCACAGCTGAGGGTGATTTTGGTCAACGTATCGTAACATAGCGGGCCATGGTCATCGTTACGGGTGAGTGGCATCCAACGATTGCAAATTCCGCAGCAAACGGAGCATTACACAACCCGCGTCATACCAAAGGAGTGAAGGCGATCGTGGATGGATCCTTGCCATGGTGTTAAAGTGGGTAAAAGAAGTCGTCTGGCAATTCCTAGATTCTAGAGCAACAGAGTGTGGGATGAAGACAGAGAAACTCATGCAGCAGTGTAAAGTCATGGCAAAGAGTGGTCTGGCGCGTGGAAGGGTGAACGCCTGGGGAGGGATGACGAGCTAGCCCCCCAATCTTGGCGAATGACTCAATCGCGAAGCACCCCTCCAAAATGTTGCAGGCCAAAAAGTTGACGGGAACGACACGCTGCAACCAACCGCCAAGATGAGCACCGAATCAGGAGTGAAGACACAGTCGACGTTCGACATCGTAGCGACATACCGCCGCATCCTCAAAGATGACCCGGAACTCACCATGCCCGTCGCGGCCATCGAGGCGCTCGTAGAAGCCATCGCGCAGAGCTCCGTCTCGACCGTCGCAGAGACACTCGACCTGCTCGAACGCCACACGGCCGCCCTCAAGGCCTCCATCGCGAACCCAATTTCCCTGTCCGCCGGCACAGATCTCTTCCAGCGCTACCTCATCACGACGCTCAACCGCCCGGCGAGCCTGAACCTCGGCCCCGACGATGACTTCCGCGCGATACGCAACCACCTCCTCTCCAACGGCAAGCTGTTTGTGGACCGTGCGAAACAGAGCAGGGAGAAGATCGCGAGTTTCGGCAAGCACTTCATCCGTGACGGTGGCACGGTGCTCACAAATGGAGGATCGCGAGTAGTGGGTGCGCTACTGCGAACGGCCGCCGAGTCGAGCACTCTCCGGTTCAAGGTCATATACGTCTTGCCCTCGTCAAGCTCGTCAGATGCGAAAGAGGGCCTCCAGACTGTCGCCGACCTCCGAGAACACAATGTACCAGTCGCCACAATTCCAGATTCGGCCGTCGCCTACTCACTGGGCAAGGTCGACATGGTCATTGTCGGAGCCGAAGGCGTCGTCGAGAACGGTGGCATCATATCGCGCATGGGCACGTACCAGTTGGGCGTACTGGCTAAGAGCAAAGGAAAGCCCTTCTACGTGGTCGCCGAGAGCCACAAGTTCGTTAGGCTATATCCACTCAGCCAGTTCGATCTGCCCATTGAGCAGAAGGTACTCGACTTCAAGGTCGCAGAAGAACACAAGGCGGAACACAAGGCGGAACACAAGCCCAAGAGCGACGAAGAGCAACGGAATGTCTTTGACGAAGCCATCGCAGACATGACTGCGAAGCAGAGATCGACCGTCGTTCCGCTCGACGCTCATGACGCTGTCGACTTTACGGTACGCTCTGCTTACTTCAATTATGACCCCATCCGCTAACCTGAAGTAGCCACCCGACTTGATCTCCGGCATCATCACAGAGTCTGGCGTTCTCACTCCATCTGCCGTGTCAGAGGAGCTGATCAAGATATGGTTTTGAGCCCTCCCTGAGCATCAACTCCTCACCCCACACCAAATACAAAAGCTCCATCGCGACTCATACAACGGGCATACACGCGTTTGATAGATGCTCACATTCGTGATAGGAACTATGTGGAAAGCGAATCTGTGACTCTGCAACCTTCACGCCTTCGCCGTAATCGGCGCATCACGTCCTGAGGCTGCGAACCGCGCGCTACAGGATATCGTACCTCAAAACCTCGCTTCAGAGCGTCTAGAAGCTGGCTCTGTTGCATACGGGGTCTGAACGGCCAACGATAACGACGTTCCATAGAATGGTGTTGCGCCGACGATAACAGCATATGATACCCAATAGACATATTCAATGGCAACATGTCTTCGACCTGTAGAACATTCAAAAACCGCCCTTCTGGTAATGACACATCTGGAGTGTGAAAATGCTGAGCGTGAAGTATGGGAAAATATTGACATCAGTGGCCAGTTACCTCGACGATGAATGCACCCGACAGCGTACAAAGCCTCATGACATCTGCTAATTTCTCAACGCCACACGACGCTTGTAGAAGATGCCATATCTAGTCCAGCCACCCGCGCAATCCATCGAAGCTTGCGACCCGCTGTTCACCTACGTGCTTGACGACCCTGTCCCCTCGGAAATCCGTATACTCAAGGACCTTCAGAAACGGGGTTGGGAAGTCTCCGTGCATTTCCACGATGATGCGGTTTATCTCAATGCTACGAAAGAGATTGGAAAGGCGATAAAAGCGATACGGCGCAGGACGCAGATGATACATGGGGATATGGTTGGGGACAGTCCCAGGTTGACTCTCGAGGAAATGTGGCAGAGGGAGATGACTAGCAAGTCGGAACAAGAACTCTACGATATTAAGGAGAAAGAGAAATTTAACGATGCAGCAAGCATAATGTCGCGGATGACAGAGCAGAGAGCTTGGGTGCGTTGGGCTGATGAGGAGGCTGGGTTGGAGCCGGAGAGTCCTAACGTAAGCGATCCTCTGAAATAGGAATATCAGGAAGACCCAAATATGCAACTGATGAACCCAGACAGGTAGTGCAAGCCACCGATAGACAGTCCTACCTGTCGCACGCTCTGAGATCAGACAACTGTGAGGACTCAGTCAACGACGTTTACGAAGGGTCTGCTGGCAGCCCCAGTACGAGCACACATACTTGCAACGCATCTCGTTTTATTGAAGAACACGAACCCGACTGGCATACATTTGTACCACGTCACTCTACCCAACGCGCTGCGCATCAGCCTGCAGGTCAGGCAGCCTCATCCTCTTCTATGTCTTCTACAACCTCTCCTTCTTCAGAAGCCCCAGTCGGTCTCATGGGTATGTCCGGATACTGGTGTCCGCCCGTTCTTCAAGCCCGGCCGCAAAAGAACCCTCAGTCTCAATCCATCGCACCAAGCGCTGTGCTTCCATCACGAGACTCGAAGGAGACTCGGAAGCTCAAGAAGAAAGTTACCCGCCGTGACTCAGAACCCTCGGTGGGGAAGTATCTGCCACTTGGGTTTGTCAGGCCCCTGTCTTGGGTGAAAGGAAAGCGAAGCGCGAATGAAGGGGCCAGTGCAGATGCAACCGCACCAGATGAGCAACAAACCACCGCTCGATCAGAGGGTTCCTTTGGCCCTTATCAACGCACCACTCCCACGCAATCTGTTCCAAACATTCACCTGCAAGAGTATTCCTCCACCTTCCTTCAACCTGAACCACGGAACACATCCCCCGCCTTTTCCACTACCTCCAGTCTCATATTCCCTGGCCGTGAGATAACCCCAGAAGCCTACTTCCAGCGCACGAACCGACCCCGGAAGAATCTACAGCCGCGCCAGCTTACACCACCTCCAGGACTGGAAAACGATCCCTACATGTGGCAAGTGTGGGACCGCGGCCGTAAAAGGCAGCAAGACAAGACTGATCGTGTGCTGGGCAAAGACAGCATGCAAAGACAAGATAGCGGCAATGCTAGTTGGTATGATGGGTTCCAGAAGATGATGAAGGAGAAGGAAGCAAAGGTGGCCAAGGAAGAGAAGAAGGCTGAGAAGAAGGCGAGGAAGCAGAGGGAGAAAGAGGAGAAGGAAGAGCGGATACGCAAGGAGAATAGGGAGAAAGAAGAGCGGATACGCAGAGAGAATGAGGTGAGGGAGGCTTTGAGGAAAAAGGGTGATTTTGCAGGTGGGTATTTGCCACGATATGCATGACAGCCTCTACTTACGTGCATAATGTAGGCATAATGAATACCTGGGCAGGTTGATACTCGCAGACGGTAGGACAACGTCGTCGCGGTGGTTGTTCATGACTCGGGACGTTTTGATCGAGATCACGGAGGAGTGCAACATCTAGGACGATACCTTACAAGCCTTCGCATCTACGAAAGCTTCTTCATTTGTCCTGTCTCATGTATTTATGGATATTAATATACGAGAATTATCCCAAGAGCAAAGTTCAGTCCTATCTAACCAGCTCGTAAGAGGTTAGTGCCGTTGTTGCCTTGGGCGTGAGCGATCCTTCGAATATACCTAGGCAAGCATAAAATCTGCGCGTGCCGCCAATCTACCAATTGACTATTTCTTCCAACATAAGCACCACATATCTGACCCCGTACCCTTCTTACCAATACTATATCGTATTCAAACACAATGATTCAGCAACCCAAAGACATACTACGAGACCTAATCATAACAGCGGAAGGCCAAGCCGAGGAGCCGTATTCCTATCACGAATGGGGCTACACCATCTACCGCACATGCTACACGCCAGAATCTGAATCGCAATGGGAATCTCTAACCGAAGCCATTCAATTAGGAGTCGAAAAATCCTTCCCTGGGTCGCAAAACGATGAGCCACTGACAACATCTCAACTCCTGCGCTCCCTCCTACGTCTAGACTTCCGCTCCGATGCTTCCCTGTACAATGGTCTTAGTATCGAACAGCTTCGCCAGACCTATCTCCATCCTGCAGAAGATTCCGTGCCCCCGCCGAATTTCTACAGGAGCGACCGTGTCTTCCTTGTCGCTGACGCAGAAGTTCTGATGGATCCCTATTTTCTGCCGAAAGAGAACGAGACGCCAAAAGTACCCGTTGACAACAACACAAGCGACGTTGCAACCACGCAGAGTGTGCAGAAATATCACTATCAACACCACGGCCACAGCAAAACCTCTGGTACCAAGCGACGATGGCTCAAATGTGTCGAGGTAGACTACGTTGCTGCGGATCATCATCCAAGGAGAAGAGGTCAGGGTCCACGGCCGTATTTTGGCTGGTTCATGATGACGGCGGAAAGTGTGGTGGAGCTGTGGGAGGTGTTGCTTGATCAAGATGTTGAGGAGATTAAACCTAGATTGGTTGGTGTGATGATTTGTGAGTGTATCATGCCCTATGTGTGTGTTGGTGGTGAGCAGGTATGCTAATGCTTGGACAGGGGGAGGGTATTGAGGTTTGGTGGAAGGCTGAGCGAATGATGGAAGGCTTTCTGTCATGTTGCGGCTGTGTTGGATCCTACGACTTCAATATTGATATATTTAGGTTGCTGATAACCATGGAATATATCGGTGGCAAAAATGAGGAGAGAAAGTATTCTTCTTATAGCCGGATGTCGAACATAACTACGTCCACACGATTCAGTGTGGCCTCCTGTCTACATGAGGTCATGTTTGAGCTGATCTACATATGTAAACCTTCAGGAGCAATACTTTGCGCCTTCGCCAGGCTTAACGATACCCATATCGATAAAAGCCGAGTAATTCCAGTAGTCTCCTTGTACTCCCTCGCCAGCAACAGGCACATTCCCGGAGAACTTCGCAGTCCAGTAAGCGCTACCCCTAGTGTACTTCGCAAAGGCGTATAGCCCAGTGTTCAAGTTCTTCTGACGATTGGCAAATTTGTTGTCCGCCACCGTCTCAATCGACCATTCACCGATGAATACAGGGAACTTACCATCTCCTGCCGATGCCTTGGCATCTGAGCATATGTCTGCGCTCACAGTATCAGAATCTGTTGGGCGGCCAGCGAAATAGTAGTTGTGTACGTCGAAGACAAGGTTGGTCGACGCTGGGAACTTGGGGGACCAGAACGCTTCACCTCTGAAGCTGCCTTGGAACATTACGGGTATGTTCTTGTTCACGGCTGCTGTTTTCGTAATAGCCGCATCGATGTACTTCTGTACCCATGCGACACCGTTGTCTGTTAACGCGGCTGGTGTGCCGAAGGTTGTGATGTCGCGATTGTCCACCGGTTCGTTGATCGGCTCTAGAGTGTATGATTGCGGACTGCCAGAGGATTGAATAAAGGCCAGTGCAGCATCGACAGCGCGTAGGGAATAGTCGAGGTTCGTCGCGTTATTGAACCAACCGAAGCGGCCTTCGCCTTCACCAAAGCCCATGCCGTTCACTCCACCAGGAAGGGAGTGAATATCGAGGATGATGTGCATGCCGTACTTTGCGATTGCGTAGGATGCGATGTTCTTGAAGAACCGAGTTTGGCCGCCGGTGTAGAAGTTGCTGCCAGGAACCTTGACCCATGCAGCGTATGTTGTGGGAATCCTCAAGACGTTCACACCAGCAGTGGCTAGCTTGTCGATATCGGCGGGTGTGATGAACGTAGCATAGCGACGCTCTAGTACAGGGCCACATTGCGATCCCAGTTTGGCACAGCAGGTCCACTCATCAGTCGTGGTACCGCAGTTCTGTGACCACCAGACTGGGTCAATGACGGCTTCTTGGGCAAGCCATCCACCAAGGTTGATGCCGTTGGCTTTGAAGGTCTTCCAGTTGAGGTAGGTGGGTTCCTGGCGCCCTGTTGGACTGCCGGTGGTGAAAGATGAGAAAGAGAGTAGGGATGCGACGATGGTGTTGAAAGCGATCATGGTTGATGTCGTGGTGTTTGCGTCCCTGGCTGAGGTTGGACCTTGTTAAGCATGTTGTTGCTGGTCTTTATAGCTCATCAGTACACCCATTGTTGACCTCTCTGTCCAGCACAATATGCACCACGACCTCGGGTCATGGCGACGTTGAAAGTCGAGCGTAAGATGTGGAGCCGGTCGACCTAGCTACCTAGGGTTAAGAGCCAAGATGATAATATAATCAGGCCTGGCGAGCCTCAAGCCGCTTCAAGACCTAGAGCCGTTGATGGCTGTACAACTGATGAGGTGTTTACCCCAGATTCCACCCCGGACTTGACCCCAGACTTGGCGTCATCTTGTGGATGCATGATAGGGCGTTAGGTCTTCTAGAAGAATTAACCCGAGCTGCGAATACATGGTCAGTCACTATCCGTATGGGTCGCATTGTCCCGAGCAACCTGATCTCCACGTCGGGTGGTGTGAACGCTACGTGGCCCACATCCCGAGGTGAGTTGTCGGCTTCGTTCGGTTTGCGTGTCAAGGGGATGCCTCCGTCTTTGATGATGACACGAATGACAGCAAGATATCGTCTTGGTGTGCGATGGCACGCACGTAGACGACAGTTGGTTTAGGGAGGCAATGACGCGACGGCCATTCGTCGTCACCTAATTAGTCCTGCGCTCGCGGCGCCCGAGAGAAACGAGAATGCTCATGATAGTACCATTGTATCGCAAGTGCTCTGCCAGCGCTGTAGGTTGTGATGTCAGGGAGTTGACGGACTAAAGTTCGTCCATAATGACGAGACGAGTGTCTTGGTGAGCCGTCCGTGCGTTCCAAGGTTGTCTGGGTCGCTCAACCGGCCAGCAGCCCCTCTATCTAGATAGCCCTTCACATTCTCACCCGCTTCGTTATATTGATGCTGATGGCTTGTATGTCGTCTACATCCACTGAAGATCCGATCGAACAAGAAAAGCCCTCGATAATCAATGCAAAGCTATATGATGGGACCGAGCGGCTTGTCTGCCGAGCGTCGAAAGTACAGCTCACACAGCGAATTCGTCGTCGCAACAGACAAGTCTGAGAAGCGAATGCTTCACATCCTTAGGTAACTGGAAGGATTCCAGTTAGCTAATATAATTCCCTTTGGCTATCAACAATGCATGCAACGCACCAACTTGGAATGCTTCCCTGATGACTGCCTCCAGCGCATGGGTAGGGGACCCCGGAAAGGCGACACCCATACGCCCTTTCCAAGTGCGAGAGAAGAGACGATCCACGCGATACACCCTACACTTTTGTTGTTACAGCCTACATTGACATGTAAACACGCAAAGCAGGTGACCTAATGTTGATGTAGGCTCTAGGCCTGTTTAGTTTTTCCCTTGTATAAGGTGCGAGTCTCCTATTTGGTGTCCATAACAAGTTCGATCTACAGATTTACGGCGATGGGAAACCAACCTTCATTAGCACTCGGTCTTGTACGCCCAACTGCAGTCGCGCAGCCGACACCATTACAGCTGACCGGGCAGATCAGTAAAAGGACGCACCGTTGCTCGAATAAAGATCATAGTACGGAGTCGGCACGACGATCGTGCACTGTCAGTGTCCCTGTCGATCCTCAGAAACACAGCTTGCTTAGCATTCCACCGGAGCTGCGCAACTGCATTTACGCCCATCTGCTGAACCCCCGAGACTGCATCGTACTATCTCCTATGATATATACGAAAATTACGGGCATTGCATTACTGAGAACGTGCACGCAACTTCACGATGAAGCTGCTAGCTTCTTCTACGCAAAGAATTCATTTCAGTGCTACATTCGTAAAAGCGTACTAGCACAGTCAGCATCGACAGCGAACATCCAATTACCTCACATAACGTCTCCCATATCGCCCAAGTTCTTCCGCGATCCACTAGCTATGCAAGGTGGCATCTTCTTCCCCGCGCCACGGTACCATCAGTATCTCACACGACTAACCATCTACTTCAAGGTATCCATACGCGACCTGGCTTTCCCAGACCCGGAAAAGGGTGATTGGGGAGACGCAACTCGGGCAGACTTGGACATGAATCAGTACATTCGCCGACCTTGCGATAATACCGCCATCACATCCGCAGATATGGGAAAGATACAACAGGCGATTCAACGTGAAGTGTTACGTGTGTATCTGAAGATGAAAAGCATTTGGATAGAAAAGGAAGGTACGTGGGCAGGTAAAGTGACGATGCCAGCAAGGTCCACGGCAACGGATGATTTGGAGTTTTGGATTGAGCTTACGGCTGATGAACACGTCACTCACGAAGGATAACATGGGGAGCACCTCATACCAGAAAAAGCTAAACAGGTCTAGAGCCTACATCGACGCCAGGTCACCTATTTTGTAGGTTTTCATGTTGATGTAGGCTGCAGGCCTGTTCAGTTTTTTTCTTGGTTGACGTGGGAGTGGAGACGAACACGGGGAGATGATCTGTCATATGACTATGCATGGACGCGCCGGTGGTCGTGGAAAAGGAAGCACTTGTTGTTCCAAGTTGTCTTATTCTAGCTAAAAGCTCGTTCGGGATGAGTGTACTACCTGTTTCCCACCTACGTTGATTGCAAGTTTTGTGAACATCCCCATAGTGCATTAAGCCCTTATTGAGAATGGTGTAGGAAAAGAGTCCTTGGATGCTGTCAACGTATTGTCATCTGTTGGCTCGGCACCACTACTACTCTTCCCCGTCATCGTGATGCACATAATACACGACACGTCTCACATGCACACCGGAAATAAGAGTTATGCAAGAAGCAGATAATCATTTCTACTTGCTTTTATTGTCCCAAAGTCAATGCATGCAGAGCATACGCACGCACACCGCAATTCGCAATTCACAACCTCAAGCAGCATAGGAAAGATCAAGTGACCAAAAGTACCACAAAAAAATTAGTTAATAGACATTAAGTAACCAAGACTACCGATCGATCCATCCCCAATCCCCACGCCAAGCCAACGCGTGCCTGCCTGCCCTATCCATCTCCGATCGGCACCTCCCCAAGCTTCCTTCCAACTCCAGCCAAGCCAAAGATCCTCTCCTTGCTTGCCGTGTTCCCCACACGCCAACTCCACGCAATGTGAAAGTTTTCTCCGGAGGCATCTCGGCACCAACGGCACCGGCTGTCGTCATTTCGGAAGAAATGTTGCGATTGCAGTGAGGGTAATGGGGGCGATGATGTCAGTCCACGCTGAGTTTGACTCGTGCGGGATTCGAGGCTGCGACTAGGCTGCTTGGCAACGACGTCCGCTGCTAGCTAGTTCCGCCTTGCTGGACTGCAGACCAGTGCAAGGCTTGCCGTCATTTCTTCGTCTTTCGTGCGTCGCCTTGGTGTATGAGTTTATTACTCGTCGGTGTCGTCGACGCTCTCCATGCTTGGCGATGGTGACGAGTCGCGGACGTATCGTGAAGAGAGAGTTGGGCTGGCGATGGGCTGTTGGGCAATGGAGATTTGGCCCTCGGCTTCGACGTCCTCGATGGGGATCCTGAGCATCTGTCCGCCAACGAGGTTGGGGACGTAGACGTATTGAGTTGCGGGTGAAGACATGGTTGTTGGTAGGATGGGTTGCATGCGAGGTGTGTGATTGTAGTCGTGAAGTGGTAGTGTCTGATAGACTAGAGTAGATGATAATTTGATGTATTTGGTATCTGGGGGTCTGATACAGGAAATCTGCGATGTTGTGTGTCTCCCTTCATGTGGGGATACCGCCTGCCTATATACTGTCGCAGAATCCCACGGCTCACCTGAGAATGCCATTGCTCATGCGGCATCCCAAACCCCAACTCCACCCATGCACCCACCCAGGCCACCAACCCAAAACCCTATCCCCGACACCCAAGCATCGCATGGCCCACCCGTCACTCCCGCAGCCAATTATAGCACGCTATCACACAAGGGTGCCTTAACGCCAGCTCCGCCGTGTCAGCCCAAGGCGCTGATTCGGCCTACGATATGCGCAACGCGTGGCAAGTCTCCCCGAGCAGCTTACCATGCCGCTCCGTTGTGTCCGACGAGCGGCGATAAGTGGTCGATACGTGCGTCGACAAGGAAGCCCCGCACCAATTTCCTCTCCGCCAGCCGGCCAAGCAGCGCGTAGGCGGCGCTACTAGTAGTTAGCCAAACGAAGACGCCTTGCCCGCGGGGTCTAGACCATGCGATGGTTATCGTTGTGTAATTCTAGCCAGGCGCATGATGCATGGTGTTGAAGTGGAGGGTGATAAGGAATTAGGTATTGTGAGGGACGCTGAGTTTCGGAAGATCGGCGTTTACAGATCTCGCGATTATTCACTTTTTAGAGTTTATGAATTATGTCCGGCCGGTGACTAAGGTCGCGTTCGGGACTTGCATAGCACCGACAATGTAATATTGACCGAGTGCCTCGACAGTCGATGTTTGCAGCGATCGTAAACATGCGGACGACCATGGTGTGTGCACGGTTTGCGATGACGGCTGGTGGTGTTTTCCCGTTGAACGCCCTCGGCTGGGCAATCCTGGGCGCTTCCGAGAATGCAGCCGAGACCTTCTGTATGGTTCTGCGTCGTTCTGTTGAACCGTGGCACTCGGCTAGAACGACTCACTACACATTTCGCCTCTGGGAAGAAACCATCAGCGTTGGACAAAGTAGTTCACGATAACGAGTGTGCACTAAGCAAATGCACATCTTGGCAGCCCTCCGAGGGGGTGGAACTGGGTACCAAATCTGGTCCCGCAGGCTCTGATGGCTCTGGAGCGTTCGGACAAGGGCATCATAGCTTTGTAATGAAACGTCACTCCTGTGGAGTAGGACTATCCACCGTCGCAGCAGCAATGAGGGCGGGAATCCTTGGATCCAAGCAATCCCGCTCAACGCCAACTGTCCAATACGAGGTCACATGGTAAGTGCACCAAGGCTACTAGATGAAGCCAGAACGCGCCAACGCACCCCAGATCCCGAACGGCCTGGATTATCCAGTCCCCATGGTCCACATGGTCAGCGGCGTAAAGGACATAGCTTGTGCACCTCGTGTGGTGAGCCCTGATATCGTTAAGCTTGCATGCACGATTTGATGGATGGCTGGATCAATTCACGCTTGCAGAACAGTTCGCAATTCGAAAGGGTATCATGCTATATTACAACGACAACGCTCCAGTAACCTTATGCCACGCTCGATTAACGCCATGGTATCCAACATTAAACATTAGGGCCTGATCTTGCCAGCCTCTGGGTTTCCCCTGTTGTCCTGCCAACCCCATGCCAACCTCTCCATGGTCTTGTCCTCATCCTTTCCTGGCCACAAGACTTGTCCAAGGTACACGGCACGAATGCAGAAGGCTGCCACGACAAACCACATGATGACCAATAGAATAGTCAATGCGCTCGCGACACCGTTGATAGCTTCGCTGTTTAGCACTTTTCCTGCTTGTATCGTTGCAAGCGTGAGTCCTGCATTCGGGAAAATGAATGCCCACCAGTTTAGCGAGAACGACATCCTACGTGATCCCACTATGACGGCGATCGTTGTTATGATGAAGAACCAGTACGCGAACAGTATGACAAAGAGACCTGACATGATGCCAATGATTCGTACGATTTCGCCGTCTGGGACTACGGTATTCGTGAAGTAGTTTTCGGCAACGAGCGACGGCGCTTGATTTGCAAGGGAGAGGAGTCCGGCAGCAGTGTAACCTATTGCTGTTAGAATCTTCCAAGGGAGCATTCATCTATCGGGTATGGACTTACCTGCTGGACCAACGGAAACATACATTCCTGGTCGCGTGGTAGGAGAGGGTAGAGAACTCGTCATCAGGCGCTGCATGTAGAGCCCATACAGCAGGAAGGAGACGACCCACGCGAGCCCCTGAAAGAATATCGCCCCGATGAATATCTTCCAGCTGGGATTTTCAGGTTGGGCAGGAAGTATAGTGCCAGCCAGCGTGCCTACAACCAGCAAAGGGTATATTGGGAAGATCCAAGCCGGAACGGCATCGCCAACGTTGAGGCGCTCGAGACGGAAGAAGAGGGAGTACTGGATGATGCCAACGAGGAAGGCTGCGGCACAGTACATCCAGTAGGTGATCTCAAGCGCTTTGGTGAGCCATGACCCGGTCGATGGGTTGCCGTAGATGTACGTGCAGTTGAGTATCAGGGCGACGGAGACCCAGTACGTGCCGAAGAAAAGGCCTTCGACTGGATGATGTAGCGATCCGAGGAGCTTCCGGGGGACGAGTAAGAACCGCGCGAACATGCATAGGTTGAAGATGGCGAAGAGTACGAGGTCGAAGATGAAGACGACCTTTCCGATGGTCTGTAGGCCAGTGAATTTGTTCGGGGTGTTCCCGAGAACGACAGCTAGCGCTCCTGTCGACATGGTGCATGCGAACCATGGCCTGCGGTATTGTAAGTTTGTTATCCGAATGCTCTCGGCGCGTCGACATACCATGTGAAATGTACAATGCGATCGCGCAGCCCGACTTCCGCTGGTGGCTTCTCATCCTCGCTCTCGTACGTCGTGTGGGTTCTATCGCGGAATCGCATTTTGGTGATAGCTGAAGGACGCGACTAGGTGTTGACAATGCTGGGGGCCCTGCTTCGGGTAGTCATTCCAGGATTCCTGCCATGACACCTTCTTCCCAAACATTGCGGAAAGAGTGCCGGACGCATTTCGTCATACAGGTAATTAGTGGCGATCCTGGCATCTACGCGCCTAATGAGAGAACGACGGGCAGCCCCGTAGTTAGATCTCGGGAATTCGGCACGCAAGCGTCAAGCAGAAAATGTGAGGTTGAGGCTGGGCGCACAGATAGCCGTGACGTCATGGGTTCTTGTGACCGGCCTCGGCGCAGCGACTACGCGTATCTATGCCAGTTCTTGCTCAGTGTGAAAAGATTTGAAGGGGACGATGTGAATCGGATGCCTCACGAAGATCGAGACGTGGAAGTCTCAAAGCCTGCAGACGCCATGTAAGGGTGACTTTACTGGAGTTGTGCGGCACGGTCGCCCGTCTCCATCATCCTGCCGGAGATTCGATGAACATTGCCGTATCCGAAAAACCATGGCATCGCGATTCCCATGTCTGTTGTCTCACTTGCACAACGGTCAGCATCACGAGCCAAGAGTCATACGATTTTGCCGCCGAGTAAAGTCATAGTACAATGTGGTCTTCCAAATTTGAGTAACCAGAATTATAACTACCTTGGTAATGCTCCTTGAACTGCTTCTAGAGAAACAGAGCATGACGCTTATCATTCACATCAGCTAGCCTGCATTTTCACTTTCTGCGCCGATAGGTATCCCGCGATAGAAGGCCTGATCGTGCACTAATCACAACGTACAAGTTGGACGAATGCGCTGGAAGTATGAAAGGAGCTTTCAGCTACCGGTTGTAGCACCTCGCCCACAAGGACGATAGCGCCAACGTCAAAGGAAGTAGTACTCAAAGCACATACAGATGTTAGAGATACATTCCGCCTATCACCTTACACGAGAGATGTTCTAGATAAGCCTGAGGCCTACGTTAGAAGAACAATATGCAGGTAGAAAGACGTAGCGTCGATGTAGGCTGTAGGGTATTAGGTATTGAGCAATTCCCTTGAAGAGGATGTCAACGCGACAAAGGCTGCTCTCGAATACGGTATCCGCTTACGACTAAGACGATAGCTTCGCATTGTTTGAGCCGGCTCTACCAACAGCAAGTTTCGCGCGCATTCAGACATTCCTCCAAGTCTTTGCAGTCCTTTGACCAAACCGCAGCTACCTAGGTACCTTTACACGTCTTTCTTTCACACCAAGCCAACTATAAATACACCACCCATGACAGTCCCGAGACTATGCAGGTCCCTTGGCCTGCATAAAACAAAGCTTTTGTACTCTGCCTCTGGCAATCCCTTGCCCCGAGCTTACCGAGAAAAAGTCAAAACGCAGGGCGTCCCACGATGTTCGCCACCAACGCCGCGCGCCAGAAGCGGGCGCGGCAACGGTACCTGCTGCAACCTCCGATCCCGACCCCGCGGTAAGACTGGAAGCCTGAAAAGCTTAGTTAACTCCATCTCCACTTGCGTCTCACGACGATCTCACACGAGGTGTTGCAATACAAGCACGACTTATTTGTTTGTTCGAAGCTGTAAGACCATTTTGAACGGAACAATGATCATGAAAGGGTATCAGGTATGAGATTTGCAGTTCTAGAAATCTAGAATCTAACTATCAGGGTACAGCGTGTGCTGGCTTTGATGCAATAGAAACCGTGTATATACACTCCAGGCGCCGTCATCGCGCCTATATATCCTGTTCCAAAAAGAAAAAGAAAAAGTCTTTGTATCGCGTGTCATTAATGATCTCGTCCGCATGACCGATTAATCCAAATCCCAGGTGAAGCAATGAGGCGGAGTATCCTGACCATGAATGATGCGGATGAAAAGCCTGCTATCGCAAGAAGAACGCCGTCATAATGCATATGCAATTCCATGATGCTTGGGTTGATTGACAAAGGAAAATATGGCTCGCTACACCTGCCATTACGCGGCGATGAATGCCGCCATCATGGCCAACAGACCACTTATTATGGCGTACTTGGCCCCGCCGGTCGGGGTCGAAGCGGCATTACTCTTCTTCGCCTGCGTGCCGTCTGGTTTGAGGACGGCGTTGGTGCCAATCTGGGAGCCAATGTTTGCTACTGCAGCTTGGCTGTCGCGGACGGGAACAGAGATCCTGCCGTTGCCGTCGGCTTTGGTGGTTGTGACGGTGTTGTCAGTGACTGAGGACGCGCCGGTAATGTCGTCGTACTTCATGCCGTTCCATGTGATGTCTGTCTGCGACTCTGCGCCAGGACCTGTGAGGTAAGAGATGAAGACATCCTTGTTGGCGTGTGCAGAGCCCAGGTTAAGGTTGAATGTGAAGCTGCCCTTGTCGGATGAAGACGCATTGGCCTGTTTAGCGTTGATCATAGTGATGGACTGCAGATGGTCGTTTGCGTAGGCGGCGTACGCACGGATGCGACCGTCGTACGCAGCACCTACGTTGCTGGTAGAGAGAGCTGCAATCTGCGTGGTTCCGTTGCCGTTGCCGACAATCTGTGCGACGGCGGCATGGGCGTAGTACTGTGGACGTACGAATGAGGTTTCACGACCGTACATGGGGATAGGCGACCAAGCACTGGCGTTGGAGTTGTCGGTCATGTGCATCTGGACCGAGGAGATACCAATGGAGGCTGCGTAGAGGAAGAAGTTGAGCGTCCAAAGGGAAGCACCGAGGGTATCACTGACGCCGGGCATGCCTATTGGCCCAACGGAGCTCATCTCGCGCAGCACGTAGGGGTGGTCTGTCTTGAGGGCGATTCCGACCTGCTTCTCCCAGTACTTGAATTGGGTGTTGGTGGCATCGAGGTCCATGAGGTCGTCGAGAGTGAGGGGGGTGGGGGTCACTCCGATGACTGCAACATGTTAGTACAGCATGTGGGTTGGGGACAAGGGGACATACAATAGAAGTAGTCGTGCTGGTTCCAGGTGGCCAGGAAGTTATCGCCGTTCCTACCCTCCATGATGCCATCGTCGACGAGTTGCGCGATCTCGAAGGTGGTCCCAATGGTGGAGGCGGTCGCAGGAGACTCAAAGAAGGATGACGGCAGGTTGGCAGCCTTGAGCACGCGCTCGTAGACGACCTCGGCGCGGTCCAGCCATTGGGAAGTGTATGTCTTTCCGTCCCAGGGCGCAGAGCGGAACGAGTTCTGGAGCCACAGGTCGGGCTCGTTGCCAATCTCGAACGAGTACAGTTTGACGTTCTTCATGCCGTCGACGGCGGCTTGCGCCAGTGCGGTGATCTTATCCTCGTAGTCGTCGTCCATGTAGGCCATGTTGAGTCCGAAGGTGACGGGCGTGTCCTTGGGAAAGCGCTCGAGCGCGGCGAAGTAGTTGGGTCCAATGATCATTGAGTCGGCCGCAATGGCACCCTGTGCCGTCGAGTCTGGGTTGGAGGTCCAGCCATAGTTTGTGTTGCTCGACTCAAAGACCATGTAGTCCTGCGTGTTTCCTCCCAAGCGAATGTGCGGCGGCGCGCCCGAGTAGTCTGCGAGGTTCTGGAGCAGCTTGACGGTGAATTGGTTGGGCTCCTCCTTGCCGGTGAAGGAAAAGAGGTTCGAGGGCTCGATACCGAAGCCGGCATACGAGGGGTCGAGGTAGTCGGAGGCGCCATCGGGCGGGCTGTTCCCTAGCGATATGGAGATGGACTGGGCGAGGGCAAGGCGCACGGCGGGAAGCGAGAGTAGGGCTAGGCTGCGGGCAGATAACGAGGGCAACATGGCGGCAGAGGGGAGCCCGAGCGGAGCAAGCGAATGCAAAGAGTAAAGAAACAGCGGAAAGTAAAGTCAACTAGCAATCAGGAAAAGCGAGCGCAGGGGAGGTTATCACAGGAAACGAGAGCGAGCGACCTGCAGGACATGCAGCCAGGGTCGATGATGAGTGGACGGCGGCGGCAGCGTGTCAACGCTTTCAGACATGCGTCACTAACTGGGCCAAAAGTGGCGCCGGCCCGAGCGACACCAGAGGACGCGCCAGACCACCAGACTCAACAACACATGACATCACGAGCCGCCGCCCTCCCGGACGCTGCGACACCAAGCAGCCCCGTCTGAGACGCGCGACCTCAAACGCTGCAGTGGGTCGCTGGCCATGGCTGCTGGCATGGCATCCCACGCTGCTCGCTCGTCCACCCACCAGCGTTGCGCGTTGTGCTGGGAAAAGAGGATTTACGCGTCAGCTCTTCCGAGCAAGTGTCCGTTTCTAATTGTGGTGGCTGCCTCAGATCTGCACCCACGCCAATCTGAGCGGCTACCGAACCCTTAGCCACGAATGATCCGCCGCAGGAGGCTCAATAAGCCTTGTTTCGCCATGGCTCCGAATCCGCATCATGATCCTTCCCTCGATCCTGTGCCGTCTTACCCTCGAGCCAGGCCTCGTCATGGCCCTCCACCTCGATCAAGGGAAAGACGTGGATCCTCGCGGCAGCTTGACCACCTTGGAGCGCGCGGCACGCCTCCTACGCACTCGACGCCCCGACGCACTGCGTTTGGATAATCGTATTTCGATAATTGCACCCGTGTTCCGTCCACAGCCACAGCCCAACCCCTGCACCCGTTCGCTGCCTCCATATTGGCCCGTTGAGACGACGGCTCTTCCAAACCGGAATGCTTGATTTATTGCCCAGCCTCTTCCAGCTCTACCCCCCAGCCCCTTCGTCACAGCCGTATGCTTTCACCTACGTCTCCCATCTGTCGTCGCGCTGGAGAAAAGCTTTTCGATAGCACGTGTGCTAGCCCAAAGTTTGACACAACTAGCATCGTCTGCCATCATCTAGCTCTCTGCACCTCCTGTAATAGCATCGGGTCTCGAGCAGGTCTACCGGCCAGTCTCGTCCACCGTTGCCCACCACCTCTTGGCTCCAGCCGCCGCATCCCGAGTCCTCAGCCTAAACTGACGCCATACTCGCACGCCAACCTAGGAAAAAGCTGAACAGCCTGGAGCCTACGTTGACGTTCGGTCATCTATTTCGCAAGGTTTTAGCTCAATGTAGCCTATAGACCTGTTCAGTTTTTTTTTCTTGTATAAGGTGCCTGCACCTGGTAAAACGGATCTCGCGGTCGTTGTCAATGTACGTCTATGCCAATCAGGACGCTCACAACACACATGTTGGGGTAGACGTCGCTTGCGAGACGGTCAAAATTCCCCGCGCTGGGCAGTGTCTCCCCACCCTTGCACACACAGCACACTACTGGAATACGGCATTCTAGCTGCAACTACCAGATGACCATTATACGCACTCCATGCAGGGAACTGAACTCCGCCCTTCTGATCAGGGAACTTGGTTGCATAGTCTGGTCGAAAGTGCCGTAGTTCCGACACGGCATTGATCGAGATGACGTATGGAGAGCACTGACAGTGAAGAAACTACATCGTGAATTAAACCTAGACAGCTATACATATGTCATAGAGCCGATTAGCTTTGGAGCATCTAACGTCGTTGCACACTACTACACACTTTTGCACAAGCATGCAAACACCTCATACAAGAAGAAAACTAAACAGGTCTAGAGTCTACATTGACGTTAGGTCACCTACTCTGCATGTTTTCATCTTGATGTAGGCTCCAGAGTGTTCGAATTTGTCCTTGAATAATGCGCTGACGTGTTCCAACGTCCAAGTAGAATGAGTATAAACAATGACTCAATCTTACAAGAAATGTGAACTCTACTACGAACTCTCGTCTCTCAAAGTTTGCCTTTCTCTCACAACTTGCCCATCATCAAGTTTCCAATCATCTCCCGCCCAGTAACCACGGTAGTCCTCCACAATGTTGGGAAATCCAACGTACTCGAAAAGGCTATCATCCACCAGTTAGCCTTGAACTGAACCGTAAACTGCGGTTAGAGTGGTAAAGGAGAGGAGACTTACTATCAGCATACCCAAACCCAAGCATAGGCGGGATCCACCCCCTCGCATACTCCAACGCAAAGCATTCACCCTCCATCTTATACTGCTTGACATCGCCCCTAGTAAGATGATGCACACTCCCCTGCGGATACCTCTCAGCCCCATAAACGCCCTTGCCAGGCGCATAAGCCACCTGCTCGCCCTTGAGAATATGGAAGTAGTCATCCGCGGTATGCCGTCCGGTGTGACCCTCCGTTCCAATCGCAGTACCAAAAATAATCAGATACTCAGTAATGGACGCGTGGATAATGTACATGGCGCCCATGGCACCGCCGGCGTTGTTGAAGATCCATTCTTCGTCGAGGTTGATGTGGGGCCCGTGGATTGCGGAGAGGGAAGTGACGATGTGGGAGACTACTGAAGCTGTGTCGTTGCCGTGTAGGGCAATGGCTTCCTGAGAGAGCGTGTGTAGGCCGGAAGGCGTGAAGATGTAGAACTTCTCCAGGTGCGAGTCTAGTGTGTACATCAAGGTGGTTAGGACACCGAGGATGGCGCCGAGGGTGAGGAGGAGGCGCATTTTGGCGTTGTTGTCACCTTCTATGGGAACGTATTAACACAAGAAGTAGAAACCGAAGGAGTGACCAGGTCCGATTACGAACCGTTTGTGAAAGGAATGTGTTTGGCTCTTTCGGTTGGCACTCTGCACTTTGCGAGGATCGTGAGGTTTTTCTTCATGATCAAGACGCACGTGCCAGTCGGAATAGGAGAAGTCCGAGACCCCGGATCGCCAGCTCATCTAAGATGGAGGGTGGGCTGTTGTTTGCTGAAAGGCTTCCGTCTTCCGAAACACCCTGGAGGCTACATCGATGTTAGGTCATCTACTTCGCCTGTATTCATCTTAACGTAGTCTGCAGGGCTGTTTTTGTAAAGGGGTATGTGAATATTTCTACAAGCAGAAAGCTGTCTACAAAGTCGAGTATTACCTCCTCTTCGACCCCCATCATTACCCTTTGAAATGATACGAAATGTGCGATAAATGACGATGCCGCGACCTTTTGCCATCCCAGACAACGCCCCAGCCCATGCAGAACGTCGTGAATCTCATGCTATACGCCATTACATAACCAATATACCACCACACCGTGTGCACTAAGAAGGACTATCTTTCGCATTACCACCCCATGGGAGAAGAAAATCTGAACAGGTCTGGAGCCTACATCAACATGAATACATGTAAAGTACGTGGCCTGACGTCGATGTAGGCTCCACACCTGTTCAGCTTCGCAGGTCGACGTTACCACCCCCCGATGAAGGTAATGAAGCCATCGACCATGTCAATCCAATCCTGGCCATTGAGTGTACCAGCTTGCCTCTTCTCCCACAGCACATTCACCATCCTGCCCAAACGAAGTCTCGCCTGCTCTCCCGCCTCGCTGGTGCCATCGTTCCTAACGAGCTGCACTTTCCCCCCAGCAAACTTCTCACTGAGATCGATCTTGAAGCTCGCGTCGCCGTCTGGCGGGCAGTAGAAGTCCTCCTGCGATGCTGGCGCAGGCCCGATAACACCTGGAGCGAGCTGCACAAGATGCCCGTGGATGAGCATGCTCTGCGTGTGGCTCCGCCTTGGCTTGAACAGCGCGCCACGCACTGAGAAGCTGACGAGCCGCAAGAGCCCTGCGCCATCGCCCAGCCGGATGATCCAGTCTCGGAAGGCTTCGTACATCATCTTGAACTCGACTTTTATGACCCAGAGGTTGTAGCTGTAGAAGATGGCGAGCGCTTCGGAGCGGACGAGACGCGACACGGAAGCGAGGGCGTGCTGCATTTGGCCGTCGAAGGTAGAGATGCAGTATACGAGGGGCTTATCGATGACGAGGTTCTCGCAGTTTCGGTAGATTTGGTGACGGATCTCGGGCGGAAGGGTGACGAAGGTGAGCGGGTCGTGGGTCGTGTCTTCGGCGGGATGCGTGTGTGTTTCTTGGACAGACGTAACCTGGACATCTTCCATATGAACAGTCTCAGCCTCCTCTTTGTGAGAGGCAACATGTGCGGCCCAATCCTTCTGTACGTCGTTGGACCCATCGAGGTGGACACGGTTCAGGCTGTGGTTTCTGGAGTGGGAGGGCGAGAGCGCGTAGTCGTCCATGTGCTCATCGTCGTCGGGCCGTTCTTCTGCATACAGTTGCAACCCTTCCAGGCGTGTGGCATCGGGCAGGCTCGACACGCCATAGGGCTGCGCGTGCTCAGGCGTGGATGGGAACGAGGTAGCCTGACTCTCGACGCCGTGGCAGTAGTCTTGGTCGCTTCCGTCGCCCAGAAGATCCGTATCATCCGAGTCGGTGTCTGTGTCGGAGCCGATGTCTATATCCACGTTGAGTCTGTATCTCGGGATCTTGGGCGGCAGCTGATGCGTGGGCGAGCTGGGCGAAGGCAACTGGGTAGCGGATCGTTTGCTCGATGTGCGTACGATAGTGCCCTTCTGGGTGATGTTTCTCCCTCTCCGCTGGCCGGCCGCGCTGGCCTCGCTGTTTGAACTCAGCTCCGGCGCGCCGTCACAGTACCCGCACGGGGGAGTCTGCACGCTAGTATCCAGAGGCTGCAATTTGGGAGAGCGCGCTTTCATGGCTTCGGCATCGTCGGGGGGCGTCTGGCCCGTGACCGAGTATCGGCGCTGGGTAACCATGGTATATGGTAGTATATGGGCGGGAGCGGGAGTGCGAAGGGGGAACTTGGTGCGAGGGCGAGGGATTACGTGGTGTTGGGTGGCAGGCTCCAGCAAAACACCTGCGCGCGGATGTGCTGGCAGGCTGCACGATGACCGTCTGCAGGCCCTCGACGCGTGCAATGGGCAATGGGCGAGGCTTGCGGGGTGCGTTGAGTAGCGCTGCGGATGCGGCCGAGTGGACTGAGAAGCGGATTCGCGAGTGGGCCGACACCACTTTTTTATCGATTACGCTGCTGAGATGAAGCTAGAGGACAGTCGCTAGAGATCAATCACTACGAACAGGTGCGCGAGAAGACTGAGCTATAGAGTCGGCCTCAGCGGATCATCAGGAGATGAAGGGCGTAGCATGTTTGGCAACTGGGCAACAATGCCGCGTTTCATGACACCGCAATTTGTCGTCAATGCTGCACTGCCCACCCGACGATTATCATGCTCCACCCCAATCTCTCGTCTAACCAATATTCCATATCCCGCAATACTGAGGAACCATGGGTTACGAATCTGGCTTATCACGATATTGCGATCCGCACTCCATGGCGTCATGTCAGCGCATCCTATTTTCACGGCCTGTTGGGTAGGTGAAACGAGTTTTGCTTATGTTGGAACTATCGCTGCGTCTCTCTAGCCTGAGCTTATTTCGGAAGAGCTTCAACTCAAGGATTCTGATTCCGCCTCTGATACGATGCGCTGGCAACTAAATACGTTTTGATCACTCATCACTCTTCGGAAAATCATAGTTGAAGTTGCGGAATACGTTTCAATCACTTGTCGTTCTTCAGAAAATCATAATTGCAGTTGCGGACTACAGCCTTAATTCTAGGCAGAACGAGCGAATGAACTCAACAACTCCGGCCTACGCCTCTTCTAGACAAGATCCTGTTGAAGGATACTTCAAACTCCTACTACACAAGTCAACATCTTTGCTCGGGACACGCATGTTGAAATGGTGTTATGCCCTCAGTGCCCTGTCAGTCTCCTACAAGCCCCTCTTCTTCTCCATGCTCTGCATGGGTTCCCTGACCATGATGTCCAGCGGGATATTTCTTCCGCCCCTCTGAAGGTTGATCTGCCTCGTCTCTTCGAAGCCGAACTTTCTGTAAATCGGAGGGTTCGTGGCGTTGCTCGACTCCAAATAGCATGGTCTGCCTTCGCGGTCCGCGAGCTTCGTTACATGCTCAATGAGTTTACGAGCGTGACCTTTGCCACGGCCACTGGGCCTAGTGCCTAGGTAAACAAGGTACCAGGCGTCATGCTCTCGCTGACCAAGCGTGGTGTGCATAGTGTCGTGGAGGAGGGGCATGAACTCGTCGAAGAAGCGCCGTTTCCCTTCGGCGGAGAGGCGGTAGTTGAGGCGCCACATGCCAGAGCGGAATATGGTCAGATAATCGTCCATGTTCTGGCCGGGTGGCATCCTAGATGCGTGAGCTCACGAAGCCTTCGTTATCTTCAAGACTTACCATAGGGCAACTGCTTCAAAGTCGCCCACCGTAGTCACTAGTCCCTTGAGGATGTGAGCATAGGTTATGTACTCGAGAATCTCAACATGTAGCGCCCACTTTTGCTCCGCAGTCCAGTGCGCACGATCGGGCACGTCTACGAAGTATCTCGCAACATCGTCCTGGCCGAAGGCTTCCGCCAGACACTCAGCAGCCTGCTTGTACTCCGCAGCCGTAACGACGCGAACGCCGTCGGTGAGCGGAGGCAGAACAATAGCGCCAGCAGAAGTTGACTTCGGCTTCAAGATCCTGAAGCTAGCCGGTACTTCATTGACCCTGATGTTAGCCGACTTCAAGGTTGAAGACTTCGCGTCCACTGTATAATTACAGCTGACTGGCGCAACAGGGGAGAATGTTTTCGCCATGATTGTGGTTTCGACTGTAAGCCTCTACTAGTATTCAGATGGGATCTGCCGCTTCGTTTAATTATGGGGACAGTCGTCGAATTCGCCAGCGTGAGGTGTTCCCCGCAGGGCTTGAACGGAATTCGGCGTGGGTGAGACGTTAGTCACTTGAACTGCGGGATATCAAGACGACGACCTTGAGTTCAAACAACACTACTAAATTGTGATTAGTCTAGTCTGATTGCTACAATGGGTCGTCGTGGGCTGAGCAGGAGCCGTGACCGTCGATTGCCTGCTACATTGGTATACCTTTTCTGAGCTTGTTGGTGGGTGTTTACGTTTTAGCCGGACGATTTAGATCTCCTGTATGGACTCTAGAGAGCTGCGATCTCGAGACGGTATCGACTCGAGAAGGGTAACGTAAAGAAGTGAAGGCTTGACGTAGATCAACCGACATCAATGTGTGAGGCTGCAGAGGTCCTTTTTGAGTACACGCTTGACAGATACGTCGTAGGGTGTGAGTCCGATGAGGTAGTCTTGCGTCGATGGTATGCGCCTGTGACTATCGATGTACCAACCTTTGCGTGTCTTGCGTAGATAGTATGCGCCTGGGCCGTCGATGTGCCAATCTTTGTGTATGTGGACTGGTGGCAGTTGATGTATGGCTGCTTAGAGTTTGGGCTTTGCTTTTTGACTCGCTGGCAGCTTTGTCACAAGACCAGTGACAGCACTGCAGTACGATGCTTGGCTGATGTCGAGCGGCAGCAGCTGCGTATCGTGAAGGATTGCACAGCTCGGCTGCAGTAAGATGCGTATGCCGTGGGGGCACAGTGGCTAGTAAGCTGATGTAGTATGGGACGAGGATTGACAAGCTGTGGGTGTCTGTGACGGAGATGAAGATGGGAAGTCTGGACTTTGATATACCTCACCTACCCGGCTTGATCGGCGTACCAAGCGCCGTCGAGTGGAGGCACAGGTCATGCTTCACATGGCTCAATGCGGGAGCTATCTTCGGACCAACCGCTTAGCCCGTCAAGCATACGAGTTTCGTTATCATTCGCCCTGTGACCTTGAACTTGGTGTCGGGCCGAAGCGGCTCAACGAAGATGTTGCTTTGTTGCTTGCTTGCCAATCCTTTGGCGACACAAGTCACAGCTTGTTTGCGAGTCGCTTGTAGCGAGGATACGTACGTAGCGATAGAGTAGCGCGGTGACATAGGGCGCCTGGGAAGAGGTTGTGGGGTAAACAGGAAGGGTTGAGCTGCACACCTCGGCTGGACCTCCTCACAACGGATAAGCGCAGAAGTGAGACCACCATTAAGGCTACTCTCTCTCTCACAGCTAATGATAAAGCAAACATCCGGAACTCTTCCGCTATACTGTAATCTGCGTTTTGGCTTGAGCCTACTAGTCAATCAGCTGAAGAATAGCATACGGCGGGGTCAGCATGGATCAACTGTCACGCACTGTCATGGGAAGTCAACGATAGGAGAGGAGCGCGCCTTGATGTCCACACGATAAAGCCATGACGACTCATGAGCGTGGGGAACAATGCAATGGTCAATGACTGGATTAAATGGCAGTGGTATCTAAGAGGCCGGGCCTGCATGCACGTACCGCCTCACTTTCGGAAATGGGGGCAGGTCTCGGCCAAGCATCTGGGGATCGGTACGCTCGAATAGCGGCGGGGGGATTGATGACAGCTACTTCGCATGCCTTACATGCGCCGGATCTCTGTCTCGCCCATGTACTTCTCCAGGCCAGAGTCGAGATGGTCCCACCACTCGAACAGCATGCTTTCGCAAATGAGCTTGAACCACGGTGTGAACTTGAGCGACTTGTCTTGGAACATGGTCTTGAGATCCTCCTGAGACACCCATCTGGAATCGCGCGCCTCGTTCGGGTTGACGTTCAGGTCGACGTCGGCTTTCATAAACAAAATGTAGTCAACTAGTATATTGTAAGCATTCGTCCCGTATGCCGATGACCCAGTGGTACAACTTACTCTCATGCTCGCCCCAGGTGCCGTCGCTGGGCGACTTGTAGTGTATCCGTGTAAGGAATTTGAAGTCGTCAATGGGCACCTGTTCGGCCTTGATGCCCAGTTCGTGGTTGAGCTTGCGCACTGCTGCGCGACGCACACCCTGGACAGATTCCTCCAGTCCTACGCCAGTCTCTCCGGGTATGCCCAGCGGGTGCGAACAGCAGGTGTTTGTCCACATGTCCGGGAATGTGATCTTCTCGGTCGCGCGCTGCTGCAGAAGGAGGCGGTTCTGGGAGTCGAAGAGGAAGACGGAAAATGCGCGGTGGAGGAGTCCACGATCAATGTTCTCCATCAAGTGGCCTGGAGCTTGTCAGTCGCCATCCATCGACGAGTCGCGAGCGGAGCCACGTACAGAGTTTCTTGGTCGCACTGCCGATAGGGATATCGTTATTGTCCAGGACGATGCACACCTCGTCCATCAGCCGTATCTGCTCCTCATCGTAGCCTTGCAGCGCACTGTCGCTCGTGGCCGAGTTGTGCGATCCCCCAATGAGTGCCGTGTTGACTTCGGGGAAGAGGCGCAGGACATTCTCCGCCGTGATCTCAGGCTGCTGAGTAACAGTCTCGATAGTGGCCATGGTTGCGAATCGTGACAAGAGCGTAGGGAGAGCAATTGAGGCTTCTGGAATAAGTCCTGACCTCGGGGTATTTTGGAGGGGGCGGTCGGGACGATGAAGAAAGCGTGCACGCGCCCCTTCATGCAGGGTCTCCACCTCCGCGGCGGTCTGGGTCAACTGGCAGGCATGTGGCAAACGGCAACGCGCCAAACCGACAAGGCTGGAGGAGATACTTTTGGTTTGCAAGCGCTTTTGATTCGTTGTCTATCATTTGACAGTGCTACACATGTTGCCGATGCCACTGGGCTTTTCGGTCCAGGTATCAAAAACTCATAAACTTTTCCGTAACCGGAATACATGCAAATATGCTCAAGAAATACACCCCTGACAGTAGTAAAGGAAACAACCAACTCCAGAAATCCCATATTTACACAGCGTCTTGCGCTTATGCCACAGTGGCGGTCTTGTTCTTCTTGGCAACGGGCACCTCGGCCTGTGCATCTGCGGTAGCATCAAGCTCCCGCTTCTCTGAGACGCCGTTCAGTTCGGCCTCAGCTTCGGCAAACTTCTTCTTCTCCTCCTCTGTCATACCCGGTAGCAGAGGCACCTCCTCCTTGGCGTGCAAGTTGTTGTGGTAGGTACGGATGATCGAGTCAGTGTCGTCAAGAGCGATCTTGCGGATGTCTGCAATGGCCTTGATCTTGGACGTGCACTCCTTGTACTGCGCATCCGTCATCTTCAAGCCAAGCTGCTCAGCACGGCTCTTAATCGCGTTCCATCCGGTAAGCCTGCTGGCGAAGTGTACATATCGGGACATGCCGAAATCTTGCGGGTTGATGATCTCATATGTGGAAGGGTTGTTGAGAATGGCCTTGGCGTGAATGCCAGCCTTGTGGGTAAAGGCACAGAATCCAGTGATGTAGTTGTTGAACGGAATGTTGACCTCAACAAGGTCGGCAACTAGGTCCTCAACTTCCTTGAGCGCCTTGATGTTGTACTTGCTGGTCACATATTCGCGGTCGGCAACGATCATGCGGGCCATCAGGCCTCCGAGGGGAGTGATACCGTTACGCTCACCAATACCAAGTACCGAGGTATCAATGTGCGTGGCACCTGCCTCTAGCGCACAAAAAGCGTTGGCAATGGCGCAGCCAGAGTCGTTGTGGAAATGTGTCTCAATGTCGCAGGAAACGACACCGCGCAGAGTTCGTACAAGATCGTACACTTGACGAGGAGACGCGCAACCAACGGTATCGGCGATACCGACACGGTCTACACCGACCTTGTCAACAGCGCTGTAGATGGACAGAAGATCAACCAGGTCCGATCGGAACGAGTCCTCGGAGCTAAATCGGATCTCCTTGCCCTTGCTCTTGACGAACTCGATCACCTCCAGCGCTGTGTTCTTGATGTATGTCATATCCTTGCCGTGACTGTGCTCGCGGAGGTACGCGGAGGTTCCGATGACGACATCGAGGCCATCAACACCGGTCTCGACAGCGATTCTCGCATCGTCCATGTGGCATCGTACGTGGGTAAGGATCTTGGCTTTCAACTAGCAGGCGTTAGAATGCGTTCTCACGGCTGAGACATTGCCATAAAGTACGTACTCCGAGCTTGCAAAGCGCCTCACAGTCCCTTCTTGACTGCTCAGAGGCAGCAGGGCTGGTGACCTCGATGTCTAAATTTGTTGTCAGTCTCTGGAAATTTCGCGCCAAGCGCCGGGAAGCATAGCCGTACAGTCAACACCAAAGTTGTCAAGAGCTCTGGCAATCTTGATCTTGGCTTCAAGATCGAAGTAGGCGTTGGCGAATTGCTCGCCCTCTCTTAGTGTGCTCTCTGCGCAGGTAAAGTCAGCAACGTTTGGATCTTCTCGATACCAAAACTTCGATCCGCCTGTGTGCGCGTCCGATAGCGCTGGAGATAGGCGTTATGACGTACCAATAATCTTGAATCGGCCGACGTTCGACAAAAAGTCACCCACAGGCGCATACGGGCTCTTGTGTGTAGGGTGAGGGTTCTGTCTGGTGGTAACACCTGTGAAGCCTTCCTTGCTGCCGTTGGCGCCGTTGGTGCCGTTGGTATGGCCGTTGGTAGCGGGAGTTTCTTCGGTGGGAGGACACATGCTGGGCGATTGATGTGGATGTTGATATGTGGAAATGAGAAGTTAAGTAAGAGGAAGTAAGAGGGTTGGGTTGGTGGAGGATGCTGAGTTGGTGAGGTTCTTAAAGAGGGCGGTATTTTTCCCGTGTGAGTCAAGAAGGACAAAAATCTGAGAGCCATGATGAAAGCGCAGGGAATTAGCGCAAAGCTACAGACCGGGGCCGATCCCGGCCTTCGCTCGCATGTGGGGTTACCGTCGGGCGGTGACCAACCAGAAGGCTTTGCTTTAATGCACACAAGGCCTCTCATCAATCTGTTCTCTCTCCACAAACCTGGAGATACCATGCCATTGGCGATCCACCTCACCGCCTTCTTAAACAGACGTGGTCAAAGTATTGGCCGCGGACTTGCTGCACGCGACACCAAGACATGCTCAACACCTTCATCCGCCACATGCTATCGAGTTGTGCAGAAACAAAAGCAAAAGCAATCATCGTAGTGGGTCGCATCACACAATTCTAGATGAAAACATTTTACTACATGATAAGCATAGATGAGTCTTCGCCAGGGTGTCACAACCCCGCTTTTGAGTAAAAGGGCGTGTATGTAGTACGGTACGGGTCGTCCCTTCTCCAATTTCGTGGTGCTACCTTACGCTTGCTGCCCAGCGCGCTCCTGCAACACCAAGAAGATTCCACCAGCTCCCGTCACCTTATACAAGAGGAAAACTAAACACGTCTAGAGCCTACACTAACGCTAGGTTACTTATCTTATACGCTTCTATGTTAATGTAGGCTGCAGGCCTGAGGCCTGTTTAGTTCATTTCTCAGTTAACGTGCCGTACAGCTTCTGTACGACTTCAGATCCATCTGAATGCAACTATGAGCAGCACGTCTTGTTCTCAACCCGATGAGACGGTCACCTGCTCAAGCTTATGCAGGTACTGCTGCTCGATGTACGGTATCGGGTATAGGGAGGACCCTGATCCATACTGGTACTCCTCGTTATGCGTGCTAATCCTAGCGACTCTTACGGTGGGGCACTGGTGTACGCGCCTCTTCTTACCTGTGACCGATGTATTGAGGTGACTTTTGCTGTATTCAGACATTCATATAGACTGCAAGTAGCAGAAAAGGTGTTAAACAGGATGACCCCTGACATCATGATAGGAATGCAAGAGTGGGAAACGAAAAAGAACGGTAATTAAGTCAGAAGCTACATGGTATCACTGCCCCGCCCTGCAACATCATGGTATCTCGAAACAAATTCCAAACGCCGACGTGACTCGTTCATAGGGTATAACAATCTCAGATGCTTTGCTCCATCTCCGTAATGTAGAGCTTGATATGGCTTTCCATCTTAAGATACTCGTCATGAGCAGCGTGCACCTCGTTCTCAATGTTGTCCTTGAGCTCAGCCATCTTCTTCTCCGTCTGTTCGATGCGTACGCGCCTCCTCTCCATTTCCCGTCCTTTCTCACCTCGCTCTTCAGTCAACTTCGCATGTGTCTCGCGTAGCTCCTCCATCCGTTTGCGCGCTCGTTCCGCTTCTTCGTCGCCTTTGGTCTTCAATTTGTTTGTTCGGGCGTTGATATTGCCGAGTTGTTTCTGTAGCAATCGTTCTTGTCGTTCAACGTCGCGTACGTTGTTGCTTCGGTCTGCTAATGCATCTCGATGTCTTGATGCCTTTGCCAGCTCCTCTTCCTCGCGCGACAAATCGGCTTGTACGTCTGTAAGTAATCGTGTGCACGAAGTAACATCGGTCGCAACTACAGCAAATGAGTCGGTGGATGTCTGCAGGGCACGAGCACGGCGGTCCAGCATGTCGATCTGAGTCTTGTCCCCGGTCAGTCGATCGCTGAGGTCCCGCAGGGAGTCCTCCAACGCAGTGGGGCTCTGTTGTGTGTACGGCTTCAGCTTGATGACCTCGCGTTGCACGTTCTCCTTGTTCTCCACTTTCTGTTGCAGCAGCTTCTTCAACCTGTCTTGCTCAGCTTTAGCACGCTCAAGTTTCTCTGCAACCGCTTCTTGACCCCTCTTCAACTCTAGCAGCCTGCTCTTGAGTTCGTTGTTGCGCTTCTCTTTCTCTTGCATCAGCCTTTGTGTCGCCGCGCGGTTGCGCTCGAGCTCAGCCAACTGCATCTCTTTTGCTTGCTTGTCATCGTATAGCTGCTCGATTCGTAGCTTCGTGCGCTCGGCCTTGTTGAAGTGCTCGTCTATGATTTCGGTTTGAGATTCCCGGAAGCGAATGAAGTTGATCATGTACGAGAAGATCTTGACCAGACGACCGTGCGTGGGCTTGTACAGGTCGTTGAAAGTGAAGTCGTGGATGCCACACTGGAATAGTTAGGACGGACTGAAAGGTGTGATTGTCAAAGTCACTTACTTCGCGAAGCAACTTCCTCAGGATGACGAAGAAGGCCATCAGATCCCTGGTGTCGCTTGTATAGAGTCTCTCCGCATCGCCACCGCACATGTCTTCCGCCGCAGCGCGCATTGCCGGCGCAACGACCTCGCGCGTCGTGTTCATGAGTAGCTCGGCGAGCCATTCGAAAACTTTCTGGATGATTTGGGGGTTTGGTTTCTGCAGGTCGGAGACGCTGAACTGGATTCCGATATCTGAGATGCAGCCTGCAATTTCGTGATCGGGCTGTTTTGTTAGTGATGCGCAAAGTCAGAGGGGGGCTGCGCGCATACCAAGGTCATGAAAGCGTCGTGTTCGTTTGCAGGCGGCGCGCGCTGGTTGTGCTGCGTAGTCCGCGCCATGCTCATGCGCCCATTGTAAGACATGTTGGGTCGTTGTGCGATGGTATTCGGCCGTGGGCTTCTCAGTCGTATCGTCTTGGGCTGTTCGCTATCGTGGAGTGGTGGTGTCCAGGCGGTGGGCAGTGTTTGTTTACAGGGTCCAGCGGTTTGTTGGCATGGAAGGAGCGACCTCGGGTGCCGCCCTTCCGGATCCAGTATCGCGCAACAGCGCATCGATCCATAACTCCACACCGACAGCTCACACAATTCTCATCAGTTTGCACAAGATAAGCAACGCGTAGCCGCTATATGCGCTTCTAGCCTGCGGAATGGAAGACATCTGCCGTTCCTATTGCATAAGCCGCAATGCACTCAAATGGTTATGATCAGCCGTGGTCGAAGACGTGCAACCACAATGGTAATGTCCCTAGATGTACATAAAAGTCCAGACTGTGCTTGAGTAGACGATAAGTGTTGACTGTGATTTTTGTTGTTCAATGCTCCGTCTGCTTCATATAGGCTCGAGTTTGGTGCAGACACAGCTCTTGCATATGACAGCGCAAAGAGCAACCGGCCGTCAGTGTTGAGCATGTGCTTGGTCAACAAAGTGGATTCAAAAGTCAAGTCCGGACTCTTACGATAGCAGAAGACCAGAACAGTACTTGTAAAGGCCGAGCTGGCGACAGTCGAAAGTGAGCATTGTGTTTCATTGCTGGAAATCTCATAGATGAGTAGAGTATCAGGGCTGAAAGTACTCTCACACACTAGAAGGACCAAGACTACTAGAGTGCAAGAATGGCAAGCTAACAGATGGCCCTGCAATCCGAGGTGCTCACATCATTCAGGTACAGGGGCTCGCTTCAATTGACGCACTGGTAGGATTTCTCGTTCCTTCATAGTGACACCTTATTCACAGAAAAGATTGAACAGAGCTGCAGCCTACATCAATAAGGGAACATGCAAAGTAGGTGACGGTGTCCTCACGTAGGCTCTAGAGTGTTGATTATTTCTCTGAATGAAGCGATGCTACTGTTAGGCCTTGTTGGCGGGGTAGCTGTGCAACGTTGCTCGTGCGTGAGTCTCCCACGGCATCTACACATGATGCAAGTGAATATTTGCCTTGCTACCGCAACTGCCATTAAGCGTGTGAGGTCTGGCTGTAGTGGTCATGTCTGCATTACCAGGAAATGACAGGAAGTTTAACTCGATTGGCCAAATTGCGCCTCAAGGGTTAGACTTCACAGGCAAGACGCAGTGATGTCTAGGTACTACCTCATACAAAGAAAAAGCTGAACAGGCCTAGAGCCTACATTAGACCAACAGTGAGAGAATATGGAGGCGCAGCATCTATGTAGGCTCGAGGGTGTTCTAATTTTTCCTTGAATGCGGTGGTACTAGGAAGCTAACGACCGCGTTTCCAGCATCAGCTGCGATCTAAAATCGGAGATATCATCCAAACCTTCCGCTCGTGGACGATATAAGGGACCAGATTAGACTTATGACACCGGCCCTACATTCGAAGTTTAATGATTGTTTCGTGCTCGAACGACTCGGGTGACCTGTAAAAACGTGGAGTAGGTAAGTTTAGCTTTGTCCAAGGCTTGCTGTTAGCCGCCGATCTCTCAATAGTGTTAGATCTGGACGCGTGCAAGCGTGTGCGTTTGGGCTACGGCACACTGTGCGTTTCCCCAGACAAGGCGACCCTGGATGCTAGACGCAGTCGTGACGTTGGGTCCTGGAAATGTAGCCGAGACATGCTGCGGGATGCCACTAATGCGAGAAGACTTCTATACGAGAATACAGATAAATAGGACACGATGGAACACAGCATCGTGCACTTGAAACGCAGGCGGGGGTTTCACGGCGTGAAGAGTCTTGGAAGGACCGTTAGTTTTCAGGACGAAAAGCGCAAGCATGTGACAGCGCCCGTTTTCCCGCCCGGCAAAACGGTGTAGTCCGATGATAAGGAACCCCCGCATAACAAATGGGAGAGGTGCCTGTGGGAGACACGGGTACCTGAGTGGAGGACCGCACGACACTGTTACCGTCGCTCGATGGACTGGGAGGGGTACAGGGGGATTCGCTGGCTGGACAATGGCGCCGTTGGCCTGCAAGACCGACGTGGCTGTCCATGTCCCGCTGAATTTTCGACATTCGATACTTCCCGCAGCGCGCTGCCATGCACCGTACCGTCGTCCGATGTGTTGTCCCTGCGGCCTCGCTGGAAATGACGAGAAGTGTTTTTTTCTTAGGCACCGTGGCTCACAGGCCTGGCACCAACTGCGCGGTGTTGGTCGAGAGATTGAGTTGGCGATGCCGGGGCGTGATTGGCCCCGGCGTGATGAGCGAAGCCATGCCAGGTGGGTGAGGGTGGCGTTGGGTACGCTCGTGTCGGAAACGAGGCAGCTTGAGCCGAGTGAATCGGCGTCGCCATACAGAGATGGATGGAGCTGGAGTGATTGATAGAGCTTTTTGGGTCCCAGATTTGAGACTTCGGCATGGTGCGTCGAGGCAGGCGCTGAACAACGTGACCAGTTCTGTGGTGGCAGTCGCGGTGGGCGTAGCAATTGCCCGACGAAACTGAGGCTATTTTAGGTAGTCGCAGATCGGCAGGTCGAGCCACAACCCTGGAGGCAAGCACGGTTAAGCCTGAGCCTGCCAGCCGGTTAGGAGTCTGAGGAGTCTGACATCACGCTCCCTCCCGCTGCATTCACATCATTCGCCTCGCCGTCCATATCACTCTGCCTCCACTTCCATTTTCACGATTCACCAGCCGTTTGCGCCAAGTGCTACCCGTCGCCAAAGCCCGTCCACCATGCAGCCCAACCGCGTATAATCGCTCTCTCACGCTCGCGCCGCCTATCGCGACCGCCGCGACTCAACCCTCCACCCTATTCCCCTGCCTTGCTTCTGTCGCTGCCCTGGCGCTCGCACAGCTCCATGTGGCTGTTTGGGCGAAGACGCAGAAAGGCCGCTAAATTCAGAGACGGACCCACCGAGGTTACAGACAGGAAGCGGCCTGTCGCAGAGCAAGCCAGCACGATTCAGACGGCAAATGGACCGCGACGAGGGCCCAGCCAGCGCCAGCGCCGGCGAAGGGGTAGTTCACGCTCTACCGCATCGGTACGCGACGTTGAAAAGATGCTTCCCGAGCCCGCTTTTGCGAAAGACTGGGTGGTCCAAACGAGCGCCGAAGACATCACCGCCCTGCCCAAGCAGCACCGCTTGGCTCACAGCCCGCACCTGCGCCCAATAACCCACGACCACGCCGGAATCCCCTACAACTTCCACGACCACTCCCATTCCAGCCTGCCGCCCTCAGCAAAGGACCGTGGTAAGCTGCAGCGACCCCAGTCAATGCGCAAGGATATGCCCGGAGACTCTTCCCTGATCCGCCGCAAGTCGAGCAAGAGGCGAAAAGAACATGACCACGTCCGCGAAGAGGAGATCCGCGCCATGTCATTACCAATGCCGCAGAAACGTCCAGCCGCCAGCTCGGGAGGCATGCTCCGCAGAGACAGCAAGAAGGTCAAGGGCGCCCTGAACCACCGCTTCGAGCGTCCCACGTCAAACGTATCGCTGCCCCTCGAAAACTCCATACATTCATCCATGTCTGGCAATTCAGAGAACCGTGCCTTCCGCGTGAGCGCGCTCGACATGTTCTCTCCCCGCCCGACTATCCGCGTCTCCGTCGGCTCCAACCACTACGCCAGCGACCGCATGTCGCCCAACACCTACAGCGACAAATCCACCCGCCGACCCATTAGCAGTACAGATGAGAAAGCGAGCCGAAGGACGAGCCGGATCGACGACCTCGCCGACGAACTCGACGCCGGAGCACTCCGCGATATCCTCGAACGAGACAAGAGGCGGAGAGAGAAGAAGGCCAAGGCCGACCAGGAGCGGTTGCGCAGGAGACTAGAGCGCCGTGCAGAGAAACAAAATGCCATGGAAGCAAGAGGCACGCCTGCGACTCCCAGCAAGGACGGCACCGGCATGGTGGGTCTCGGTATCGAGCGGGAGGCGCCTATGCCCATGGAGGATGTCCGCCCATCTACGCCGCCTCAGCCCCAGCAACTGGAGATGCCCGTCACACCCCGTGCTGAGTACAGTCAATTGCCGACGCCGTTGGAAAGTCCTACAGAAGACCCCGTTGTATCTGATGCCCGAGCGGTTCGTTATTCGCGAGGCAGTGCTTCCGCACAAGTACACACACGCGGACCTTCCAACGCTTCAATCTTGCCAGAACTCATCTCGGAGAAGCTTGCACATGACACGCCTGTAGATTCTATCGAGCACGCGAACGATCCTACCCGAAGCGGCTCGCTGCATCCCGTTGACACGGCCGATACCTTTGTCACGTCAAAACACGGTTCCTCTACACGCCGGCGTAGCTCAGAGGGCAGACGTATGGGTGTATTTGCATCTCTTTTCCGAAGAGGCAAACGCAACTCGCAAGACCAGGCACGACCCACACCATCAGAGATCTCATTTTCCAACACATCGCGAGAGTCCATGTCTCGCCAACCCCTCCCACCTCACCTGGTTGGAACCGCTCCTCCTACTCAACCAATTCAGATCAAGAGACCTTCCAGCGTACCCCGACGGACAATGTCCAAATTCAGGGAAGACCTACCGGAATTCCCCCTGTCACCTCCAGATTCACGGGTGCAGTCGCCAGAAGTCCCTTCCACAAGCGTCATCGCCGCTCGCCGTAGAAGCCAGCATCTCTCAGACCTCCGTGTGGGATCACTTCCTGGAGATCGCTCAGATTCTCCAGTCAGTCCAGGGGCGCCTATCAATGTCATGTCGCAATCACTCGCCTCTGTCGACTCTGAGGGGTCGTGGCTCTCTGGTAGACCACCCAAGCGATCGTCGAACCGGTCGCAGATGCGCGCCAGTCTGACATCCTCAGCCCCGCAACGCAATGACGATTTCAGTGCGTCCTACGAGGAATTAGGCATGGCGGACGATGAATACTTCAAAAAGTTAACCCCGCTGCCAGACCAAAGAGGTCGATCTCCTTATGCAAGCGATGATCGGGGACGCAAGGCTAGCAGCACGCTCATGACGCTAGACGCCGCTGCTGAGTCGGATGAGGAGGCTGAGCCTGCACCTGCGCAGATGCCTTCTGGCCAGGAAGAAGAATTTGTCCAAGGAAGCGTCGTTCGCCAGCCCACCATCATCCATCGCCGACCCCGCGTTAAATCGACTGAAGGCCTCCTAAGCATGTTTCTCGATGATACTGAGGATCCATCATCCAAGGTTGCCGATATGGGGCAAGAGTCACCGGACCCGGACTCACCGACGTCCCCAACGTCGGATAGTGAGCCAGTCATGCTTCAGCGCGCTAGAAGCGTCGATCTCGGGAAGGGTCACGTTCGTCACCTCAGCGCTGGTTCCGCTAGGCTCCTGGACATTCAGAAGCGATCTAGTACACCAGTACAAGGCCGATCGCACGGGCTGTCCGGGCAAGAGTAACACTCCCATTTTCGATGATTGATATGTTTCAGGAACACGCATGCATGCCACGCCGCGCCATTCATTTTGCTTTCCTTTGTATCCTGTCGCTCCTTACCATTTCCTTGCATGTCTCTTCCAACTACGACCACTCATTTGTATTTCCTTGCCTATCTCTTGCTTTTTCTGGCTTGGCTGCATGCGTCTCCTGAACCAATCGACCCTTGGATGGATGTCCTCGCTCGGATTACCTACCTGCATTCGGATCGTCTTCCAGACTGCATAGCGTGGTGTTGGTGTTTGTTTCAGAGTTATTTTTCGGCATGTTACCACAAGCTGCCTGTGGCGGCTTCTGTGATGCCCTCATTTCCGGTTGTGATTTTTAGGCGTGTTAGGAACTATCTGTAGTATATAGACGGGCTTGAGGCCTGAATTCGGGATTTGGATTGTCACATTGTATAACGTTTAGGGCAGATACCACGGGCACGGCGTCGAGAAGATGCTGCGTTCACCACTCTTTATGAAGAGACTTTAGTTTAAATCAGCTGTATCAGCTTTGTATCTTGTATTATCGGACCTCGACGATGCTCTCATCGTGTTGTGACGTAGCGTGTACGTCTTGTAGGCCACTTGAAATGGCGGTGGTGCAAGGGAATTTTAACCTAGCATGGCATCTCGCGCGACACAGAGATGACTGCTACGTCGAACACGATACCGTGAGCCGTGATCCTCTCGTATCCATTGCCGCATCTAACGTACGAGGCTGTTCAAAGGCAGGGGAAGCACATGCATGCCGCCGTCGCCTTGCCAAAGGAAGCAGGAGGACCCTGGTGGGGCAAATCGGGCGGTCGGGCAAGCACGTCATCTATCATGGCAGCCCCTCTGCGCCGCGAGTGTACAGTAATCCGCGCTTTATCATCATAACGCCAGACCTAGGAACCCTTTAGAAACCCTACTCCCTCGTCCGTTCCATATACCCGCCGATATTTGAAATTGTAAGTACCAAGTCCCTATCTCCAGCTACTCTCCGCCCGCCATCACTGCGAATCTTCGATTTGCGCAGGGACTCGAACGGCTTTGCCGAAAAATAAGCGCATCAGAATTGTTATCGGCAACGGCGGCCAGTTCATTCCATCAGCCGAATTCTTTGAAATCGCCTTCCCCTGCTGTCTCATTACCCTTCTACATATACTATGTTCGCGCCGTCGTCCTTCCGAGCTACCAGAACACTGCTCACATCTGCGCGCCTGCGAACAGCCATCCACCCCACATCGACCGCAAACCTCTACCGACCACTCTTCACCCAAAAGTTCTTCTCCAACACCGCCAAAATGAGCGACGAAAAGCAGGGTGTACACAACCTCATGAAGTGAGTCATTCCCATCGCATCTCATGTGAAATGCGCGACGTCATACGCCATCGGCATGCGCTGACGCGACGGCATCGTAGGACGAGCGACTTCGACGAGGCCATGGCTGTGAAGGACACCCTCATGGTCCTCGACTGCTTCGCGACATGGTGCGGCCCTTGTAAAGTGATCGCTCCCCAGGTCGTCAAGTAAGTATCCGCACTGCCCTGGCAGCTAGCCGCGACTAACCGCCTTGTAGGTTCTCCGAGAAGTACCCCAGCGCGCGCTTCTACAAGCTCGACGTCGACGAACTCTCCGAGGTTGCAGGAAAGCTCGGCATCCGCGCCATGCCCACCTTCATCCTTTTCAAGAACGGCGACAAGGTTGCCGAGGTCGTTGGTGCCAACCCCAAGGCTCTCGAGACCGCTATCCAGAACAACCTCGAGGCATAGAGCGCACAACCCAAGACGCCCCGCAAGCACCGACGATCGCGTCCAGCTCCAGACTAGACTCGGATATTGATTAGACGGATACTGTTTTGTTGAGGGTTTGAATCATGGGCAACAAGCGGGGAAGTAGCATCGTGATAGTAATTTCCAATATCAACTGCTACAAACATCTTGCACTTGACCATTGGAGACAGCTATTCAGGCGCACGCATTGCCGGCTGCGCAATGTGAACGGTAGCATTGTGAATGTGACAGTAGCTTTGATTCCGGAGAGTTTGCCTTGGGTGAGTCGCGATTACCAAGAACGATCGGAAAATTGACATTTGTAATTGAACTGAGGAAAATGGAAGGTGGGGCTTTGGGCCAGAGGAGAAGGCACGGCTGGAAAGCTAGTGGGGTTGTGCATCGTGTTGCAATACCATCCCCAGACTCCCTTACCATTTTCGCACTTCGTCATTGTATAGAATAATTACTTCCACTTTATTTTCTTTCTTTCGCATCTAGACTTTGGCTGGCTCGGTATGCGATCTAAGCTATTTCTAGAAACTAGATGTTTTCCCAGAACATCAGCGCTTGCCACAGCTACTTCCCCTTCGAGGCCGCACGAGTTTTGTTCTAGCCCCAACTTCTCGATGACAAAAACCGCGCGAAACCTATCACCAGTCTATACTTAGGTGCGTCAGGAAGGACCACTTGCGATAAGAAGGGCGCATCTAGTACAACCTCCGTCTCCACCCACCAACTTCTTAGTTCTCTGGACGCCCAAACTTTCGTTCATGACGAAAGGGATTCAAGTTCTTTGCGAAACGCTTGACGCGATTGCGCTTTGAATCCTTACGCTGCACACCTGATACTCGCTGCAAACCACCTAGAGCCGGCTGATACATGTCACTACTGATAGTCGGCACACGTACAGGTGTACTGTGATGTTCTGACACTGCTGATTCGTGTTCAAGAGCTGATGCGTTTGAAGTTGTGATGATCCCGGACTGCGGGCGTTTGCGCTTCGATTCCTCTTCTGGTATACGTGTAGTTTTGGCGGCAGCAGCAGTTGTGGAGTATCGTTTGGGGGCGGCTACTGGTTGCTGAGAGAGATCGCCCAGATGAGTATGGTTGGAGCTTTCGGGAAGATATGAGTCTGGCTCAATCACTGGAAGATCTTGGTCCGAGTCGTACTCTTCAGCCGGCGGTGCAGGGAGTGGATGATCGGGTCGAAGGAAGTCTTCCGCCGTTGGCTGACGGATCAGGCCACTATTATTACCATGCATAGCGCTCTTGGGATGTTCGTTCACATCATGACCGCGCAAGGGGTATGGTGGTGATCGTGCAAAACCATATTCTCTTCTTTCCCTATCCATGATTGGCCCAACATACTCATTGTGGTCGGGCATATCGATAGAGTGCTGTTCTCTAGACTGGATATCGCCCATAAAGGTGCTGTACGAGTATGTCAGCGGCTGAGTTCTGCCAAAATTGTTCTCCGCGGCGGCCCCTTGATGATATTGTGATCCAATATCATCTCTAGATGGATACTCCCACATGTGTTGACCTGCGTACAGAGTTGGCCGTGTAAGAGCAGAAGAGGGTGGTGATAACTGCACTGGCCGTGACGCCGTGAACTGTACAGACGAGAAGCCTTCTAAAGGCTCTATCCGAGATGGTGTATTAGGACGTGATGAGGGGTACGGAGCCTTTGTTCCTGTGTCCATGCTTGATCTTCTTAACATCCCTAGTACATGTCTTGCTCGGATGAACCTTCGCGGTTTTGTGGTAACGGAAAAGGTACTAAACTTCTGGTCACCTGTTTTTGAGTTGAGGTTCAAGATCAGATGCGCGTGATAATGAGTTCCTAACGTGGACCGAATGCACTGTGTGGCAGTGCGACACAGCGCAAACGCTATGAAAGCCTGGTTTAATCGTAGGGAGCTCAAGGAAGCGGGCGCCGTCAATGACATGGCGGAATTCACAACCATCAAGTTCGTCAAATTCACTGCGTTGCAGTGCTTCAGACACCAGAACATGAATGCGCTTGCCAGATCACTACGTGCATAATACCTGCATGTTCCGCATCTAACCAACAGCGATTGAACCGTCAAAAATCAGCCTATGCCGCATGTTACATACTAACATTCACATGCCGCCCACACTTTGATATGAGTTGCCGACTTGCAGGGCAGAGACGCTGCGAACTTCATCCTCCACCATCATACACAAGTTTACCCCCACTCACGATGTTCTCACCACTTGGCCAAAACCCTGCAACTCCCAATCGCACTGCGCCGGCGCCTGTTACCAGCAGTCGGTGGGATAATGCTCGAGAATATAGGCGAAGAGTGCAACGAGCGCCTCAAATAGACCCTCGCTCTGATGTCTCGATCCCAGATGTAGAACAGCATGCCGAATTCTGGGTACGAAAGCTCGTCCTGGCCATGATAAATCTCGAAGACATCAAGGATCCTGAGAATTCAAGCGCAGCCAGGATGTTTCGACCAGAAGCGTACGACTCTCTACTGCTCGAGGCGACGTGTCGCGAAATCTTCTCAGCTCTAATCGACCGGTGCAAGAGTGGCTTCCGAGGGCCAGCTCAGTTCAACAAAGCCCTGAAACCCCACCGTGGTCTCGAGGCTGATGCTGATGCGACGTGCGCAGAGCGCATGCAGAATGTAGTGAATGCACTGCTGTGGAATAAAAGAGTTGCGAAAGACGTGTTATTTGAAGACTGGAAGATTCGGCTGCTTGTAAACCATCCTTTGGCTTACGATAAGGAGAAGGATTCACAGAAGGGCTCGAACGATCAGCGGAGAAAGAGACTGGAATCCGAAAGGGAGAAGCTGAGACAGACTGAACAGGAATTGCTTGCTTATCGCTCTAGTCAGGAACGATCATGATAGAGCGGTGGAGGAGCGATGTGGCGGATAAGGCAGGGCTATCGAATCAACTTGACGTGAGTCAACTTGATTGGAGATGAGATATGCTTGATCAGTATAATCGTAAACTTCCTAAGCAATTATGGTCAGTGAAAGCGTACCACCGGGACCGTTCTTAGTTATTGAGTCAGCAACGTGACCCGGGGTCTTTGCCAGGTATGCAAGGAATGTGAAGGTGGCCGTTACAGGTCTATCGCTCGCAATCAGAACTGATGATCGGTCTGCGATGCGTCGCTTCAGTAGTGCGTGAGAGATGAACGCTGCGCAGCGCTGGAGGTGTGTGGGAAAAGAGAGGGGGCGATAGCCAAAAGCTGCCTAGTCCAGGCGGGGCGTGCTTGGCGCTTGAACAAGGACACCGCGACCAGTCCACACCTTTCTTTCAGGATGGTAGTAGTTATGCCGATGGTTTCCTTAACACCTACTTCCTTGCGTCTTAAGATCCAATGATACATATCCGAACGCGTCGTTCATTGACAGACTACCTTCCGCTCAATCAGACCACCGCGACGAAGGCTTCGTTACGCCCAGGAGCAATAGTAAGACATGATGGAAGCTCACTCCCGAGGTCACTTGGGCATTATCCATCGGAGTAGATCTTCAGGATAAGGGTTGCCACATTGCTTGATGAGGAAGGTCGCGATGTAGGGTATGTCAAGATATTGTCAGATCTTGGACGTTCGACCGTCTTGGTTTACTACCAGGTGGCCAACAACCCCCTCATATCTCATGTTGCTTTTCATTGGGTGCTATCTGCTTGGCCTGGTATCGAAATGCCTGCCAAGATCAGGTCGCAAACGTTCAAGAACGGCGCAGCCGTTAGCATCGCTCGGCGCCAACCGCTTATCCGAGATACCCAGAAATCCAAGAACGTAGAATGGAATTCGAGCGAGTACCGAGCGCCTTGCACAGACAGTTATCTCTGGGCGATCAGGGTACCGGAAAGATTGTCTGGTGCCGAGAACGTTGTGAATGGTAATACAGTGCCACGACTTTGCTGAATGAGGCAGCTCGCAATCCGAAGGAAGATGCCATGGAGATTTATATAACCCAGCGAGTTGGCCGAAGTGTTTGAGAAAAAAACGTCCTCACCAGCCGCCATGTCTACAGGGGCAAATCTCGAGATTGTTGACGCCGCATTGGCGAATGCACCTCGTCTTCACAACGACACACGGGGCAGTGCGAGCTTGGAGAAGCATGACAAGTTTGTGTCAACTTCCGAGAGCCTTATTGGCCCCAATGGCGAGCAATACCCTACCGAAGAAGACTGGGGAAAGCTTCGTCGTGTGTATGGTAAAGTCAATTGGATGAGTACGCACATCTTTTCTACAAAGTCTCCATGTACCATGCGCTGACGTACCAACCCGCTACTAGTCTATATCATCGGTGTTGTAGAAATGTGTGAGCGTTTTGCTTACTACGGAACGACCGCCGTCTTTGTCAACTTCATTCAGAGAGACCTCCCCACGTCAGGGCCCTTCCCTGAAGCCGGTGCCGCCGGCGACGGTCAACCAGGAGCCCTTGGAATGGGCCAGCGTGCTAGTACAGGCCTTGTTCAATTCAACTCATTCTTCTCGTACATCATGCCGCTAGTTGGTAAGCGTAATCTCTGTTTCCGCGCAAGAATTGTACTAATCTTCTCACTAGGCGGTTGGGTTGCTGACGAATACTGGGGCAAATTCAAGACGATTTACTTCGCAATTGCCGTTGCTACACTTGGTCATATCTTAATCATAATTGCCGCGATCCCTCAGGTCATGGGACCAAATCCCGAAGGAGCTCTTGCCTCGTTCATTCTGGGCCTCATTCTATTTGGCACCGGTGTGTAAGTGTCTCCGCACGGAACGCACTAAATCCATATGCTAACCACTTGCAGGGGCTTCTTCAAATGCTGCATCTCTCCGCTCATTGCAGAACAATATGAGGCCAGTCATCCGCGAGCTTTCATTCGTACCGAGCCCAATGGTGAACGGGTTATAGTTGACCCTGGCATCACATACTCTCGAGTATACATGCGTTACTACCTTCTGATCAATGTTGGTGCGCTGGTCGGCCAAGTCTCTATGGGTAAGCAATATTCGATAAACCGTGCGATATGGTAGCTAACGTCCATTATAGTATATGCCGAGAAATACGTCGGCTTCTGGCTCTCCTTCACGTTACCAACTATTCTCTTTGCGCTTTGCCCGCTTCTGATGGTCACCCTCAGCAAGCACTACGTCAAGAAACCCCCACAGGGTGATGTGCTGGTCAAGTCCATGCGAACGTATGGGTTGGTTCTGAAAGGGCGCTTCTCGCTCAATCCCGTGCGTACGTGGAAGAACCTCTCTGATCCGAATATCTGGGACGCTGCAAAACCAAGCAAAGTCGCCAACAAGCCAGTATGGATGACTTTCGATGACGCGTGGGTGGACGAAGTTCGACGTGGCATCAAGGCCTGTCAAGTGTTCTTCTGGTTGCCCATCTTTTGGCTGCCTTATGGTCAAATGTGAGTATCGTTGGTACCTTCGATGCACATAAGACAAGCGCTGACCGTCTTCAAGGACCAGTAACCTGGTTTCGCAGGCGTCCACCATGAAGCTCAATGGTGTACCAAACGATGTGGTACATAACCTGGTATGTTCTTAACACCTAAATACACGATAGAAGAAGTCTAACGCGAATTGCTCATAGAATCCATTCACGCTCCTGATCTGCATTCCGATATTCGACAAATTTATCTACCCGAGGCTTGCTCACATGGGGATCAACTTCACACCTCTGAAGAAGATCCAAGCTGGTTTCGTCTGCGCTATGCTTTCCATGGTGGTTGCAGCAGTCATCCAACACTTCATCTACCAGAAATCGCCTTGCGGAGAGTTCCCAACAGACTGCGATCAGCCCCCGGATCTCTCAGTGTGGACCCAGGTTCCTGCATACATTCTCATCGCATTCTCGGAGATCTTCGCCAGCATTACGGGACTTGAATACGCGTTCTCCAAAGCACCAAAGAACATGCGATCTTTGGTGACTGGCATGTTTTGGTTCACGCACGCTTTCTCGTCTGCCATCGCTCAGGCCTTCGTGCCATTGGCCGGTGATCCATTGCTCGTGTGGCTGTACATGAGCATTGCCATTCTTACGTTCCTTGGCTGGGTCGGCTTTGCCTGGACTTTCCGCAGCTTGGACCGAGAGAATGACCAACTTGACAAACTCCCTGAAGGTGGCTTCCAATCCAACGCCGAGTACACCGCGGCGAAGACTGAGAATGTGGAAAGGGCTTGATCTCAAGAGCATCACTTACTGTTCGATATTCAAGATCTCTGCTGGACTATTACATAGCTTGTGGAATGGTAAAGGACAGTTTCACACCCCATGTGCGACTTTTTATGACTTGATGTGAAGCTCAAAGCCAGGCCTGCAGCCTACATCAACATACAAGCATGCAAAGTAGATGACCTAACGTTAGTGTAGGCGCTAGACCTGTTCAACCCTTTTCTGGTATGAAGTGGAAGCAGCGGCCATGACTGAATATGATGAGGCAACATCCGATAACATTTGCTCCGCGGAGGCTACCCAGGTTTCCGACACCGTCACAACCGCGCACGCGTCTACCAGAGGTGAGCAGTCTTTTGCGACCATCGCAATACTCTATCGTCAGAAGATCAATGATTCACCTTAAGATGGAGGAAAGGGTGCTCACGAGCTGACGAAGTCATTCTCAAAACGACTGTTGTTCACCTTCTCGCGCGCACATCACATAAAGCAGTAGCCGCCTTTATCGGTCGGTTCTTGCAAAGCGCAGTTCATGCAAACACCAATATTACAAAGCCCAGTCCCATTCATACAATCGTGCTTTGAAAGAAACAATCGCGGCATGAACAGTTATTCCCGATGACATACGTCAGGTCTATCGCCTCTTTAGGCAAAGCGCTGCCTCGGGGAGCATGGGCGACGCTAAATCCAAGGCTCTAGCCATGAACACATCAAAAGTTCTCCAGCGAAAACCCACTTTCGCATCTCCCGTCACAAGCATTCGAAGAAGCCCCAGTTTAAAAAGCATAGCGTTTTGCTTATGTGTCGGAGGCTTTCCTGCCCTTTCCGATGATGGCTCGCGGGCGTCACGTCACGGAGATAAAGCCCGTGGCGGTTTTCTCAAGCTCCTAAAAGGTTGCGAAACGGTCTTCTGATTAGACCCTATAATCTTTTTTAGCTACATTTTTGTTTCCTTCCTATTATGGCGTTCTTTTTACAGTACAGAGCTCTTCGGCGGCATGTGAAGGAAGAATTGCAACGCGTAGCTGAAGTCTCAGACCCACTGACTGCTCGTACTGCACGCTCGCCCGACGAGGCACATGGGTCGGGGGATTCAGCGTTGCCAAAGGAGCTGGAAAAAGGTGAACCGTTCACTCGGATTCCAGGCATCACGCTGAGAGAAGATGGTAACAACGAGCTGTATTACCAGGTTGATTGGAGCGGGCCCGATGACCAACACAACCCAAAGCAATTCTCAACCCTACACCGTATTGGTGCGACGTTACTCGTATGCCTTGTCGCTTTCGTTGCGACTCTTGCATCTTCTATCGACTCTGCAGTTCTCACCAGAGCGTCTGCTGAGTTTGGGGTTTCGGAGGTAGCGGAGTCGTTGGCTACTGCACTCTTTTTGGTAGGCTTTGGCTTCGGGGCTCTTTTGCTGAGGTAAGTTGGACGAACGAATCGCATGTAGACTATAAACTGACATCGTATCTTCACATTTTTAGCCCGCTCTCGGAGCTCCTCGGACGATACCCAGTCTATCTTGGTTCGCTCCTCGTCTTCGCGTGCTGGACTCTAGGATCCGCTTTAGCCCCGAATTTTGGCGCCCAAATTACCTTCAGATTCCTAGCTGGATTTTCTGCTAGTACTCCTCTCACGGTTGCGGGCGGCTCTGTGGGGGATCTATGGAGTCCAGTGGAAAAGACATTCGCCTTTCCACTATTCGCGATACCCGCATTCGGCGGACCAGTCTTGGGTGAGTCTTTCGTTTCCAACCCGCTTCTTCAGCCTCACTGACCACACATGAAAACAGGTCCAGTGATAGGTGCATACATTGGCTACGAGCAGGATGTCAGCTGGAGATGGACCGAGTGGATAACATTGATCTTGATCGGAGTAACTTTCACGCTGATACTGCTCTTCAAAAGGGAATCATTCGCACCGCGGCTCTTGCACTATAAAGCACATCATTTCCGGAAGTTTACGGGGAACAATCGTTTCCTCACTGCAACAGAAGCATCGCATGGCTCTATCGGCGACCTCATATCCAGATCTTTTCTTCGACCGTTTCTTCTCTGCACACAGCCAATCGTCGTAGCTTTTACTGTTTACTTGATGATTGTCTACATCATATTGTTCACGTTCTTGGATGGGTATGTGACTTTTAGAGATCGTGAAACGGCAGTCGCGAAGAGCACCGCTAACGTTCTTGCAGCTACCCTTACATCTTTGCGGAAACTTTCGACATCAATGAGGGGCTATCCAACATCTGCTTCGTTGGTTTATTCGTCGGCATAGCTCTTTCCGCGCTTCTTGTTCCAGTAGCATACCGCAGAACCGTGCGACAACTCGAGAAAGATGGAGACGATGGATCCGGCAAAGCTATACACCGCGAGTCAAGATTGTTTTTTGCCATGATTGGAGCACCTACACTGCCTATTGGTCTCTTCTGGATGGGGTGGACTGACTATGTAAGTATACGCTATGCCTGTCTCTCACTCTCTATGCAGACGTCTAACCAGCCTTAGGCTTCGGTGTCGATATGGTCGCCTCTAGCGGCGTCGTTGCTCGTTGGCTTCAGCAACATTTGCATCTTCATGTCCGCGTACATGTACATCATCGACAGCTACGAAGCATATGCAGCATCGGCCTTGACGTTTGTGGCGCTGGTCCGATATATTGCAGCTGGTGGGATGACTGTTGTTGGTATTCCAATGTACAGGAACTTGGGGACTCATTGGACTTTGACTCTGCTTGGTATCATCAGTGTCGTAGCACTGCCAATTCCCTACGTACTTTATCGCTTCGGGCCAAGCCTCCGAAAACGCAGCAAGTGGGCAGTACAATAAGGCTCATGTGGTGCGCAAGATGATGATTCTTGTGTCAAATCTAGACGTGAGAGCACGCGCGGTCTTGAGCAAGAGCAGGTTTCTGAACAGGCATGTTTTGCTGCTCAGTCTCACAGAGTTCTTCGGGTAGACGTGATGGTTTGGGTGATGAGAGGTCATGGCTCGATATCAAGCGAGCTCGGATGAAGAGGCCTTACTGCTGGCGTCGCGTTGTTCCGGCGAAGGATGATCGACATCAGCTCGAATATGATATGTTTCAGACATACAAGTCTTCGTGATTACTGTGCGCACATGCCCTTCCAGGACCTGCGCATGGCACGCTCGGTACTATGACACGCTTCCAGAAGCGATACTAGTCCAATTCCAGAACAGACGCGTCGTGATCTTGCGACGCGACTGATGACGTATCTTCGATGCAACACAGAGACGAGCTTGTCACCAGCTGCTCGCAAAGCAAAGACGGTGACAGCGTCGGGTGAAGCGACCACTGATCTTACAACACGCTCGTGGAGGAAGCTGCAGAATCGTAATCTTCCCACCCGTATGCCGAGTGAAATCTATACCGTCGATTTATACCGCGCAGTATGAGGTGGAGGCTGGCCAACGCCCGTGCCATCGTTGCCGACATACTTGCAGAGAACGCAACAGTGACATGATGTTCTCCCGCAAACGTCGCGTTGTAAGTCGTAGGCGCGTTGACTCGAGGAACAGGCCGCTTTAGTTGGGTGCTCATATCGCTTCGAACACAATCTCCTGAACCCAGTCCTCACGATCCTCAGAGCCCAACGCGCGTGCAGTATCCTCCCGTGCGCGCAAAGTCTTCTCCAACATATCATGAGATAATTTACCGAGCCAAACTTTCGCTGCCGATCCCTACGACTTGCAGCAGTTTTTCCGTTTCCCATATTTCAACGTTTTGATGTTGCAGGGTTCGGTACGAAGCGCTGTATACGGCGCAAGCGACAGACCAAGACGTCTCCACAAAAGTCGGGGGCAGGGGGCACACTTGTCAACATCCCTACAAACGAGAACGTGCCGCAATCATACATATGAAGGTTGAAAAAGGGTCAGCGTACCTTCCCCATGCAGACATTGCAGCGTGGTGTGCACATCGGAGATTTTCTTTTGCCGTTGTTGGTCTTCTGCCGTGGTTGAGCTTGGTGGGGGTCCACATGTAATTTTGTAGGAAGATGGGGGCGCCGACCAATCGTAGTGCCTCGTGTGGCGTGAAAGGATTTGGACACGGCCGGTACAGATAGACGATAGGTGTTACAAATTGGTGAGGGTCCGACGATGCGATAACAGGCTTGCGCCTAGACTTGGGCACACACTCTGCATTTGCTCGATGCTGCTTTAAGCAGATATCGCATCTATCTGAAAGCGACGTTGTGACTATGCGAGTGTTAGCTGTGACGCAGCAACATCGTGATCGTTCAAGATCGCCCGAAACGGCTACCACACGTGTTATGACACTGTAGGTGAAAAACGGAAGCAAGAAATGAGCGCAGGTATCTCCAGTCGGCATGTACGAACAAGGACTAATACCAAGCATTGCTAGTGTGAACCGAACACGGTGCGGTATCTGGTGCGGATACGAGATCGTGGTGGTATTGTCCTCATAGTCGGTGTAGTCAAACGGCGCGCGCTTATGTGTCGTGCTATACCCTCTCTCATCGCATCGTCATCTCGTACTGTTTTACTTCTGCTCCTTCAACTTGTCTTCAATCTCCTCCAAATCCTCGGCACTGTCGATCTCGATGATGCGGTTCACCTCACTTGTGTTCCGCATGAGCTCTTTTGCGCCGGCGTACAGCATCTTCACCTCGCTGTTGCATGTGATGGGCAGGTAGTATAGCATGACGTATGGTACCGATAACCGTCCCGAGTCCTATCAAGTCTCAGCTTCCCTTGCGATGTGTATGGTGGGTGCGGCGTACGAGGGTCAACGGGTAGCTCAAGAGCACAAATCGCGGTGCGTGGTCTGGGAGCTCATCGGCGAGACTCTGTACGTCGGTGTAGACCTCATCGTCCGACTGGCGTACTTCGAGCGTCTTCTTATCGATTTCGTCTGGCGCGCATGGGCGTCAGCGCCATTGTAGAGGGCAGGGCCGCGGCTGGCTGTGGCAGGAACGACTGCGGCAAAAGCAGACCTAGGTATACGAACAGATAACGGCCTGGGGGTCTTTGGCGCGCGAGGTGCCCAGGCGGAACTTGCGTAGCTTGGACTTGGTCTCTTCAGAGAAGGTGTATAGTCGTGCCTCGGAAGACTAGGCCGAAGTATTAGCGGACGACCCGGCATGACGCGCGTAGCAGCGAAGTGATGGCGGCACTTGCCATGATTTCGCACGATGCAGCAGACCTAGGTTGGCAGCGGGCGTTTGAGGATGGTCGGGGGTGGTGTAGGGCTGAGGAAGTCTGCCGGGCGGGATACGTTCGTCAGCGGGGTCCTTGGGCGGGGGTTCCTGAGGTCGCGGATGGCGCTAGCTAATGCACTACCGTCAAGTCGATACACCCTCACCTTTCTAGAAGGCTTTTCTTCTCATGCAACTAGCTACTCATATCCTCTAACCCCCTGAGTTACTCGTCTTGATCCATGTTCGGACGACTGAATCAGGTTGCCAGGCACTTGTCTCGTCCTATCCCCAACTTTGCTCATCGTTCTGCCGCCTCGTTCCGTCCATCGATAACGTCATCAGTCATGGCTTCGACACAACAGAAGAGTTTGATTCACACAGCGGGTTGTTTGATCATTGGCGATGAAGTCCTTGGAGGCAAGGTATGTATGTGGGAATCGATTGAGATTTCTGGCAGCTGACGTGAAACATAGACAGTCGACACGAACTCGGTAGACTATGCCGCATCAACGGCGTGGTACCTCGACTAATGTCACACAGGCCTACTTCGCCAAGTTCTGCTTCTCACTGGGCATCAACCTGCGCCGCATCGAAGTCATTGCTGACGACGAAGGCGAGATCATCGAAGCCGTCCAACGCATGTCGAAGAATTACGACATGGTTGTGACGAGCGGCGGAATTGGTCCCACGTGAGTGCAGCGTGTTCGCTACACCACGCAGCCGCTGAGCTAATGGGCGTCTAGTCACGACGACATCACGTACCAGTCGATAGCGAAGGCTTTCGGCTTGCCGTTGAAGTTACACGATGCAGCATTCCAGCGCATGAAGCGCCTGTCGAAGCCGCACAAGTCTCAGCCCGACTTTGACTGGAACGTTGAGTCTCCAGCGCTTAAAGCCAAGAAACGCATGGTGGAGCTGCCTATCGATGATTCTAAATCAGATGAAGATCAAGTGGTTTTTGTCAGCGAGTCGCTTTGGGTTCCCGTTAGCGTTGTGAACGGTAACATCCATATTTTGCCCGGGGTGCCTAGATTGTTTGAAGCGATGCTGGACGGGCTGAAGCCCCGCATCCTGCCTAGGCTGACAGATCCGGAGGGCAAAGGCGTGCTGCGGATCCTCATCTCGACTCCGATGGCTGAGAGTGCCGTTGCTGGATATCTGACCGAGCTCGCAGCCAAGGCAGAGCCGAAGGGGGTCAAGGTGGGAAGCTACCCAAGGTGGGGAAAGGACCACAACACGGTAACGCTAGTCGGACGCGACCGCGAGTTCATGGAAAGTTTGGTGCCTGAGGTAGAAAAGGCGGTTCAGGGGAGGCGCGTAGCGGTTGAAGGCGAGGACGACGCTGACACGTCTGACAAGGACTCGTAGAGGGTGAGCCGCGGGAGTAGTGCCGCAGCGACAGTGTATATATTGAGTGTCTAGACGCAGGGACTTTTGGTGAAAATAGAATGCCTGTGAAGATGATGTTGGGACTAGACGACGGCTAGGGTGCTTCTCGAAGATTTGTCGAAGCAGCTGTGCCGTGGCCACGCTGGACCCTGGTAGAGGCTAGATGGAGGTGAGGATTCAGACAGAGTCGGTCACCGTGGTGCTCGGGGCGATGGTCGCGGATGGTGGCAGAGGGTACCCGCCGACCCCGCCTGGGAGGGTTCCGTGTGGGCGTGGCATGAGGGTTCCGGGCATGGGCATCAGTGTGCTTCACGGCCAGCACCCGCATATTCGGGCAGTCACATGCACGGGAGACATGCAAACGCGAAAGCGACGCGGTGTGCGGCTAGACAGCCAACGTCTTTTGCGGCCGCCTCCCCCTTCGCATCACGTCGAACCATCCCTTGCGCACAGTAGTGGTTCGTGGGCAGCGTCCGTGCATGTGGGCGTCGGCGCTGGGATCGCATGGAAGCGTCGGAGGCGCGCGCCCATGCAGTGCGCTGCAGACATGTGCCGCCGCTTTAGGGTGCCTTTGTTTTGGCAGGGCAGCGGAAGGGCAGCGGACGTGGGTAGGCGTGCGCGCAGAGGCATGCAGCAGCAAATAGCAGGCGCTGCAGGCGGTGCAGCCAAACGCCTTGCAGCCCATCTCGCGCGTGCAGCACTCTGGGCTGGTGTGGTGGAGCGGCGGCGGGCGTCCTTTTTGGTTGGCAGGGCTAGCAGGCTAGCGCTCTGGCCGCGCGCGCGCCCATGTCCTAGTCAGCGAAGTCAGCGTAGCGCAGCCCATGTTCCTTCAAAGCCCCAGACGGAGCTAGAGGGTCGTTTTTGCTACCGAGATCATCCTGCTCGTCTCTCCCGTCCTCCTCTACCGCGACGACTCTCCTGGCCATCTCCCTCGCTGCTGATAATCCGGCCACGACCTCACCATCACCGCCCGTCACAGCCCCGATACGCCTGTCGCATCGCCACCACTCCCGCCGCCCGTGACCGCCGCCCCTACAGCCTCCTTCTCTTCTCTTCTGCTCTGCTCTACTCTACTAGACCTATACCCTATACCCTAATTCATCGCCCGCGACCTGTAACCGTCCGGCACCTCCCTCACATTCACAATGGCATCAAAGGTAGGCGCCCAGCACCGCCCGCGCCGCACGCGCCCCTGCTAACCCGCGCCAGTTTCTCCGAGAATACAAGCTGGTAGTCGTCGGCGGCGGTGGAGTCGGAAAGTCGTGTTTGACTATCCAGCTGATCCAGAGCCACTTCGTAGACGAGTACGACCCGACCATCGAGGGTGAGCAATTACGATCCGCCGCGTCATGCGCAAAAGCAAGCTAACAGCGCCAGACTCGTACCGCAAGCAGTGCGTCATCGACGACGAGGTTGCGCTGCTCGATGTGCTCGACACAGCCGGCCAGGAGGAGTACTCAGCCATGCGCGAGCAGTACATGCGCACAGGAGAGGGCTTCCTGCTCGTCTACTCGATAACCGACAGGCAGAGCTTCGAGGAGATCATGACATTCCAGCAACAGATCCTGAGAGTAAAGGACAAGGACTACTTCCCCATGATCGTCGTTGGCAACAAGTGCGATCTCGACGGCGAGAGGCAGGTCTCGACACAAGGTACGTTTGCATCCCATCCCTGACCACCTGCACGTGCTGACCCTTGCACAGAGGGCCAGACTTTGGCGCGCAACTTTGGCTGCAAATTCATCGAGACATCGGCCAAATCCCGCATCAACGTTGACAACGCCTTCTACGACATCGTACGCGAGATCCGCAGATACAACAAGGAAATGTCATCCTACACAGGTGCCCCTGGCTCAAACGGAAATGGCCCCACAAAGCAGACATTTGACACCGATGACCAGGCCGAGAAGAAGGGCTGCTGTGGATGCACAGTCATGTAAGGAGATGGAAGCCATGATTCTTGTTGTGGAGAGATACCTACACCGCTGGGTTCGGTCGACCGCCCTGGCCATTGGCGGTGCTGCTTGGGCCAGCAGAAGAAAACACGCGATGCTACTGTTACGTACTGTCAGCTCACCTTCGCCTACGAAGGCCTGTCGTTCAAACACCTCTTCTTTTCGATACTGTCACTTAGGGTTCGCATTACGGGCTAACGGATTCACGTCTGCTGGATGCGCCTCCGAACACCCTACTTCTACTACTGGTATCGACTCCGTCTTTCTTATCTGGTGGCGCTCTTCGTGTTCGCGTTCATCTATCTAGACCGATTTCTTTATGGCATTTTGATCGGTACACTGTATTCCCTCCTGTCGGCATGCCATGCGAGGCACCATGCAGCACGCTTCGGGGAGTCAAAAGATTTCATTATTTTTTTGACAGCTTTTAGGGTCGTTTAACTTTACCTACCTTCTATGAACATAATTCATCTCTACTCGCATCACCACTCAGCCTCGTCTTCTGCTCACCACACTTCCCGTTCGCTACAGCATGGCGGCAAAATACAACCCTCATGCACGTCTTGACGTGCTGTCGCACCCCGCACGAACACCTTTGATCCAGATTGCCAGCTCACGTTGCATGGCGACTGCTGCTGGCGGTGCATTCACATCCCTCGGCGACCAGCGGCGATGCAATCGCAGTGATCATCCGCTTGGAGCCACAAGCGCGTGGTGTTTCGACTCGCGAGCCTTGCCCGGGCGTCGCCATTGGATGTAGATTATCACAGAGATGGCGCTATCCCTGCACGGCCGTTTCAGGGCCTACACCCCGACTGAAAGAGGGGAAGTCGATCAGGAGAGAGGCAAGTGGGCATCGGCAATGCACACGCGTGTCTCAAAAGCGACGCGATAGCGACTGGATTAGGGCCGACTGACCCAGGGAGCTTTTCTCCGGACGAACACCAAAACTTGCAGATCGCCATGATTTCGTGAAACACTAGGTTGGGGCTGCTTCCCAGAACCCGATGCGCCGTTCTTGCCGCATCCGCAACACGTGTGGCACGTGCCCAGTACGTCAACTCAACCTCCACGTCCTGGAGATCGGTTCGCTTCACTTGACCACTTTGCGGTCCTTCTTGACAAATATTTTCTCTCTTGTCCAACTGCAATCAAGGCGCGGCCCGACAATGTGGATATTCAGCAATTATTTACACCCGCCGCTGTTTAGGCTATTCCCAAAGTGTCCCCAAACGGGAAGTACGCCCTGCCCGCGTCGGCACGGATGATGACCTTGTTCGGCCAGTTCGCTGTATACCAGTTCGGCTGCAGCTTCACTCGCTGCTATATGCACCTAAGCGTTCCAACGCCGTTGCATGCGCCTTGTTGCGGGTGGAAAGCCACTCATGTGGCCACTTCATTATCCCTGTAGTACGCTGATCTTCGAAGCAAACACCCAACCCACGGCTTTCGCTATACGTTTGGGAAAACTGTTCGTTCGACGGATAGTGATTGATTGTCAGTAGACGAGCTGTGGAGTGCCTCGGGCCCTAGGTTCATACATCTCTTTCCCCATCCGTGCGCAAACTGCATGGCGGATGATCGATATCGGGATGCCCACAATAGCTCGCTTATGCACAGGTTCCAATGAATGTCTCCTTTCGTAGTTCACACGGAGCTGGACCATGTAAGCAGAGATCAGGCTGGACTCCATCTCATTATGGCGGCTACGAGCTATGTCGCGTATCAATCACCAAGCTTGGGCCAGAGATGTGAAGGCAATTGAGATCATGTAAAAAAGAGCCCATGATGGCTCTACACCATTTGCATCGGAAAATAGCAAGCTCTTGCTCCTACCCTGAACTTCAGTATGATCAGACTTGTGTAATTTGTATCGCCAGTAATTGGAGCCTCGGGTATATTGCGAACCTCCCACAACACAGCCTGCTCTCAAAATGTCTATCACGGAATCTCCACCAACACGGCCTCACTGCAGCCAAATCTCAAAATAAGGCTGTCGGTCCACGCGCGCTGAACTATCGTTACCGGCCCGTACCTGCACACATGTTCCCATGTGGCAGCTCCCGCAGACCGGCCCTGCAACCTTAGCTAATAATGCGACAGCATGACGCGCAGCTGATGCAACTGTAAAAGGTACGCCGAGGAGGTGAGCGTCTTACATACATATATCGCACAGATCGGCACTCAGCGGAGGGATCTAGACCCTGACGTTAGCGGATTGACAGGCCTAGTGCGGGAACCACATTGAACGTCCCGTACATCACAACTTCCCCGCCATGAACGCGATGAAAGAGCTTGAAAAGGTCGACGCAGTCGGTCTACTAAGTCTACAGCCGGAATGCACTTGATATACATCTTCACAATGCACCACATCAACATTCCATCCGTGGTGCTGCGTGACTCGGACCCCCCAGCGCTACTACCAAGTGCTTTGTCTTCATCGTCGATTCCACACCAGTCGACACCCCAGCTTCGGACCTGATTGGAACGGCATCATGTAGAGCCGTCGCTTCACGACCCAAACTCACGATCCTCGATCTCACACTTTGGTATCGAGATCCAAAGTCCCTGGTTTATTGCTGCTTCTGGCAATTGCCGCTCCAGAGCGTGGATTGCAGGTCAAAACGCGGTGCTCAACGCCAGCCAATAGACAGAGGCTTGCGACGCGGTGGTAAGATGCGTACCAAAAAGTACGATGCTGACGGATCGTGGTAGAAGTGCGTTACTGCTTAGCTCGACCTGTCTGTGCTGGCGGGTTGCGGAGGAGTCGTGTTCTCGTTGTTTGGGTATGACGTCTTTTCCTCCTTCCTCTTTGTTATATCGCGCATATTCACCCCACGCTTCTACCTCTTCAACGCATGACTGCAGCACCGCGTGTTCGTATAAATAACCAGTATTGCTACACATTCTTTTAAACCGGACATGCTTCTACACTGGCACAACCCGGCTTTCGGTTCGCATCGATCTTGCACACTCGGTAAACTCCGTCCGCATACGCCATTGACCTCACCATCTTCGACTTCCGGAGACACTGGCTTTTACGTAACTTTAGCACCAAAAGAAACGTTGCCATTCTTAGGCACAAAAACTATCATCAACTCATCCACTGTTCTCGGAAACGATCGACGCATATGCTGATTTCTCATTATGCCAAACGGCACGGCCCGTCGGTACTACCACTACGATGGATTGAGGGAACCGCATTGTCTCTCCGATCATCTCGCTAGCGAATCTGAAGATCGAAATTGTACGCGATAAGACCTCGAGGCGAGATAGCGATGGGCACGAGATTCCGTGAGCGTAGATCGCAGAAGGGCCGATGTGTGCTTATATGCGGTATGTCTGACCAACGTCCATGGAGAAGCCACATATGTGCAGGTCTGGATGCTTGAGTATCGCAAGCGCTGCTTCTCGTTCCAATCCTCCTATAGCACTCTCGTGCTTCACTGAGGCCGCTCTAGCTGCGATCAGAAAGGAGGAGAGTCAGAGTCTAAGAACAAACGATGACTTACCAGCCCAGACCGGAGCAGCCAGTCTATTACTGACTTGTAGTTTGGTGACACTAAAATAATCTCATTCTATCATACTGATGGAGTCACATCCTAGAGCTGCACCGTCCAAGATTGCTTGAAGTTCGAACGTCAGCCTTGTGTAGCACTGACTCCATGTGTACGCACATAGCTTCATAGTAACCTACTTCTACGTGGATGCGAAAGCAGCGCACTTAACCTTGACATCGACTTGCTGAGTGTCTGATTGAGTGGGTTTCACGTTGGTAAAAGCTAGCTTGCTCTGCCGTTGAGTGGCTGCCCGGGCAGTCAAAGTGATGTTGTCGGAAGTGATATTTCTATTCTGCTTGGTAAAACGTAGATAAGCGGTACTATCATGTCAAATCCGACAGGCCTAACGTCTGAAAAGAAGGGGGTGATGAACCTGACCATCAACATGCACTCCAGTAACTTCATGAGCGTGTTGTACGAACTCAACTAATTCGGAGATGATGTCAGGTATTGAAACAGATAGCAAAAATGACATTGTTCTCGAGATCACTACACGAACGATACAGCGTGTCACTGCTGTTGACGATCGAACCGTTTGTGAGACGACAGTAGTTACTTGTATGTCTGGAGCGTATGGCCTCGATAGTGTATAATTCGAGGAGATAACAGTATGACTAAGCTACGATGCAGAGCCCGGTGTCTTGATGATTGTGGTATTCGTGAAACTGTCGTGAAAAGATAGAGTATTCCTCCACCGCCAGACTAACGCCTTGTACCCATTACTAGACGATAGGGGTAATGAGAAATCGGGTCTCATACGTCGTTAGACACCTTGTAGTACATCAGACCTTGTGCATATAAAGAAAATGTGTATGCCATCACACGAACGGGACCGCTTTTGGCGCAAGTGCTTTTCGCGAAACCTCAGTGCCTAGCTCTACTGCTGCATCTCGAATGACAACTGCCAAACACCTCAGTCGTTCTCCAACTCGTCTAACTCTTTTTGTCTCCTCTCTAGTTCTTGTCTCATAGCCTCCGCTTCTTTCTTCAGTCTTTCCCTTCTAGCTGTCTTCTCTTCTTGCGAAACCCCGGGATTAGGTGACGAGCCCGCACTCGGACGTAGTGGCACAGATAGCGACGGGTCGATATTGGCGTTCACATCGGCTTGAGACGGGTTCAATATCGACGAGATGGCGTTCGGTCGATGAGGCATGGGGTTGGCGGTCTCTTCTGGGTCCATGGTAGCACTTCGACTGCGCTTGCGGGGCGATGGTGCATTGGGTTGTGTATTCGGTATAAGAGTGGCCGGATTTGAGGTTACCGAAGCGTTGCCGTAATAGTGGGTGAAATCAACGGCAATTGGTCCTCTAGGTTCGGGTGTATAGTCTTCTCGAGATTCTAGCGCTGTCGACGGGTCTGGAGAAACGGAATGCTCGAATGCTGGGGTTTGGGACGGACGCTGCGGTGGGGAGTAGTCCGCAACAGAAGGCGCTGCTTGGGAGCCTGTGTCACCAGCCGGTACGACCCGTTTCCGGCGTTTGATCTCCTGCTTCTTCATTGCGACAGGGCGATGTGTTCCATGCAGTTTGTAGTAGAGTCCTGCGGATTGGAGTTAGTTATCGCAAACGGTCACCTTCGTCAGTCCCTTAAGCAGATATAGACTTACCACAGGCGTTGCATATTATGTGACCAGCGTCATCACGTCTCCAGAGTGGTGTAATCGTAGTTGCGCAGTTTTGACATGCGGGAATAGCACTTGTAGAAGCTGCTGCTGCCGCTGCACTGGATGCAGCGTCTGCTCCGTTTGTTCCGTCACTTGATGCAGCACTCGCCTGGGCCAATGCGAATTTAGCAGTTTTGGACACGCGGTTGTTGAACGCTGGGCAGCCACTGCAGCCTTGTTGACCGCCAGTGCCATTACATCGGCCCCCACCAGGACATGTGCCGGCTGTCATCTGGTCTGCAGCAACGTAGGTCGCGACTCGGGGCGAAGCCGCAAGGGACCCCGGTGACGTTCGGTTGCCGTCACAAGGGCCCGGAGTTGGGCTTTGCTGCACGGGCATAATCGGCTGAGTCTGAGTGTTGCGTTTGAGATTCACAGGACGTGATTGATTCCGCGCTTTCATGTACAAGCCACATGCGTTGCACACAGTTTCTCCAGCTGGTGATCGGCGCCAAAGCGGCGTTTGTGTTGTCTTGCAGTTACTTCGGTCCGTTAGCGTCTTCTCTGCAGATCTGGTTTCAACTGTAATCGGGCGACTGTTGACTGGTGGCAAGCACACAGCAAAATTTCAGACAACGTACCTACAGACTTGTCCGGCAACAGGCGCGTTGGATGCGTCGTAGCTCATGTTGGGCAGTTGTAGAGATGTCGAGTCTGCCGGGTTCGCCGGTTGCTCTGAGATGGGCACCGCATCCTCGAGTGAATGATAAATCTCATGTCTTTGGTCTTCCTGGCTGTGAATCTGCTGCTGTTCCTGTGACGGAGTCTCTGTCCTCGGTCTGTGGTGCTCGTGGGCCTGGTTAAGTAATCGTAGACTCTCAGCCATCTCTAGCTCGTCCTTGCTCGTTTCTCGCGATAGATGATGTGGATGTGTCGGAGTTGGAGCCAAAGAGGTGCCCCCGCTCCCTGGAGGATGTGCCATGAGGCCAGTCTTCGGTGACCTTGGTTGTGCGTGTAAGAAGAGTGGGCTTACGGCCGTGGTGACACACTGTTGCCTAGACTTCGTGAATCGGTTCCTACAGCCCGGGAATTGGAGCTGCTCGATCCAAATAAGTGTTCGGACTTTGCTATCGGCTAGATCTGATATCCGATCAGGGTGAAGGTCAATCTGGAGCAGGCGCTAACGTGACTTGGTGTGATATGCGGGCCTTCGGGCCTTTGTAGACACCTGGGCAACCTTTAGGAGGTGTGGCACACGGATGGCTGGCAAACAACTATAAGAATGACGGGTCTAGCAAGGGATGATATCAGGTGCGCTCGGGATCCCCGTCGTCATAATTCTGCGCAAGTTGCCTACTGGCCTGGCGGTGCTGGTGCGGTACAAGCTGTAATTCTTAGGCGGTGAATGGGCGGCGGTGGCCAATCAAGACTTTGCTATTCTAAGCCGAGGATTAGCGCGACAACCCTGAGAGCACGTCCACGACGGCCATAGCCATAAGACAAGCTCAGGAACGGCGAAAGAGCATTCGTCTCGCGCGTCGCACCTGCATATTTTTGGATGCAGAGCCAACCAACCCTCAGGTACATGCATTCAAATGCAAGTCGGATGCCCTTATCTCCGATACATGGGCTCGGCGGCAAGAAAAAGGAAAAATCGGCTCTATCAGTCTTGGACTCCACTTGAGCCTCGCCATAGACCAGCTGTCGGCGGATCAGATCCGTCTCGCCTACCACTAGCGATTTGTAATGGTTGCTCTCCGCACGCCACTCACGCAGCCTTGCACCAATCGAAGGGGGGCGAAACAACTCGTCCAGAGTGGCGTTATCGTCGTTGTAACTATACAAACTACAACACATTAGATCTGTAGACCTATTATGGAATGCAATGAGTCCCATCATGATACACTAGTAGAAATGCAAGCCTTAGTAGCCTCTTCGCTTCATGCACTGCGGACACTAGACACACAAGCGAACACGTGTGACGACTACAGCCTCGTTTAGATCAGATAACCTATCATACACCGACTGAAAAGCTCCTCCCCAACCCATGTAACCAAAACCTGGGTATGATCATCGAGCCAACCTTGAAAATCCAACACAATGCACAGAGCCAACCCTTTCCGTCAGGGTCCGCAGACCATTTCTACGCCAGACATGTCCATAACATGTAATACTTGGTTTAATACATGATAAGCGCGCGACGAGGTTTTTACCGAGCCTAGACAGGGCAAGCGATCTACGAATGAGGACTCTTCGACCGCCGTCCTCCTGTCCACAAGCTGCGGACTTAGACTTGTTCAGCGCCCCAGCCAGCGTCAGCATCACTGCAATATCGTCAGTAACATGAAAGACAGGTTGTCAAAGTGTGTTGGAGTCGTACCGCATGTTCGCTGGGGGCTCAATAGAAGGAATGAACTCCAGAGCAGCGTAGCCCACACCGATTATGCCAACGATAGTGCCTGGCACAATGCGGAACCAGCGCTCGCCGACAATGACGGAGCCGATGAAGATGTAGAAGATGCCGCGGCCGAGGAAAGAGAACATGAAGGAGGCATAGCGTGCCACTTGCTGGGGAATCTGGAACTCGAGGAGGGCAGTTCCTATTGCTTGTCAGCGGCATGTTGTTGCGTAAGGACGCTGGACCTTACCAAGACCGAATATGATCAGGTATACACCGAGGATGATGTGAGAGCTGCGCAGACTGTCAGCGCTTTCCTAGGCCATATGATGTGGCTGTGTGCTTCGATCCGCAATCTTCGGGTGGCATGACTGGTGGTGCAACCCTCCCAGCTCGTACGCTGCTTGTGCGTCGTCACGTATGCGCACATTCGCGTGCATGGTATTCAGGCCCAGCGCAGGCCAAGACAGACATGGACCAGGCTAGCGAGTGTCCTTCGACTGACAGCTTGCACTCTTCTCCGGATCCACATGCGCCTGCCACGATGTGCTCGCCAAATATAGTACGCCATGCCACGGTTGTACGACGGGGAGAGGCGATGCGACGGGACTGGATTGCCGATGGAGGCGCCGGGTACACTCACAAGTCGTTGAAGGGGAACAACTTCGCGATACCACCGAGGACCACGAATACGGCCACGGCGAAATTCACCATGCGACTACAAGCTCAGTTAGCTATGATCCTCGACGTTCCCAAGTCCCAATGGCTCTGCGGAAAGCTGCTGCCTAGCTTCGGGACAGCTTCGCACAGCTCGAGCTCTACTCACAAGATGTCTGAGAAATCCATGGCGGACGATTGACCGGCGAGGTGTGGGAACCGCACTTTGACGACTTGGCGCAACGGATTGGAGCGGAGGCGGAAGGGACGAGATGAAGATGCAGCTGGTTGTGATAGAGCTCACGGGTACGGTTGGTGCTGCGCAATGTCGGCTTGCGACGAGACGTTGCAAGGGAACCACAGCCAAGCTCCCGCGCTAAACGTCATACCCGCTCTCATTGGCCGACGCGCGACCAAGGGGTTCTTCCAGGTTTAACACTGCCTATGTTTTGTCTTTCAACATATGCCCTTTGGTAGTTCAGTTGCTGGAACATACATGTCTCTCTTGAACATTCCCTGGCTTGCACCTTGAACTGATGAACAGAGTCACCAAGTAGTGGCACTGCATACATGGACATGGAAGAGCTGGGAGTTACTTGCCCGGTGCCCTCTCCTTATGGCCTTAGTCTTTGCCCGCCTGCACGCTGGACAGGACATGTTCGTATTCCCAGGTCCCCGCTGTTGTATGTTTTTGCTGGTCAGTCTGTCACGAACCAGGTTCGAGCAGAAGCATCTCCAGCTTTTTTTTTGCCCTTTTTTTGTACCTTAGGGCAGGCAGTAGCGGATGGCTGTCAAGAAATGCGTGACAAGTAAGGCTGTACAAGATGCGAGTATCTGCGACGTCCACCTGGCCCCAAACAGTATCTCCAGCTTTTGCCATCTTCTGCGTCTTCGATATCCCCAGTTAACGCATATAATGCTCCCAGTGTTTCTCTTTTTAACCCACCACTGATTTCCCGAATTTTTTCGTGCAACAACAATCGACTATATTGCCAATCCATCAACGGCCAAGTAGAAGCACACCGCCTCACGATCACATTGTTTGCGAAGTTTAGTCGTTATCACATTAGTAGAGCTTGTTGCTCTACATCCTTCACGAATACCAGGACTCGCCAGTATCCTAAACTTACTATATTTATTGGTTTGCTATAAAAAGATGGAGATGGCGACATATCGCCTGCATTAGCATATCCGTGAACCTGGCTTAGGACAGCAGTGTTCCATGAAAGTTTCGATCCCTTTTCGCCATGGTATCGAGTTGTTCAATGGCAATCGCGCCCTGCCGCGCCGTGCTGTACCATTGTTAGAAGCAAGCTAAGCACAAGCCTACCTAACGACGGGCCCTCACACACGGCTCCACGTGTACGGGACGTGAGGCATCGGGTACGCCTGCATTGCGTCAAAGTACTAATTCGGCCAGTCCCTTGATACAGTTTGACGCTCCTCGGAGGACAGTTGGGCTCGTCCGCGCCCAGCAGAACTAACTCTCAGTCTACAGTCTAGTCTGTACGCCACAAGATTACGTGCAATGTTAGCATACAACGAGCGGCCTCTTCGACTGGGAACCCATTCTTCCAAAAGGTCGTATAGATCCGGTAGGCTAAAGTGGATCGTCTGGCCGCATACTTCACGCGATTCATGCGTACCTGACAGGTCGTCCCTAGCTTGGACGAATTCATGGAATGGTAGTAATGTACTAGGGCGGAAGACTCCATGAACATGCTACGAGCGGGTGTCTGACGGCTACTAAAGTAGCCGTAGTGCCGTTCCTGCATGGACAACGATGCAGTCTGATCTGACGATGGTGTACATTTGATGGGGGTAAGAGCAATCGAGTCGGTGACTCCGAAGTCGAATTGCTCCACACACTCGTGGACATAATCAACGTAACAACGAGAGCTCCTTCAACATGCGTTGCCTCCGCTTTGGATTTGATGTCGTAATCTTCTTCTTATAGTCACCCTCTAATGATCAAAGTATCTGGCAAGCCTCGGCATGAGCAACCGCATTGGGGCTGTTGATCGCGTATAGAGTTTCTTTGCCACCTCTCGTCTCCCTTCGTACAAGATCCCTACTAGAGCCGTTTCGCGATTGGACAGATGTCGAACGGGTACCGATGTAGAGTAGCTGTGGTGGAAGCGCGAGGCGTTGACGTGAGCGGACTCCCCAACCATGTAGCGCGCTAGCGAAGCGGCAGGAACCACCGTTCGGGGCTTACTCCGCGCGGAGACGGCCACCACAAGAACGCGCCACCAAAATCAGCATAACCCGGGTCACACCACGTATGGAGAGCACGTTTCGGAAGGAGTGAGACGGTTACTACGGATATCAAATGGAGGGCGATGACACCTTGAAACGGTTAGAAGCACGCGAGACTTCTACCTCACCATCTCGATCTGGCCGTTCTAGGGTGGAAATAGAAACGAATTGCGCATGATCGCATAAACTGCGCGACATCGTTAGTTCACCTCCCGACATCCCCTTGGGCCTTAGCACTGCCTCGGCTGGTCTGTGACGTTTGGACTGGACCGTCGAAGTTTAACAAGCCAGCTCCATGTAGGGTACCGGCCTAGCCCATGTGTCCAAAATCCTTGGGCGCAGGTGTTAGCGACTTCAGCACAACATTCTTCGATGCGTTCAGTATGCTATACAGCACACATGCAGCTACAAGCCTACTCCTTCCAAGAAATGTTTGGAATGGGTTGCGCAGGTGGCAGTCCAGCTGAACACGGAACCGTTGGACGACGTTGAGGGGTGCGGCTCTGGTTGGGAGACTGAAGGGTACCGCACATTTAAACTTTGTTAGCACGCAACGCTGCAGGAAGCCACGAGGCGGATCGGATCAGCCGTACCAAGACCTTGTAGCATATATACAAATCGCGGCCTTGCAAGCGGGAAGGCCCCTTTGCTGGAACGTTGATTTCTTCTTTGTTCCCACCTCTTGCCAGACGACTTCGACTTGGATACTGTGTGTCGCCGGACGTGACGAGACATGAGATGGCCGCTGTACCTACTACTGGTCCTCGCGGCATGGGCCTCGATCGCGGTGGCACAGGACGCCGCCGCGCTCAAGGCGATCGGCTCGCTTCCAAGCTGCGCGGTATGTAACAGCCAACATGGGCCAAATGATATGTTGCTAATGGTTGTAGCAATTGTGCCTGGCGACAGCTGTAGTTGATTCACCCTGCCAACTTTCGGATAAGCAATGCGTATGTGACAACGCTGAGCTCCAGAAGGCAGCGGAAAAATGCGTAATTTCGTCGTGTACAGTGAAAGAGAGTTTGAGTAAGTTCAATTCGCCGACATGAACTGAACGTTTGCTTACAACACTCTCCCAGCCACCAAGAACGTAACTTCAGCTCTCTGCGATGTGCCTGTTCGCTCGGAAATCACCCATTTACGCGTGGCAAACATCGTACTGGCCGTAGTGACAGGCTCCTGCATCATCTTACGCTTTAGTTACCACATGTTTTTCCACGTCAATGGGCTTAACTGGGACGACTTCCTCGTGCTAGCTACGGTGGTTCTAGCCGTACCATCTGTCGTTATTGTCGACAGGTGTATGCTTCCGAATGGCATTGGTATCGACATTTGGAACGTCCCATTTGACCACATCGACAACTTTATACGATGGCTATACGTCGTCACTCTACTATACCTCCTCCAGGCTGCTTTGGTCAAGATTACGCTCCTTTCCTTCTTCCTACGGATATTCCTCAGACGGCGAACAGTACAGCTTTTGTGGGGAACTATTATCTTTATTGGATTATGGACCTTCTCCATTTTCATTCCCGCCGCGATGCCATGTCTACCGGTACGTCAAGATCACTCACGAGGTGCACGGTACACCAGCTAACTTCGTCCTTGGCAATGTAGGTTAGTGATTTCTGGACGGGATGGGACATGGAAAGACCAACAAAATGTCTCAACATGGATGCGGTAGTATGGATGCATGCCATTATAGGCATTGTGTTGGACCTCTGGATGATAGCCATTCCTCTATACGAGGTCTATCATCTCCAGATGACATGGGTGAAAAAGTTCGGCGTGGCTTTGATGTTCTCTCTTGGTACCTTGTCAGTACCCTTGCAGCCTACATTACATGCTCTAGCCCCAAGCTTACGTTTCCGCAGTGTCACAGTAGTCTCCATCCTCCGCCTGAAATCGCTCTTTTTCTTCGACGGCGACAACAACTATACATGGAAGCAAGCGAAAGTCGTCTTGTGGTCCATGTACGAGCTCCACGTCGGAGTGATCTGCGCCTGCATCCCGACTCTCCGCCTGATCTTCATCCGCGCAATCCCTTCGGTCATCAGCTCGATACAAGGAAGCACCCAGCGAAGCAGCGCGAACGGAAACGGCAGTAGAAGAAGTCGTGGCACAACTCAGAATCTAGACACGTTGAGAAGTGACAGAGGTGGGAAAGAAGGCCTGGCCGTTGAACCCAACACGATTACATACACCAGGACCTTTGCAGTCCGGCATGAGGAAAACGACGAGGAGGTCGAACTTGTCCATATGGAGGATTTAAGTGAAAAGACGTCGAGAGAACGAGGTGGAAGCTATGCTAGTGAGCTGAGCTTATAGCTACATCTTAATGAAACGTCATAGTCTGGGTACACCAGCCATCAACAAGCCCATACCCGACACTCCAGTCAGTAAGCATACTCGATTTGTAAACTGGGTAGAATGTGAGTGTCGCATTCTATTTGAACTAACCCAGGACGCGTCCCAGACATGTTCGTAGCTCTCCACGTCATCATCACATCAATCACATGGAATCCAACGCCAAACCCGCAGGCCAATGTTCGTCTCTCGTCCTTTGCCCATAGAGATGTTCGACGAACCGCGACGACGCCATGAACCCGTTGTCCTCAGCAAACCCGAGAGCCCGTTCGTATTGAATTTCAGGAGGCTCCCCAAACTGCGCATCGAGGTTTACGTTCCACTGCATCAACAACGACATCGTGTCGATATGACCCCACTCTGCAGCTGCCTCGAAGGCAGTTCGGCCGTGGCCTCTGGCCGGCGGGGAGTCTGGATCGGCCCCGTGCTCGAGCAGAAATGCTGCAATGCCGCAGAATCCTTCCATGGCAGCTAGTTGCAACGCGGTGCCGCCGGAATATACCGGAGTTGTATCAATGATAGCACCCTGATCGACGAGGTACTCCACGATGTCGAAGCTGCCCGTCTCGGCGGCTCTTTGCAAAGGTGTACGGGCGATACCCATGCTGCGTGTGTACTGCAGCTCTGCCCCGTGCTCCACCAATATTTTCACGAGGGGGAGACTTTGCACGTCAATAGCGGCCAGTAAGGGGGTCACGCGTTGCATGTGACTTTTGATGTGATCCAATATCCGCAAGCCATCAAACGACACGTACGCGTTCGGACTGGCACCATGCTTTAGCAGTACCCGAGCTACCTCTGAATCATCCGCGATGATTGCTTCGCCGAGAGGACTGAGTGCAGGCTTCTCTTCCACGAACTCTTCATTGAATGGCTCGATCTCATCGACCTCTACAATGCCACATAACACATCAATCCTAGCGATGTCGCGGTACCGAATCGCTTGGCGAAGTGCCGCAACACCATAGCCTCGTTCAACTGGAGACTTCCCCGCCTTTGCAGCGTCTAGAAGAAAACGCACGGTAGCGACAGCCGCCTTCGACTTGATTGCCTGCAATAGCGCTGTTGAATCAACAACAGAGACACCTTCAGCCGCAAGAAATCTCATCCAATCTATATGGTTCCCCTCAGCCGCGACGGCGAGAAGAGAGGGCAACATATAGCCACGACCAAAACATTGCGTACCTATGCCCCCAGGAAGAGAGTTGTGTAATCTCGAGCTTTTCATCACCGACCCATCGTCTTGAGTGTTTATAAAGAATTCGTCGGGGTCCATGCCAACTTGTAGCAGCCATTGACATAATTTGTAGTCGTTGGTTGCCATGCAATGGCAAAAGGTAGCTCGGAAACCCAGCTGAAGATCAACTTGCTGCAATACAACTTGTCCTCCTTCTTCGAAGTTGATAAATGGGACCCCTAAGCCGTGGAAAAACATCGTCTCTAAGGGTCCAAAATTCTTATGTCCGCTTGCAGCTTCCAATGCGTCTTTCCAAGTCGGATTCCTTCCTAGAAGGGTACTGACTACCATGATCTGACCATGACTCACTAGCATTGTGAGACTTGATATGCTCCAGACGGTCATATTCTCGACGATAGTGATAGCCATAGCCGAGTCATAGTGTCTGATTGCGAGTTCGACCACGCGTTGTCCAAACTCGATTTCGACATCTACCGAATTCATCAGGGTATACAGGCGAAAAGTAAGTCTTAAATCGTTCTTTTGAATGGCATGTCGAAGCTGTGATTTTTGCTCGTCAATTGGATCAGCCATGCCTGAGTTTGCCAAAGACCTTTTTGCTATCATCAAAGACGCTGCCAGAGCCCAGTCTGCGTTATTGAACGCTTCCAGAATTGACCTGTCCAGGAAGCCATGCGCGCTGGAATCGCCAGCATAAGCGTCGCCGTCGTCAAGGTGATATCCCAGAAAACTGAATGCTTTCAGAATCATCTCCACAGCCCTATCATGGTGCGGATGGAGAGCGGCATGAAGTGCGCTAAGCATTGCTGTCTTGAGTCTTGAGTCATTCGTCGGCAGATGGTGCTGCTTGCCGGATAGGACAAGTTCCAAAACGTCTATAGCCAAGGATATTCGAGCTTCCAGTAGCGGCCCTCCATTTTTGTACTCAGCGAAATAGTGTTCCAGTAGGCCTGCTTCCAGCCATGCGATAATACCAGCCGGTGAAGCTTCCAGCAGCTGCTTAATAGATGTCAAAGAAACATGGTGGCCATGGTCATATCTGAAACAGTTCCGATGAGGCCTGGCCCCATCGCGAAGAGCTATGCACATCAACTCCGTCCTTTCTGATTCGCTGAGTTTGACGGAGCTTCTGAAATGAAATATTAGATTCTCTCCTTCAACGACGTGGTCAATTGTTTTCGCAAGTTGTGATTGAGTTGCTTCTCGACACATGTGAGAAGTGAGTATCTTCGCAACCGCGAAATGACCTGAAGCTACGGCAAGCTCAAGTGGGTAGGTTGGTTTCGACTCAAACGGCCAGTCCATCATGACCTGCTCGTTGGGGCTCATGTTCAGCTCCAGCATAGTTGACACAAGATTTGCATCTCCACTTTTGACAGCAGTAGCAAACACCCGTTCTCTGATAGCACCCAGAATCGGAGCCGGGAGAGTCTTCAGGCCTCGTGAAACAGCGCTCGAAGGGAGCGCCTTCAATAGTGCGTACGCGTCGTTCAAATTCGAATAGCCGACTGAAGATACGTTGTTGGCGAGTGACGCGATGGCGTACAGGGGAAGTATTGTACTGCGGCTTCCATGTGTAGTATTCATGAGTGGCTGGTGTTTTGAATGGAACATCGCATCGAGCTTCACATTGGAAGGCTTTTTCCATCCAACCAAGGGCTGGTAAGAGAAGAGGCTCTGAGAGATCGAGTCGATATGAATAGGATGCGCCCAGGAAAATGGCAAGCTATACTCGGCAATCAGAGTGGGTCTGTTGGAGTTGCGGAGGTGTATGGAGGGCGAAGTAATTGTGAATAGACCAAAGTCTGGTTCGACTTGTGCAGAAGAAGACGAGCTTGTGGCAGGAGCTGGTATTATGTGAAGGCCGTTGGCGGTGTCGATGGTTGGGGCGCGTGATCGTGGTCGTACGGTGATATCCTTGGGAAGCCTATGAGGACCTATGTACGTTGAGCACTAAAACCCTAGATCCGAACATAACATACCATCATGTAGTGTGTTGGTGAGCGAGCTGCGCCGTGCTATCTCCTGCAGGACTCTGTTCTGGGGGATTTCGCGTCCCTTGAACAGCACTTCGACCTGCTCAAGCACAATTGAGTTCTTAGTCAGATACCTGATGGTGGCTGCCCACTCGGCTGTAGTCAAATTCTTCCGTAGTTCCCATTTGCGGAAGTGTCTTTCGTATTGTGATTTGCTTCTTAATGTTAGCAAACTTCTACGTGTGATGTAGGAAGTGTGGAAGTACCTAGCGACAAAACCATGATGCTTCTTCATGTGCGCATCGATCTTATCGAGTGACGTTTCCCAGTATAGGCTCTCGATCACTGTACGATAGCGATTCCATATTACTTCGTCGAGTCTGTCAGTCTTGACAGTGTTGTTCATCTTGTGCAGCGAAGCGCGAGGCTGAAGACCTCGGGAGAAGAGAGGAAGAAGTAGGGCAACGACCAGGCTGAAAGTTTCGGACCATGCCTAGATATGTGACCGGTCAAGCTTGGGTTTCATACCGTGCCTGACGCATACTGCGCCTGTCCGCCACGTCTGGTGCGCACCAACAACACGACTTCATTTCCCCAATCTCAGTCAGCCGCGCACCCGCCGACCAATCATGCAAAACCTGGCTGCATAGAGCTGCTGCAAGATTTTGTAAACGACGCAATGACCGATGGCGAAACTGACCAATTGTGCAAAACCTTGCGGGCAGCACAGAACACCGACATATTACACAACAAAATCTTGAGCTGTATGACGACCACAAGTCGCCCAATCTGGTTAGAGCAAGATTCTGTAAACACGACCTACACTGTCAGGCCGAGCTGGCAGGAGGCGCAGCCATTTTGTCCAATCATGCAAAACCTTCAAAAACACCATTGCAGATTCTGTAGAGACTGCAATAGCAGATTCTGCTTTCGAGCAAGCATATGATAAAAGACGGGATGGAGGTTGCGCTCTTTGCCCAACACACCCTTCTTTCAAGACCATCACAAGCTGCCATCATACCAACTTTGCCATGACTTCCTGGTCGGTTGAAGCGATCATTGCCTTTGTAACCCTACTGGCCACCTGCATCCCTCTCCTGGCATACTTCTTGCGCAAATTCATGCCGCAACGTCAGATCGCCCGCTCGGATGTTGGTATGTTGGTTGATCCCCAGTATTGTCCTAGCCTCGCTTCTAACGTAGAACAGACGTTGAGCTTGGAAACGTGGACGAGAATCATGGTCGTGCTCTCGTCCTCACGGACTTTGGGATACGTAAAAGCCGAACACGGTAGGTGCTGGGGTGAGACCGCATCATCTGGGCTTTAGATGCTAACGTTTGCGTCAGTTCGATGACTTTGTAATGAGGTCGACACTCGTAACATCCCACGGCGTTCCACGGTTTCATCAGAGTTGGCTATCGGCATGAACGGAGGGTTGTCAGATCTGTTGTACGATTAATGCGTTGGGGGAAGTAAAGGCATGACAGAGATATGGCGGTACATGAGCGTTGGTCGGGTGACGGTATAGCAACAATGGAGTCTTATATCTCTTCATCCAGCATCAAGCGCCGGTATCTTCGCCCCATAAACTTCATTGGACTCTTATTGCAAACTCCAAACGCCCAAGCTCAATTGCAGGATGTGCTCTACGGCAATCCCATTAGCAACGCGGGAATGGCCTAACGAGGCATGGTATCCAATCCTCAAGCTTTATTCAACTCCAATTCCAGCGGTAATGTCGCCGTTCCTCAAAGGAAGTAGTCCGCTACTGGCTTCTTCGCCGGCATGCCTCGCGAGTCCTGGGGAGCAGCTTCAAATACCCGGTACCGCCGTCCTGGACCGTCCCTGTTCTTCTGATAAGTGTCGTTGAGTACGGAACTCAGTCGCCTCTCGCCGTTTGGTCCAGCGTTGGAGCCTAGCACCCAGCCTCCACCACCGCCTGCTCTGTCGCCGTTCGATCTCCTTTGGAAACCAGCATTTGATCCATCCTCGCCAAGTTCCAAGATGGCGGCTACATTGCCGCAACGGTAGCAGTAGTTTGGCGCTGACCAGACAGTGACGATTGTTGAGTCGAACATCTCCTTAAAACCTTCCATAACCAATTGATGTGCTCTTGCAATGAGACTAAGGTCGTTCTTATGGTTGAACGTCTTGACGATATCGGCTCCAAATAGGAAGCCTGCACCACGCGGTGACAGGCCCCACCCGTCAATCTCATCGGGATCGGACCAGAGGAGATCACACATAGCTCCTTCGTGTGGCACTTCTTGTTTTCGGTCCAAAAGCCGGATCTTGTCCACCGAGTCGACGAGTGGTGACAGCCCTCCGTGTACGCATAAGATGGCTCCAGTATCGTTCCGAGCTGAGCCGTTGGCAGACGAAGTTGCACCCGTTCCTGCAGGGCCAACTCGTCCGGGTGTTGGAGCAACGGGGGACGAGGAGCCCATGTTTGCGCTTACTTGCGAGGCGGCGCTTGACTGGGAGTCTGAGTTGCGTGCGTAGCGGTACATAACTTCGCCATTCGCGTTGAGCGTTTCAATCTCGATATCTTGGTCGATGTCGGGCATGTTCTCTGCGTTGCTGGACTCGGCTATAGGGCCGTCGGTGGCTTGGAGCGATGTGGCGGCGCCTTGCACGAGTGCACCAAGGGCTAGGTAATCAAAGACTTCGCAGCAATACCTGCCAATGTTAGCATTAACTCTACAGCCAGAGAGCGAGATTGCGAGCTACCTCCAGACGTTGGCGCTGCCGTATTTCCGTAAGCACTCATCGTAGAACCCGTATACAGTCGTGATCTGGCGAGACTCATGGTTGCCTCTGATGAGCGTTATTCGGTCTGGGTATCGGACTTTGAGGCATAGGAGCAGGAGAAAAGATTCGAGCGAGTAGAAGCCGCGGTCAACGAAGTCGCCTGCATAGAGTCAGTGCGGAGCAGCATGGCGGGATTCGGTTGGCTTGCCCATAAAGAGGTAGTTCGTGTCCGGTACGTCTCCACCAACCCGGAAGAGCTCCATCAGGTCGTGAAATTGGCCATGAATATCACCGCATATCTAGCAACGCCATACGATTAGCTATACCCGAGTGCCGACTCAGTATCGTGCCTACCGTTACGGGCGCATCCACCCCAACCACGTTGCCTTCCTCGATCAACAGCTCGCGTGCTTTGTAACATAGCTCTCGGACTTGGTTTTCGGGTATCGGACGACATGCGCGAAGCTGTTGGATAGCTCTGCGATCGGTGTCAGCCCCATATATCGTACGTATGCTAGGCGGCTGAGTGGCTGTCCATACTTGTCGAGGTCGCTACCACCGGCGCTCATGGCGACGGCTATGCGCTATACGCCCGCGCAGGGCTTTCGGGACGTCTAAAGTCTTCGGTTGGCAATTGCGTGCGTAATGCGTCTGCAGCTATACAAGCTGTTCGTAACGGAAGATTCTGGTGGGCGCGAACAGTACGAAGAGTGGCGGTACGCGTGTGGCGCGTTACAGATGGAGTGAATGCGCGGGTCTCGTGACTATGTGGTAGTTGTATAGGACTATTAAGCTGAAGATAGCGAATGTCGAAGGGCGGTAGCTCTGTGGTAGGTGAACAAGTCAAGGTGGTGGGCTGGTGGAGGTCGAGGGCGAGAGATCCACAGCGGGCATGCGAATGCGCAGGGATGTCGGTCCAAGCCCGTCCAGCTAGCTCCGCCGTCCATGTTCACTCCACCAGAACACCATCACCACCGCCAACCCCGCTCCCCCGCCGTCCACATCTGCCCGAGGCATCTCAATTGGCACAGTATGCTCTGAGCGACTATCGCAATTCCACCCACCAGCTGTTAACGACTCTCCAGGCCCAGTGATGCCTCCGCAATTCGCTCTCTAATTTCTCAACCCACACACACAACATGCCTCCGCACCTCCACCCGCGGTCGCGCATGACGACTTCGCTCTTTGGAACGACGCTCATGGTTTCATTCCTCGTCGTCGCCGCCCCACATCTGATACCCTGCCCGGTCGACCCTCGCACACTCGCCGATTCCGCAGACCCCACAGGAGAGAACAGGCGGAGACGGCGGCGGAGAGTGCCGGAAGACGAGAGTTGCAATGGCGTCATGAGCGAGGAGCGGAGAAGGCAGCGCTTGATTGAGGAGAAACTGGCGGCGAAGAGGGAATGCCCAGTACCCAAGCCTGGTGGTCTGATTGGGCAGGTGCTGGGTGTACAGGACGACGAGGGCAAAGAAGAGCAACAAATGACCATCTTGCAACGAGTCGAGAAAATGGTTTGCAAGCCCCGGGGAAAGAACGACAATCAATAACAGGAGGCCTGGGAGAGAGAAGATTCAACAAACAAACGTATCACGGCTGCATACGCCCACAGACCTGAGATAAGACAGCCACGCCAGTGCGACCACTGCACCCACCCACCTGTACATATACCGCGATATTAGAAAGGATTGTATTAGACTGTATATAAGCAGGGCCAAGTCCTGGTGGAACACCCCAACATCCACTCCTATGTGTGTCCATCATAGTGCTGTTCTGTAATTCGTGAGGAAGCAGAAGGACGTGCCTCAAGAGAGTTTATCACAGTGCTCTGGTGCATGCAGCGAGACCCTGACGCGTGTTGGGTAGTGCAAGGGAAAGCAACGTGATTGCGCGTCGCGTAGCGTGAACCCACTACGTCATGAACCCTCGCCAGCCACCTCTCTTCGCTGCCACCGCTTCTGACCTGAACACCAGCATCCAAGAAAGTAGTCCATGATCAGGAACGCGATCAAGATGCCTTCGGAACCTCTGACAAAAGCCCAGCGGATGAGCTATCGCATCGGCCGCGGCGAACAAGGTGTTCTAACATTCGAGCCCTACAAGTCCGAGATACTTCCTTTATGGCGTTTCAAAACGCCTGCTATCGCACAAAAGTCCTCGTCTGAGATCTACGCCAAGTTTCTGGAGTACGACAAGAAGGATGACTTCGTTGGCATGGACATGTCCCGCAAGTTCTTGCAGATGGGCATGACCAGGGCAAAGAGATATTCAAATCATGCTGGAGGAAGAAAGTACGACAAGAAGACCGGAGAACAACTAGAAAGAAGCAAGGGTCACGACGGGCAAGATGAGAAACTGGAAGCTAGCATCATCTTTAGGGAGGTTTGGGAGAAGGCCAAGCTGCACGAAGGCTACGTGGACAAGAAGGAGAGGTTCATGAAGGAGCAAAAAGAGTGGGATAAAGAAAAGAAGAAGGAGGCCAAAGAGTGAGGCACCACAACGATGCTGAACTATTACCACTCTGCCGGCACGAGCTGCGGTCACCAACGAAGCAAAAGAGAGGATGAGCATGCTAAGACTCGAACTTAGATCTCTCGTTCTGTCCGCATCTGCTTCAGAATTGCACCAACTATAAACAGAGTGGACCTAGATCAGTATCAACAGTCCAAGGCACGATTAAGTGCCCGCTCCTGAGAAGGTCTACGGAAGTTTAGCACGAGCGTCATACCATTAGACCAAATGCTCTTTGGCCTGTTACCAGATGAGGGAATGAACGACCTGATGTATAAAGACCGAGGACTATTGGTGTAGAGAGTTTCGGGCGAGTCTCAGCGCCCAGACGAAGTGAGAACATCACTTCGGATGCGCACCTTTACCTGGCAGATGGCGGTCGACTTGGTGCATATGGACAAAATAGACGACTGCGCAAGTAAGCAGCAAAATCATAGGAGAAATACCCACCCAGTCTACATGTTCAGCATCAAGAATATTGTCATCTACTGTCACCATCCGGCCCTTCGCCACAGGCAGGAGGAGAGATCAGTGGTCACACAACTGTATCAAGCACATTCAAATGCGAAAAAGATACCCAAGACATTCAATTCACAATCGAAGCAACGCTAGGCGCAAAAATAACTGGGGTCTATGCGGATCGAACGCATGTCTCTCGAAAGCTGTCATCATCTAGTCTGCTACAGACTTGAAGGGAGATTTTACTCTACCCCGGGGCCGATGGTCGAAACCTTGGCGCGTGCCCGGTTTCTTTACCCCTACTGACACGGTTAAGTGCCAGGCCAGCGTTGCATCCGAGCGTCTTACCACTGGACTAAGAGCCCTCATTCGGGTAGATGAGAGATGCAGAAACTAATGTAATCTTATTAAGCTGGGGAACACCAGGGATATTGAATGATAGACGGAATTCTCGGGCATACGTCCATATCTACGTGGACCTCTTTCTCATCCCTTCCAATATATAATGGGCGGATTCAGTCATCGTGTATCTCGTGTGTGTTGCGGGAGTCGTGAGTGGCTCGTCGTTTATGGGTCATTGCTGTATCATGGGAGAGAGGATGGGACCAGATATCTACGTGGAACAAAGTGTGGCAGTATTGAACGTCGGATCTGACAACAGCAGACGTATGTAAGCGATGTATTGACCTGAGACATCACTCGGATGGGCCTTCCAAAGCCATACTTTTGTACCTTCCCATCTCTTGGTACAATACAATCCTAATTCTTCCCTGCTATCGGATGAGGCCGACGCGCTGTTGGATCGCTCTCTTCTCTTCATCCGCTCTCCTCACTACTCTCGATAGTCTGAGTAATCTTCCGCTTCACCTGCGGTATCTCAAAGTTCGGATTCGCACTCATCTCCCCCTCCTCCTTCGCATACGTCTTCTCCACATCCCACTTGATCAACCCACCCTTCTCGGACAGCTTAATCGCCTGCCCCCTATCCTCCATGCTCATACTGCAAACATCCTTATGCACAGCCCAATCCCCTTTCTGGCAAACATCCGAACAGTACGTCGAAGTACCACACCTTCCACAACGCTGCAACACAACACCCGTCTTCTTACAAGCCGTACACTTGGAAAGATCGAGAGAAGAATACAGCCAATGCGGACTCATCGGTATACCATCGCCCCAAACATCCATCGGCGCATACTCCACAAAGAACCTATGCTTCATCTTCTTCCCCGTCTCCCACCGCTTCTCCTTCACAATCTTCTCCGCAAACTCTTTACCCAACTTCTCAATCTCCTCTGGATCTGTGACGTCTTCCTCGCCCAACATACTCTCTTTGGGATTCGGTATCCACTTCCCTCTGTCTTCACCTTCTAGAACAATGTTGTAGGTAAGCATCAACGTCCAGTTATCGCCGCTGCTGTCCAGGCTGCCAAATGTGATTTGGTTGCCTATGCGCCCGATTTCGATTTTCGATCCTTCGGGTGTGCCTTCGGCGATGCTTAAGGTCCATGTCAGGGAGAACCAGGCATCTAGATCTAGGAAGGCTGCAAGTGCGTTTGGATGCCATTTGTATAAGACTGTTGCTAGACCGATTGCTGGGGTAATGCTTTCGCCAGTGGTCTCGGGAGTGAGACTGGAAGGATCGATGATGCTGAGAGGGGAGCCATTGAGATTTAATGCAGCTTTTGAGTGGTCTGGTAGTCTGAAATCGGATAGTGGAATAAGTTGAGAGTCCATGGCGTGATGTGTGTTGTGCTGCATTGAGCGAGCGAATTGGAAAGTGCAAAGAGTGTGTAAGTGGGGCCCCCGCTTGGATTTTGATTGGTCCTACTAGGAAGGTGAGGGTGAGCCTCCGTCAACAAAAGAATTGACTGGGAAGGAATCATTTACGAAGCGAGACATTTGTATCACTGGTAAACATCAAATTTTCAGACTACTCCTTTGATTCATGCATGAAGCTATAGGCCCGGTTATCGTTTACGTTCAATATCTAGCTTCCATGCTCTTAGTTGCCTCCGTATCCTTGAAGCGGGTGTGGCTTAGGGCCTTGCAGTATTGGTACGCTCTCCAGAGGTCCAGCATACGCCAGGAGACCAACGTCGGAACTGGTCATGTTGTTCTTGTACTTGTTACCAATAAACTCGAACAGGAAGTTCATTGGGAAGCCAATCTCGAAAGGAACAGCGGAATCAATGTCATCAATCTCTTCCTCGCTCAACTCGATTGCCAACGCCTCGATGTTACCGTTAAGATGGTCGATCTTGCGGCCGCCAACGATTGGGTACACGAAGGGGTACTTGTGGCGTACATAGGCCAGGGCGATGCTGGTGACCTGTGTCTTCTTTTGGTCGGCGATGGCTTCGAGCTTCTTGGAGATTTCGATGTGCTTCTCGGAAGCTGGGCCAGTGTTACGACCTTGCTCGTTGTTCTTGCGCTTCTCTTCGGTGGTGAAGTTGCCGCCACCAAGGGCACCCCACGGGCACAGAGCCATGCCTTCTTCGCGTGCCATCGGGATGATCTCACGCTCGAAGTCACGATCGGCTGCGGACCAGCGGCCTTGGTAGACACTGAAGCCACGGAGGCCGTGGTTGCGGGCATCTGAATTTCTCGTTAGTTACGGATACGAAGTCTTGCCAAATATCTATACTTACATTCATTCGCTTTGCTGACAACCCAGGCAGGCGTGTCGCTGATTCCGAGGTATAGAACATTTCCAGAGTTGACGACGGCGTTAAGCGATTGCATCAACTCAGGGATAGATGTCGTGAAGTCCCACCAGTGCACGTACAGCAGGTCGATGTAATCAGTCTGGAGCTTCTTGAGGGATGCCTCAAGCGAGACGCGGAGCGACTTCGTGCTGTTACCAGCGTAGTTGATACGTTGTCGGGGAGAGTTGTTTGGGTCAGGGAAGTAGGTGGTAAACTTGGTGGCTATGACCATTTCGTGTCGTACGCCTCGCTCTTTCATCCACTCGCCGATCCAGGTCTCAGACTCCTCGTTTTGGTAGTTGTTTGCGCTATGACAATGTCAGCTTCCATCATCACCACGACGTGCCCAAATGGATGGTATAAAGCCTTACGTATCAATGAAGTTTCCACCTTGCTTGTGGAAGAAATCAAGAATCTCAAACACGGTCTTCTTATCACACTTCCCCATCATGCCCTCCCACGCATCGCCAAAATTCATCGTTCCCAAGCAAAGAGGAGAAACGCGAATGCCGGCAGTGGGCGACATGACGCGGTGGAAGTCCAGGAGGGACGCAGCCTTGGGTACGTCACCCAATGGAGAAGGCATCTTGAAAAAGTAGTTGGGAAACTTTGGAAAGGTAGTGGAGTTTAGGAGATGGAGATGGAAGTGCGAGGTACTGTGAGGGGCCTATTGCAGGACTCGGCCTCTTCTTATATCTCCTGAATCTTCACATGCGTATGACGTGTTACGCTGGAGTACCTCAGGGTCCATCTTCGGTCTCTTCGTCTATTGCGTCCAAGTTCGAGACTGCCGACGGTTGTCGGGGCCGATCTTTGTCGGATGGCGGTAAGACGGTGGAGGAACACCATCCCAAGGTCTCCCATGTTCAATGCGGGGATATCTGGTCATGGTAGATGCTATCTCCGCTAAGGTCCGAGCCAAATATCGTCAAGCTTCACGTGTCGGACGAGTGCAGGCGGCGCCAAGATTGGTGCCCTCCTTAAATTCGGACCGGCTCAGAGAATCCAGTAGAGTTTCTGGTGAAGTTGAAGATGGTAGCAGACTAGTGGTACCAGTCTGGCGGATGTACGGACATTAGCATGTCGGCAACCTGCATGACGAGGCAGAGTGCAAAAGTCCTGGCCTCAATTGCACATTTCAACTCCATTGTGATACTCCCGGTCTCGGGTTGAGGCTGCCCCAGACATGGACTGAAACACGTGAAGGCTTTATCGGAAGCAGTCTCTTTGCTAGATACACATGGAGAGAATATTTGATGTATTGGTGGGCACAGGAACAACCTTGGCCAAAGATGCAAAGCTACCGACAGTACATGATCCAATAGTAAATGTAAAATTACACGTAAACTTTTCAGGGTATCCGTGCCATGCAAGACTCCAAGTAAATGCAGCAAGATCAAGAACAACAGCAGCTGTAAGAGTACACGTCTCAGCCTACTAGTTCCTCTTCTTTTTCTTCTTCCTATTCCGGCTCTTCTTCTTCATTTCTTCACCACCGCCGACGTCGACTTCTGGCCCAGCTGCGTCGAGGCGGATGTTACCATACTTCTGCCGGATCTCGTGCTCGAAGCTGTCTTTTTCCAACCTGAACAGCGCCATGGTAGCCCTAGCATCCTCAACCGAGCTATGAGCACCGACTTGAATCTCTACACCCAGTAGTTTGTCTGCCAATAGCTTCAAGCCTGGGGTGCGCCCCGGTATTATGGCCAACTCTCTAAACTTCGAGAACTTGGATGTGTCGCGAATGAAGCGCTTGTCGTGCTTCAAGATGAGCACGTCGAGATCGTTCTTCACCGCGTGACCGACGAGTATGCGCCCGGTGAGGAGGATCTTGAGGTCGTTTCGTACTTCGTCGAAGGGTCGCGCGACGTCTTTGCGGAGATGTCTAGGCTCGATGCCGGAGACAGCGGTTCGATAGTCGGTAACTTCGATTCCTCGGGGTACCTGAACGTAGGAATCGTAGACCTGATGACCATGAAAGTTGACTAGCGACACTCTTGCCAGCGCAGAGTCACGGTTGGGCTCTGGGCCAACTCCCACCATCTCACAATCTAATGCGACATATTTCCCGGGCAGCGCTACCTCTGATACGCCCTCGTTTTCTATATCGGGAAAGTCGGGGTGTGGTTCGAGGATGGACACCGCTGCCGCGGCATCCTTCGGGTCGCTCAGAAGGGGTGTCTTCTTGAGAGAGGGCATCGAGATGCTTTTGGAGAGGGTTTTGGCGTTATGCTGCTTGGCTGAAGCGCCGACAGACGCGGGCTCCTCCATCTTCTGTCGCTTTCTCGAGGGCAGAGGTTTTCGCGGTGTGTTCTTCTGGGAGCCGTTTACAACTTTTGGTGATGCATCTCCGTGCTTCCCATTGGCGTGCTGAGGTCTCTTGCGCTTGAGCGAAGACTGCTTCTCGTCCTCGAACTTCTTGTTCTTCGGAGGTGTCGCGGGCGTTGAAGGCTTGAGTCGCTGTTGCAGTATCTTCCAGTTGCAGGACAGAGTGCTGGGATCGATTGGAGCCATGTTGTCGTCACCTGCGCGGCATAGCGGTGTGAGGGTCGTCCTGTCAGTGGTTGTCGAGGATGTTGGCCGTTTGCGCTTCTCCGCTCAGTCCCCGCGAGCAAAAGTTCAAACCCGCGCTAGCACCTTCCAGATGTCGGCTCGAACGCGACGCAAAGGCCCGATCGGCAGGCGGCAACATCGCGACTGAGCCCAGCACCCCCAACATCATCGCGACATCAAACCTCACAACGAGCTCCAAAATCTACCAGAATCGAGAAACGCGTGTCGCATCGCCATGGCGCCTCGAGAAAACTCGCATGAGCCCTCCGGGACGCCGGCGCCCGTAGAAACAGGCTTTGCCACTCTTGCACAGCTGAGGTAAGTGCGACACCATGCGCACAGTTTGATTATGTATGCTGACGCGCTGCGTGCAGGACTGGCGTGAAGGCGTGGGTTGAGAAGGTACGTGACTAGCGCGCAACACCGCGATGTGCATTGCAAACCCCAGCCGCATGAACACTAAAACAGCAACACCAATACTTGTTGGTATATAGACTAACACGATACAGGATGGCGAGAAGCGCAAAGCTGAGATTTTGTCCATCCAAACCAGGCAGGGAAGGCCCAAGTTCTACGTTCATTATGAAGAGTTCAACAAGCGTCTGGATGAGTGGATCGAAGCCGAACGGATAGATCTATCAAGAGAAGTCGAGTGGCCAGCGCCCGAGAAAGCAGACAAAAAGAAGGGCACTGCCGTTAAGACCGACAAGGCACCTTCAAAGTCTGATCAGAAGAACCTCAAGCGATCCCGCAGCAAACTTGATCGTGAGATCTCAGGCACACCAGAATCGACGTCTAGCAACCTGCCAGGCAAAGCACCGAGGCCGTCCAAAGCAAGTGGCAAGGAGAACCAAGAACTCATAGTCACGAGCGAAGTCACAGAAGGCACACCGAAACCCGAGGATGAGGAGATGGACCTTGTCGACGTGCAGGATGCCGCCGCAGCAGCCAAGGCCATGCCACCCCAGGATTACTCGAGAGAAGATGAAATCGAGAAGCTACGTACATCCGGGTCTATGACCCAAAACCAGACCGAGATTTCGCGGGTGCGTAACTTGGAGAAGATCCAGATGGGCAAATTCGAGGTCGAGCCTTGGTACTTCTCACCCTACCCAGTGGACTTTGTCGACTCAGATGTAGTGTACATCTGCGAATTCTGCCTTGGTTACTATGGTGAAGTAACGCAGTTCGAGCGCCACCGCACAAAGTGCCACCTGCTCCACCCACCCGGCAACGAGATATACCGAGACGACTATGTGTCCTTCTTCGAGATTGACGGGAGGCGGCAGCGGACATGGTGTCGAAACCTCTGTCTACTTTCGAAGCTGTTCCTGGACCATAAGACGTTATACTACGATGTCGACCCTTTCTTGTTCTACTGCATGTGCACGCGCGACGAACATGGCTGCCATTTTGTGGGCTACTTTTCCAAAGAGAAAGAATCGGCAGAAGGCTACAACGTGGCCTGTATTCTCACCCTACCTCAATACCAACGAAAAGGATTCGGTAAACTGCTTATCGACTTTTCCTACCTTCTTTCCAAGCGTGAAAACAAGCTCGGGTCTCCAGAGAAGCCGTTGTCTGATCTGGGTCTGCTCGGATACCGTGCCTACTGGCAGGAGATTCTCGTCGATATTCTAATGGAGCCTGGCCGAACCGAGGCTAACATCGAGGATTTGGGTGCTGCGACGGCGATGACGACGAACGATGTGCTGCATACCCTGCAAAATCTAAACATGCTGCGATACAGCAAGAACCAGCACGTTGTCGTTCTCACAGATGCAGTTATCGCGCAACGGGAGAGACAGAAGGCGAAGGAGAAGCTGAAGGGCAAGAGGAGCATCGATCCTGATCGTTTGATTTGGAAACCACCTGTGTTCTCGGCCGCAAGCAGGACATGGAACTGGTGAACGTTTGCACTGGGTATGTTTATCGGCGCAATTCTTTTGGTCAATATTCTGATCAGTGAGCATTGGCTTGGCGCATGGTGTTGGCTGTTACTTCTTCATGGTATACCCAGACCCATATTGATATCATTGTAGATCGTCCATCGTCTGCCCAATTCGTTCCGCTTCCATCCTGGTGTTTCTTCCCTTATCCAGTGCCGTCGAACCACTCGAAGCATGTCATTCTGCTTGCGGCTTCCTCAAATCTCCACTCCAGCATCACATCTCTCTGTATCGCCTCTCCAGTGTGCGCCCCAATCTTACTAGTCTTCAACACACCCCTCAACTCTTCAACAACATCTCCCATCCTAACACCTTTTTCTCGCTCCACCCTCACACAACGCTGCTGCCAATCTCTTCTTCCATGTCGATGTAGTACATTGCGATACTCCCGATCCCACTCCGCACCGTCCACACAGTATACCTCGATACTCCGCGTCACGGGTCTCGTCAAGTATGCACTCATACTAATTCTACCCTCTTCAGTCTCGTTCTCACACCCCGCCAACCACTCATGAAATTCCCTGACGCTCATTCGCGTCCTAAAACAGATCCCCATCTCTCCCCTCGCCATCTCGTCCAGCCCACCTATCAATTCACACACATGCTTCCCCAGCCAAGGATGCAAAAACGGGACAAGCGCGGAGAGAATATTCCCATAAGCGCCTTCATGCCAAAAGTAGTAGTCATCCGAGATATTCAGTGGCAAGCCAGGATTCATCCACTGTGTTGTTCGTGCGAGAATGTCTTGGGCGAGAGAGGAAACAAATTGCGGTAGTCTGTCAAGGGTCTCGGGCTTTGTAGCAGTGGAGGGGGTTGGTGGTGAACCGTCGCGAAGAGGGAGAAGACGAGGAGGAAGATTAAGACGAAGTGTTTCTCTCCAGTGCTTGGAGACAGAGGCGTATATGGGGAGTTCAGAAGGGGGGAGGAGAGTGACGATCTGGATGAGGAGTTCTGGGAGGAGGAATATGCGATGCATCTTGCACGGGTGTCGCAATGACAAGTTTGGACCAGATTTGGCTATGGTAATTAATCAAGGCTTTATAGTACCACATACTGGCACGAAGAGCTGAAAGCAAGCTGAGTGTTCCGCATGGTATACGCTTATCGCCGTGCACATTCCGCTTCCGCTATCTTACACAACAGGTAGTCAGCCAGCTCACGTCAGCGGTGCAATCAATGTCGTGCTCGTAACGTGCATGCGCTTTCATTCGTTGAACATGATGCGAGGCGCCTAGTCCGGGGAGCTAGGTGTGCTTGGCTGGATTACGGAATACTTCGGGTTATATAGCAACATAAAAGCGTCTACACCAAAACAGCCATCAACCCCACGATACCACCCGAGCCAATAGCTACCGCCCTCAGCATGTTCAACTTGCCGAATTTGTCCAACAGCTCATTTACCTCTTGATCCTCTGCTCGGGTACTCTGCCTCTCCGTTTTCTCTTGCGGTACACTCAAATCCTTCCATTGACTCACGTCACCCTTGCTGTTCACGGATTCATCAGCGCTTCTCTCTTTCGATCCAGCCTTCTCCCGATACTCGGCAGACGCCCTGCTTCGGCTCCCGCCCAACTCTTCATTCTTCTTGATAAGGGCGAAGTTCGTGGGTATCATGGCCAGACCCGTGATTGGCGCGATGCTGAAAGAAAGCGCGGCGGCGGCGAGATAAAGGCCTGGCTTGCCCTTGACGGCATGCTGAATGATTGAGGAAACCGAGTTGACAGAAGATGGTGGAAGAGATTTGTAAGCGAGATAGACGAAGCCGGACGCGGATGTGAGTGCGGCTGTTGGAAACGTGTGGGAGCCTCTTGAGAAGAGCCAGCGTATCATTGGAAGAGATCGAGATGCTGGCTGTGATTGTAACATTGGAACGTCGAAGAGAGACAATGCTGCGATGCCGCCCGACGCTAACAGCGCGGTGGATATGCTCAAGATTTGTATGGTTTGTGTCGCGAACATGTTGGACGGTGGGAGATTGTGTTTTGGGATATTGTTGAGAATGGTTTCCAATTTGTGAGCGATCCAGGAGAAGCAGGTACGCTTTGCTATATACTTGAGCGTGGTGTGGTCATCCTGTTGGTACACAACGCGTTCCGCGGGTCCCGCAGTGTTAGTGGTCTCAAAATGATGTCATGGTGGCCTATCATCAACCTTCGCATTTCTCGTACTAGACGAACACTTCGGTCACGGTGTGTTCCAGGCCCGACATTGTCGCAAAGTCGAGAAGTCTAATCAGTCCGCTTGCGCACCTTGGGTAGCGCGAACCAGCAAGCAAGCATAACAGCGTACATGCCAAGTGCAACGGGGTGCAGTACCCAAGTACCTTAAGAATCAGTATCCTGATGATTGCGCATAAAATAAAGGTCGCTTACCGGAAGCCTGCGCGAGAACACCAGTTGTGAAGGGCGCAACCGCACCACCTGAGCTTCCTGCTCCGCCAATGAATCCGATTGCGGTGGTCTGAATATGACGAGGCATGAGGCGCGAGAAGATGGTCTGCGCACACGGGTAGACGGGGCCCAACAACAAGCCCAACAAGCAGACAGCGACTGCATTTCCGATCAAATTTGGTGTCAACCATGCCAGAAGTTGAAGAGCTATGGTGCCGAGAGTGAGGATGACGACAAATCTCTTCTCGCCTATTCTGGGCGCAGCATGAGTGAGTACAAAACGGCCAAGCGTGATGCCTCCCTATTCGGCAATTAGCAGAAGCGATACAGTATGCAACAAGTAAACATACCCAAAAGCCTGCTGTGACATATCCGACCTTTGCAGGGTCGCCATTACGGTAGTTGATGAGGTATGAGATGAACCAGCCTGAAATGCTCACTTCGGCTCCTTGGTATGCAAAGATGAACAAGGCGCCGAAGATGGTGACTTTGTTCTTCAGAGCGAGCTTAAGGTTCTTCATCTTGGAGGCGGCATCTTCCGCAGCAGTTTGCCTACTGGTCGTGGTCTCCAAGAGAGTTTCCTCAGAGTCTTCCGTGTATGACCAGAAAGACCATGCTGCGAAAGCGATGCAGCAAAGTCGCAGTCCGACGGTAAGGAAGTAGAAGCGCGACCACAAAATTCCTTGTGAGACGATTGCTGTTCCGATAATGGGTGCAACTATTCCACCGACGCCATAACTACCATGCGAGAGGCCAAGAATGACGGAAGGTGGATGAGTGTTCGCACAATAGACGTTGTTGAGGGCCAGGTTGATGGCTGCACCGAATCCCAAGAGAAAGAAACTGACATGGTCAGCGGTGCGTTACTGAGTTCCAAGACTGAATACTTACGATACAACGACCAAAGGATACGGAGGGGTGCAAACAAGGATAACGTATGCGGACAACTGTATCAATTCTGCTATGATCAGAGTCTTTGCCCTTCCGAACTTGCCTAGGATGGTGTTCGTGAAGAAGGCGGCAGAGATGAAACCGATGGCGTTGCCAACGAAGACCAGAGACATGATGGAGTACGAGATGTGGTAGTACGACTCCATGTACGGAATCAAAGCACCGACGACTGGCCACTGGTTAGTCTTGATTCTGATAAAGTAATCCAAAATGGCAGGTCTATATCAATGTCTTAACTCACCTGAGTCGTTGATTCCGTTTGAAAAGTAGATCAAGCAACAGCAAAGGATTCTCCATTTGGTCATCGGTTGAGCGTTCCAGGTCCTGATAGTACCGACTGCATCCTCTCGATTCGGTGTGGCCGGACGACTCATCTCGAGTTCATTGGGGGTTTTCGGGGTCTGCGCGCCCTTGGGCAATTCATGCTCTGCATACGATGCTTGTCGGCTATCGCCTGTTTTGCGAGAAGCAAAATCCCCGAGTTCGACGTCCGGTAGTACACCTACATCGCCGAGCGTTTGAGGTGCTTTGCCCTTGCTCTTCTGGTATGTCGGTTCCGGGTTGGTCACGGAAACAGGTTGAATGTCGAAGAGACTGTGAAGTTTGGACGCCATGGCTCCAAGTTCCCGGTCTACGGTGTCTTTTTGCGAACTCGAAGAGAATGCAAAAGCCCTGGACTACGCGCCTTGGAAGCGTTCGTTCTGATTATGCGTCTCAGGTAGTAGGAAGTAATTGGGCGTTCAAGGTCAGTGCAAATGCGACGGCAATAGTCATAGATAAGAAAGTAGCCCGAGCGACAACGTGCCAGTGCGGGAGACCCTAGACCCTTAATACGGAAGTCCACGAAGCTTTCCACGAGAACACTACTGGCCGTAGCAAAGGCTGAGGGCGCTATCGCTGATAAATCATGGGATGCACAATTACCCTACATTACCAGATAAACACGCGCCGGCTCCGACTTGGGGCCTATCACAGCTGGCGGGTAAGTATCGTGTGGTCGCGCTGCAGCAGTGTGGAGATGGTGGACGGTCGGTAAGCAAGTCGATCATAAAGGCTGCAAAACGTTTTGCAGGGACACAGACGCGTCTAACGGTGCAGATAGCCGTTCATTCCTGGCAATGGACCCGACAGTCGGAGAGAGATTGGGTCTAGGCCTGTAACTAGAAAGGGCGCAATACCCAGAAGGTGGTGAAAGTGCGAACTTTTGGGGCTCCGAGGAGCGGAGACAACTTCCCCACCGGGCTCGGCCACACCTTCCTGCTTTGAAATTCACGACCACCCGTCCCATATTGTCTCCAGAACTACCACGACCGATAACTTCTCCACCCTGCTTACCAAAGCTCAAACCCAACATGGCCCGTCCAAAGCGCAATGTCCTTGCCACCATAGACAGCACAATCACACCGCCTGACGCTTTGGCGCCGAATCACGCGATCGCGCGCATCACCAAAGCCGAAGGCAAGAACATCTATGCCGCCGAGCTGCCAGATGGCAAGCCTGTCCTTGCCGAGCTAGAAGCGAGGTTCAGATCAACAGTATGGATCAAGAGGGGCAGCTATGTGGTTATAGATATGTCTGCTCTGGCGGACCGTGAGAACAAGCTGGATGGAGAGATTGTGAACGTGGTGCGCGACGAGAAGGCGTGGAGGAAAATGAGCTACTGGTATGTTTCCAGCCGGGTATCATGTAGTATGTGTACAGAGCGCTAACAATAGTATACAGGCCCAAGGAGTTCGTAAAGAAGTCGACGTACGTCCAAGATAGCGACGACGAGGAATCGACCGTCGGCAAGATGCCGCCCTCCGACTCAGACGAGGACTGAGTTCTTCGTCGCATCACTCGGCGTGCGCATGGTCCTCCTCGATTATACCCTTCGTCAGGCCCTCGTACTCCTTCCTCGTTCCCCACCATACGCCCGCGACCGTAATCGCTAGAACGCCCACGACCGTCGCCGAGCTTGCCGATGTACTCGGATACACATTCCACGCCCATTCTTGCGCGCCCCATAATGCATATACCACGGCTGGATTGAACCCTGCTTTCCACAGCAAGAACGGCGTGCACCACGCGACATACGCGTAGAACTGGTAGTGCAGACTACGCGCGCATAGTAGGCCAATAGTCATCGCGGTCAACATCGTCGTCATAATGAAATCCGGGGTGATCTTGCTGGACATGGTGTCCTGGTCCCGGGGCTCAATGGCTGGAATACAAAGCTTGAGGAATTCCTTGACATTGCGCTTCGAGGGCTTGATCCAGCGGGTTCGCGCGTACCAGATGAGGAGGCCAACATGCAGAGCGAGTAAGCCAATGGCGAAGGGGCGTGAGAGGAACGTAGATTCCGGGACGAAGCGCCAGTTCACGGTCCATTTGTACAGGAAGGCACGGCTGAGCTCGAAAGCGCGGGCGAAATAGCTTGGTGCGCGCTTCCTGAAGGGGTAGCCATACAGAACCTACATTTTGATTAGCATCAATTGAGAAGAGTCCATGATCGATGATTTACTTACCGAAACCTGCACGATGATCATAGCCTGTGTCAAGGCTTCTCTTCCACCCAGTTTCATGACCATGAGAATACCCATTGCTGGTAGAGGCAGCAACAGGCTCATCTTGACGTTCAGCCCTGTGCTATACAGCGCGCTCCCCAGATGCCATTGATCGCGTTGGTAGCAGAAGACAGCCAGCCAGAAAAACAGCACCGCGAAACAGTCGTTGAAGCATCGTAGCATGAAAATGCTATGCATGCGCTTTGAGAGAATCAACAGCGGGAAAATATACGGTGGAACCTATCAACACGTCAGCTTCCAACTTCAATAAGCTAGAATGGGAAAGTACTCACCCTCGCCTTCCTATAACATTGAAACACCACACCAAGCGTAAGCAAATACACTCCCGCGAAAATGTACTGCGCGAGAGCGATATCCCGCCCTTCATCCGTCCACTTGTAAAGCTGCTTGTAGATCCACACATGCGCACCAGGGTACACGAGCGGACCCGTCGAACCAGCAATATTCTTATAGTCGCGCTCGCCTTTCAGAAAGATGGCTATTTGCTGCATGTACGTTGTCCAGTCAATCTCAGTATCTAGAAACCTCGCTGTTAGGACACGTGGTACGTTTTCGGTGAGTGAGAAAGGAGCACGAACAAGGTATCTTCTCGATTATCACGCCTGAAAGCGCGGCGTCTGCTACGAGCAGCAGCGGAGTCATCCATCTTGTGTGGTCGGGGTTGTAGGCTAGGTCTTTTGCGCGGGCGAGGAGCGACATGGCGGCGTTTGTTACGCGCGGTTTTGGTGATGGCAAGTTCGGGGGTTAACGATGGTGTTATAGTTCGCGTCGCGTGTCACGTGGGAAGGAGGTTTGAGGTTTCAAGGATGGCAGTTTCGCGCGACGTGTGTTTCAGGCATCATTTTTCTCGTGCGAGCTGTGGATGGTGGTTTGACGTGGACTGCACGTTTTGTATGGAGTCAGACGCTGTTGCGCTCACGTCCTGGTGTTGTGCTATTTACGGCAAATGCGAGGTTTGCGCGTCCAGCCATTCGTCACTCTTCGCGTCAATACCCTACACGCGATGTTCAATTCGAAAGTTGATTTTCCGATGGTTTCAGTCTTCTTTTCTACTAGCAGCTCAAGTATCTTTCTCTCACAAATGTAGCAGGATGCAGTCGTCGTAGTGGTAGTGGCACAAATGATGAAGAAATTAATGTTGCATTAGGTCTAGGCTCTAAGGAATATCTATACAGGAAGCGCTGAGATAATCATGAACACTGAGGAAGGTCATAGCCTATGCTCAGTACTGGCTGGGTGCCGGGCACGCAGGGGCGGCGGCGGCGGGAAGAGGGACGAAGGTGACATAGGCATCGGAGACGCCCTGGCAGACGAAGTCCTTGGGGCCGTTGCCACCGGCACGGCAGTAGCTGGGAAGAGTGGTGGTACCGACATAGGTGAGACTGAAGGAATGTTAGCAAATTGAACGAACTGCGCATTCAAAGGCATGGGAAAAACTTACTCGTCGCTGACACCCTGCTTGATGATCAGACCGCTACGGTCGCTTGAGAAAGCGAAGTCGATGAAGCTGTTCTCGCCGCAAGAGTAGAACTTGTTATCCTCAAGCTTGTCGGCTTGGGAAGAGCAGTTGAAGTCGAGGGTACCTCCGTTGGTAGCCTTGATGTTGAAGCCGAAGCTGTTGTAGTAGGTTCCCTCAGGCTTGCGTCCGAAGAAGTTGGAGATCTTCCAGACGTAGTCACCCTGGGTAGCAACTGGGCAGGATGCGTCGACCTGGCGGGCCTCGAGAGGTGCGGCGCTGGCAACGGCAGCGGCAGCGAAGAGAGAAGCGATGGTGGTGAACTGCATCTTGATGGAGTTGGTTTGAAGTTGATTTGAAGTTGGGATAAAGTGTTGGAAAGTGTGGTAGGTTGTAGTTGAGTGTGAGAGTTGGTGGTTGATGGTGGCTAGAAAGTGAGATACTCACTGGCATTATATAGTCATCACACCTCGTATCTGGGGTACTGTACTCCTGCCACGATCATCATGTCCGTCTCGTCCCAAGGTTCAATACGAGAAGATTGACACCAGGCGTCACCCTTGACCTTACCCACTAGAACATACGAGAAAGGTGTACCATGAAATTTCTCCAGGAACACGAGCCTCAGACCATGCCGAGAGCGCCGAAACCACACTCTACCCCAATTTTTGGAGCCTCAGTACCCTTGCCAACGGTGTCACGAACCAGTAGCAGCATCCGGGGTGACCGGATGAGGCGACAGGCATGTCCTATCCGGGCAGTTGGCAGCCCTAGCCGAGCTTGGATCGTGCTAAACATACGAGATGTGACGTCTAGTAGGATGAACCAGGTATGCACAGTGGCATTGGGCGCTGCACTGGCTGGCCGATCGGCTGTGCAGGGCCTTGGTTCGGAAAACTAACGGCATGACGTCCTGGGCTATATGTATTCTAATTGCTGTTGCAACACCGTACATGCGATGGTACCTACGCAGGCGACTGCTTCTTCCACCATCGTATCGACGCGGTATACCCTAGAGTGCTCGCGAACGACTATATCTAGGTAGCTTAGCGACACACTGGAAGCGTAACAGAGACGTCCTATGTTCCTAAATTCGAGCGTGATTGCTGTGGACCTGAGGAAGTCGGCCGTGTGAATGATCACTGCAATCTCGTAGAGTTCGGTCGGCCGTGTGAATGATCACTGCAATCTCGTAGAGTTCGATCGGTCCGTTCCCGAACGACCTCATCGTCCACAGAAATGGGTGGTCCGAGTGTGGAGACGAGCGTAATATCAGTAATCGGCGTTGATTCCATCACCTTGAATAATTCCACGGTTAGCATGGAGATCACTCGTGAACGAAGGATCGAAATACGACGTCGCTTGGGGTTGAACCGAGACGGTGGAAGGTTGAGCCTTGACATCTGGCAGGAATGGCATCATCGAGCCGGTTGTTGCGGCTGTGGCTGCCGATCACCTGCCTGGCTCGCGCCCAGGGTCCACGCTCGAAGACGGAGCCATGAGCTAAACAATGACACCAACACCACTGACGCACCATCGGAGTTTGTCCGGCGGCACGCTATATTTGCTATTTTTGGACCCGCGATCGTGGGCTCACGCTCAACGCTGAACGAAAACTTTACGACCCAGGTGCACATCTACCTTCAAGGACTGGCATGCGTGGCAATGAACTCAAACTCACTGCACCCACCGTGCGCAAGGCGACTATCAAGGTACACAGAGATCTGAGACGGCACTCGAATATTTTACGGTTCCGTTCCGTCATTCTCGGAGATCTCGTTGTTGCTTTTGAGACCTGACGGCATCTGCCTTAATTTCGATGGATCACTGAACATCTTGCTAATATGTCGGAGGCTGTCGGGTAGACAGTACTGTCCTGGCGTCGGTAGGACCGATAAACCATTGAATGTATGGACGCGGTGTCGATGTACGAAGTCAGACAATACTCTTACTGCGGATCTAGGGACAAGGAAGAGACACTCGCTTCGTGATTAGCGAAAGCTGGTTGGCAAATCCTTCAAGTTCTACCGCTCATGAACGTGGCTGGAGCCATTCGACCATCTTTGATGCTGGGTGCTAGCGGATCAGTAAGGGCACACGTCTTACACAAGATGACACGTAAGACCCTGCCACAATACGCAGGAGCAGAAGGAGGGGTAAGACCGGATCAACGACACTGAAGAGTACATCATATGTACCTGCGTTGTACATCCAGTGAGTTTGGAAGTTCGTTCGACGCAAGATGATGCAGGAATTTTCCAGTGTTGCAAATTTGGAGATCGAGCTTTCAGAAGCAAACTTGCATGTAGGGGCAAGAAAATCCGAGATGTACCACCATCTGTCATACGCGGTCAGTTACGAGTATCGTTACAATCTACTGATTGCGGAATGTGTCGCAAGAAGAGGAGGTGTACCACAGTAAGTACCCGTCCTGCTGCCGTTGCTCACCGGTCGGACCACAAGGACAAGATACCCAAGTCAGCAAATCGAGGGCAGCATGCATGGAATGAAGTACGCGCGGAACAAAACATCTCCCAACAACGGGTACGTACGCAGGATGCTGGCTTCCCCAGACGTTCTCTTGAGTATAAACAGTCGGCATGGGCACTGTTTCATGCTCGTCACTTGCGGTTCCATCGGCTCTCGCTACGCTACCTATTCGTTCCAATATTGGTTGTCTGTCTGACTCATGGATAACGTTGAGCTCGAAGAACCCTATGACGAGGAAGGCAATCTTAGCTATGGCCATAGCGAAGATGACCTCGACAACGATTACACAGGCAGTGGGGATGCACAAAGTGGTGAGGACCGATATGCCAACAGTGAAAGCAATGAGAGCGACGAAGATCCCGATGACGCTTCAGCAAATGATACGGAAGGTGAGCTTAGTGACAGTGTGATTAGCGAAGATCTTTCGATGTCAGCAAGCGATGACGACGAGGAAGAGGAGGACGAGGAAGATGGAGAACTAGAGACAGGTAGCATGGAAAGCGATCTCAGTGGCTCAGACCAAGAGGACGGTGAGGAGGTGAATGACACGGAAAGCGATGTCAGTGGCTCAGACCAAGGGGATGATGAGGAGGTAAATGACACGGAAAGTGACGATATCAGCTCGGATAGCGAGGCAGTATCGATCGAAGAAGAGATCATCGACCCAGTGAGCGAAGAGAGCGGCTCGGATAGTGAAGCAGATGATTCGATTGGAGAGGGTGCTGGGGAAAACACCACAGTAGAGCCTATGGGATCTAGCGGCATGTGCAACAATGACAGCACTACACACCATGAGCAAGAAAGCGTCTTGACGAGTACGCGGAGTAGCCCGGGAGGGTGGACGCAGTTCAAAAAAGGACAGGATACCGCACCTGTCCACCATCACAGCACCTACCAAGCTTATCAACCCAACAACAACTATCAATCCACGAATAACCATCAATCAACCAATAATTATCAGCTGACAAACACCCACAACACGCACAGCGACAATCCGAAGATCGGCAACTCCCCGACGATCGTTCATAGCCGAAACAAAGTTCCCAGACGTCTCCTTGAAGTACAAACTGTGCTCGATGCGTCGACTCTCCATCGTAGGAATACGCCAGCTGGCGTACAAAAGCTCGCGCACCCAAATGAAGTGGTGTCCAAGAAATCTAAAGACAACGCCCGCAGAACCAACGAAGCTCATCTCTCGCACCGTACCAAACCTAATCTTGGACACGCCAAACTACCATTCGAAACCAAGCATCCTCGAACATCGAAAAATCTTGGGAAGTCGAAAGCCGACAATGAAATCAGTATGGCTGACGAGCTCTTCCTGCCGGTCATATCAACTCAATCTACCAATAGCAACCAAAAGCCCAAAGCAACAAAACGGTTTCCTCTTACACACGAGACGGAGGCAACGCCTGCAGCAACTGCAAATCGCATATCCAGCAAGAAGAAGCGAAATCCTACGGTTCTTGAGATGGAGGGATCTGCAATCCAAGTCCCCGCCAACACCAAACAGCAATCCAACAGCAAAGCCAGCGGTACGAAATTATCCAAGAACGACGCACTTTACTCTCATACCAAATCCCCTCCCGTATCCGCAAGCGACACGGAAGAACCTCGTGTACCTACTGGCTTCTCCAACCCCCCTAAGGTTCTCCTCAATGGCATCTTTGCCGGAGTGATGATGCAGAGGCGAAAGTCTACAGTGAGTGTATTTGATCACGACGCGCACGCAATCATCGGCTTTAGCTTCACGCATGAGCGCGGCAAGCGGTATAAGGAGGCTGGGATGAAGAAGTACAAGACGTCCAAGGGTGGTTTTACACTCTGGTGGAAGCCTTACTCGCCATCGGCGGACTACTTTGATAGGGGAGATTAAGTTGAGTGATCTGGGAGGCTGATCTATGAGATTACAGATGGTTTCTCATTCATCGTGTTGTGTTTGGTTGCAATCAAATAGTAGTAGCTTCACTACCCACTCAAAAACATTCCCAAGTCCTTTGCAATGGTTGGAGCGAAGAAGCATGTAAAGCCAAGCCTCTGACGTAGCAACCCAGCCTAAAGCCTGCCCATATGTGGTGCAGGTTAATCGCGACCAAACAGACGATGCCCTGAGATAGCTGTAATGCCGACGATCCGGTCAGCACTTCGTAAGATGTACACCGATCAGGATAACACCCAGCCGAACGTCATATGCCTCTTCCAACTCAAATAAGAGGTCCTCTCACAAGAACGCCTGGAAAACTTTCCTAATATTGCTTTTTGAATTTCCAATAACAACAAGGTTCATTAGTTACGTGCGCAATTCTAGGTTACCTACCCCTCCATCAGCAACATGTCAGGCAACTTCAGCCTCTCAAAGTACCTTCCCCGCGCCTCTCCCCGTCATGTCCAGCCTTGCGATAGCGAAAAATGCGCGGAGGACTTCGGTCTCGACGTAATGCTCGTCTATCCAGAGTCGAAGGAAACGGCTGAAGACTGGCCAGCAAAGTTCCGAGCTATCACCAAGTCAAATGTGTATAGCTTTCGCATGCGGCCAAAGGCACTGGACCCAGAGAAGGATTTCCAAAGCTCTTCAGAAGAGGGCGCAGATCTGCCGACTGATCCGAAACCACAAGGCGCCTACGACAGGTCATCGACAAGATCAGTTGTATTTGTTGCTGAGACACCCGAGGCTCGAACTGTTTATGCGGAGGTGCGCCAGCCTGAACCGATCGTACTCGACCACATGAGAAACCGGATACCCTTCGCCGGACGTGTCTATGGCGTGATCGAGCTGCGACGTAACTCCAATCTCGGACTCACATGCATGCTCGCGTGGGGGCAATGGGGTTTGCACAACATCGTGAAGAACTACTACGGCTGCCGGCAATCGACCGATAAGTGCCAGTCTGCGAGACAACCGAGGATCGTCACCAATCCGTCAACCGGCTTTGTTATCTTCGTCACGGTCATGTCCATGTTGGACTACTGGATGCAGTACGACATGAACCGAGGGGACTATTGCCAGCGACTATGCCTGGTTACTGGAATCACGATGGGCTTCTTGTTGAGTCAGCCTGGTCCGTCCATTGAATCGTTGCCTACATTGATGACTGCGATGAACTTGGCGATGACTTGCAGCGCTTTTGGGCACTTGATTTGGCGGAAGTACTTCAGCACGTGTGAGAGGAGACTGGAGCAGAAGCTGGATGAGTGGAGAGAGGAGGCTCGCTGTACCCAAATTTCCTCGCCGAAAGACTCCAAGCTCGAGTGCGAAGCCCAGAAGCCTCACGTTGTCAAGTTCCACGAGCTGGACTAGACGGATCGAGTGTTGATCAGTATGCTGCTAGGGCGACGGACGAGCGAGAGGGGATAGTTTGACGAACAGTCCATGCCAGTCACGTATCTCGAGTGTAAGGGCGGCTTGGGTCAGGGTTTGGGCAGTATTGGTCTTTGATTATGGGCGGGTCTATTCCCATTGTGTACCTTTTAGTCGTTGCATGAGATATTCCACTTCCACCTCCTTTGTCAGGGGAATGACCCAATCCTGTGTTATCTGTTAGTACGCGGTAGGAACAAATGATGATACTGATGGTACCTTGTACATGCCAACGACGGCGTCTGCATTCACCTTGGACGAGCCGTTCGCGCCCAGGTCCGGGTCTGTGCCGTACGTCTTGGCCTTTAACCTCAGTCTCTCCAGCACCTTCTTTTCCACCGCAGCATTTGTGATAGCCTCGTCGATGCCTTTCCTGTCTTCGTCCTTGATCAGCTTGACGAAGCGCTCCGTCTCCTGCTGGAACTTGGCCTCGGCAACGAACTTGCCAAAGTGTATGCGCCGTGACAGGGACTGGATGGTCATGACATCGCAGGTGGCAGAGGACCCGTAGTTCTCCTGCGACTCTCCCCGGTCCTCGCGGTCTGTCTGCAGACATGCGGCGGGCAGGATGTGCTTGATGTAGCAGTCCTTCAGCTGGGCGTTGACGTTGACATCGTTGGGGTGCAGGATCTGCGGGTAGTTGAGAGGCTTGAGGATGGGCTCCTGGAGGACCTCTGGGAAGAAGGGGTACTCGTCGGGCGACTGGTAGCGGCGGACGAGGGACTGCAGGCGCTCCTGCTCGCGGAGCATCCAGTCGAACAGGCTGGTCTCGGGCTCGCCAATGTCGACGCCGCCGGGCACGTAGATGGTCCGGTTGAGGGGGAACTGCACGCGCTCGATCAGATGGAAGGTGATTGTGTCCTCGAGCCGACTGTCTGCTGTCAGTAGGACTCAGGCGCGCATGGCGGGGAGGCGTACATGAGCTGGAAGCGGATGTTGGCCAGGTCAAGCGCCTTGGACGCGTCGGAGAGGTCAATCGCGTCCATGGTTCCTTCTCAAGCTCCCAAAAGGGCAGATATGCGGGTGAGTGATGTTTGCAGCCATGGCAGTCCGGTCGTGTCCCGAGCATCGGCGTGCTCTTCGGCGGATGACGCAGGCGGGTGCCGACTGGAGATCTCGATAGTCACTCCCCTCCGCAACACCACTATCACCATCTCGAGCACCCGACGCGCCTCCCGCCTCCCGCCTCACCGCCTATTGGCCTCTTGTAGCACACGCGAGCACCTGATCTGAGATCCTCATGCGAAGATAAGGATGCCCTAGCGACGTCTCCTCCACTGCGCCGCCCGTTGAGTCTCCCGCCACGCCTGCTCGCATGGCCTCGTCCACCGCCCGCAATGGATCCCCAGGTCGCGGCCGGTCGACCAGCCCGCGCTCGCCGCGGTACTCGCAGGCCTTTGACGACGACGACGAGAGCAGCTTCATAGACTCGCTCCCCGATGTAGCCCCACCGCACCTTCCCTGAGCCCACGGTGATGCTAATGCTCGCTAGACCCGCCATCTGCAAGCTTTTGGCAAAAAAGTCACAGCCACCGCCGGCAGCTTGATAGGCGCCGAAGGAGTCACCCAGCACTACCAGAACGCCATTGGCGAGCTCCACCGCGAGCTCAGGCGCCCGCTGATGCAGCGCTCCGTCTTTTCCTTCGCCCAGACCACCCCCCGCGAGATCGTGCGCTCGCGAATCTCCGTCCCCGAGATCCAGCAGCGCGCCCTCGCCTACATCCCCAACGACCTGCTCTCCAACATCCCCGAGGACAACGCCGAGTTCTCCCTCTTCCAGGGCTTCGAGGCCTCGCTGCCCGACGCCCCCGACAGCCATGCGAAGAAACACGGCCGCCACAACGCGCGCGGCCAGCGCCTGATCGGGGGCGGGGAAGACGACGACGATCCCAATGTGCCCCCCTCGATGCAGAAGCTGCGGAAGCAGCGCAACAGCATGGGCCACCGCCTCGAGATGATGGGCGTGCGCAAGCACATGTGCGTCGCCGAGATACACGAAATCGACAACAAGATCGCCAACCTCAATACCATGCGCAAGATGGTCCTCGACCGTCTGGCGGGGCTCGAAATCGAAGAGGGCGAGCTGGAGCAGGACCTGCTGACCGTGGACAACCGCATTGAGGATCTGCAGGAAGAGCTGGACGACGAAGCCGCACTGGCGCCCAAGACGGCAGGGTCGCAGACAAGCGACGAGCAGTCAGAAGGCAAGGGCGAATTCATGTCCGAGTCGATATACCAGAAGATACCCTCCTCGCCCAAGACGAAGAACAAGGCCAAGAGGCTGTCAAAGAGAATGTCCATGCCCGTACTACACGAGCATCTACAGTCAGGATCCAAGATCAAGGAACTGCCCGCGCACATGGACGCCATCACCGCCATGGACTTTGATGCTCCGTGGGGCATGATGGTTACCGCATCGCTAGACGACACAGTACGAGTATGGGATCTGAGCGCCGGACGGTGCATTGGAATGCTCGAGGGTCATCTCTCCTCCGTGCGCTGTCTACAGGTCGAAGAAAACATCGTCGCAACCGGCTCAATGGACGCTTCGATAAAACTCTGGGACCTGAGCAAGGCAGAATACGCGCCCATGGATAACCGGATAAACAAGCCCGATGAAGAGAGTGACGATGGTCTGGCATTTGAGAACTCGGAAGACGCACCTCCTGCGCCGCCGTCGACCAGCATGCAGGACTGTCCCCTCTTCTCCCTCGAATCACACGTCGACGAAGTCACTGCGCTACACTTCCGCGGCGACACTCTAGTTTCCGGTTCTGCAGACAAGACACTACGGCAATGGGATTTAGTCAAGGGACGATGCGTACAGACGCTTGATGTCCTCTGGGCCGCCGCCCAAGCCACAGCTACGAACACGTCCAACAGCACATGGCGACAGACGGGACGCTCTGCCGACTCCTCTGCCGACTTTGTAGGCGCCATACAGTGCTTCGATGCTGCACTTGCTTGTGGTACCGCCGACGGTATGGTACGTCTATGGGATTTGCGTAGCGGGCAAGTTCACCGAAGTCTCGTCGGTCACACAGGCCCCGTCACAGCCCTGCAGTTCGATGATGTCCATCTCGTGACCGGTAGTGCCGACAGGAGTATACGCGTAAGTCGACTATCTTTCCTCTGACTGTTCCCTAACTAACATGCACAGATCTGGGATCTCCGAACGGGCGCCATTGCAGACGCTTACGCTTACGACCATGCCATTAGCAGCATGATGTTCGACTCACGACGAATTGTGTCTGCAGCAGGCGTGGACGTAGTCAAGGTCTACGACAAGACAGACGGAAGGCACTGGGACTGCGGACCCGGAGCTGACGAGAACGACAAGACGACACACTCCATCATCGAACACGTCAGAATAAAAGATGGCTATTTGGTTGAAGGACGCAGAGACGGTACCGTTGGTGTCTGGTCGTGTTAGTAGAACTATAGAAGTAGAAGCGATGAGGATTGTATATAAGAACGGGCTGCGCATATGCCAGTCATGTAAATGGCAAAGTGTTGTA